CTTTGTATCTGTATTTTCAAGTATTGATATAAAATTATTCGATCCCCCTGTGCTGTATGTGAAATGGTATCGTCTATCAACAGCTGTTGTCCACGAGTCTATACTAATTTCAGAAGTTGGTGAGTCTGTCTTGTGTATTATGACTATGATATCATCAATATAAAGCTATGTAGCGTTATAGGGAACATTTTTGTCAATCTGATGTCTGAAATTGTTAGCAGTGAACATATCATGCATTGTTAAAAAAATACTTCTCGGAGGTTTGCAATCGCAGATTTCATGATACCACGGCAGGTTGCCAAATCTTATCCTGAAAAATCTCTCTCTTCCCCCAGTCCTCCACTAAAGGTAAAAAAAATCTATCAGAAATCGGCTACTTCGATTTGATGTATATCTGTGTACCTCCTGATCTGAGTGTGTGTGTACCAATTCCCCAGACAGGCTATAAGAACGACAAACGTCGATTCTCTACCCACTTTCTTTGACAATTGAGGAATCGTGGATCTGCAGTGTCCTCCGGCAGTTTGACCGTCTAATGCAGCACTTAGCTAACCGGATCTGTACCGTAGATACACCGCCCTCCCTCCTGGATGCCGCGACAAGCCACGAGGACAATCCCGGACACGCCACCTACTCCCGAACGTGATTGCCAGCACCGCTTGGAGATTGATAACGCCAACTATCACCGACGACTCAAAGGCAGCCTCCGGTTGATGGATGTCTGTAGCTTGAGCTGAGGGATCGGCAGGATTATTCACGAGAAGTCTTGTCTCATGAGGTGGTGAGGCTACAATCTATCTACAAAGGGACACTCGTTCGCCTTGAGGGGCTGTCTCAACAGTCCGCCGCGCTAATAAACTTGAAATGTCGTTTCTCCGCCTTTATGGTATTACTTGTTGTCCTTAGGGGGCTACTGGGCATTTGCTGGTGCCAAGTATCTCTGTAATGGGAGAAGACATTGTTGCTCGAAGTAGTCCTGGCTACTATTCCTAATTATTGTGACAATTTGAAAATGTTCTTTTCTCAAAAGAAAAATTGTTGTTACAGTAGTTACAATATTACAATAGTTACAATATGAATCGTTCAAAATTCAGTTATTATTCCATGCGGCCAAATATCTATGGAATGGGAGAAGGCATTCTTGCTAGAAGTAGTCCTGGCTACAATTGCTAAGTGTATTGACAATTTGAAAATTTTCTTTTCACAAGCGATTCTTGTAGTTTTCGTTCAAAATTCAGTTAACATTCGCTGCGGCCAAATATATGTAATCATCCTTGTTAGAAGTAGTTCTGGGCTAATTTTGCACAGTATTTAGACAACTTGGAACATTTCTTTTCTCTAACATAAAAAGATTGCTTCAGTTTTCGCTGAAATTTAACTTAACATTTGCTGCTGGCAAGACCCCAAAACGACAATTATTCAGCACTTTACGATTGGTTGATCGCAATTGGCTTTAAAGTCGTCTGGAAAGTTCATTTCTACAGGCGTCTGGCAACTTCGCAAACTACGTGTTAGGCTTTTAAATGCTTATCCACGTATTTCTTTTACGATATATTTCAACCCATCTATTATCTGTTACATAATTTTGTTAATTTTTTTACTAGAGACTTTCGTAATGAGCATATAGGAAATGGCCAATTTAAATTAAAGATGTTGCGACGCTTTACTGTCTTTATATAATGAATAACTATACGGAATTCACGAATGGGAGGGCTGATAACATAAATTTTGTAGTATTACGCTGTTTTAAGTGAGTATTATAGTTGTAACATTTCTACCATTGAATTTCTACCTTCCGACCATTGAATTCTTCCTTTTATTTCTAAGTCTTTTATTTTTTTAATTTTTAAGCTTTGCCTTTGAGCTAAAATGTAAGACATCGGATATTTCAGTTGTCCATTATTTCAGGTTTCCATAACTATATCCATAATTTTTGGGCAATACGCTTTGAAATTCGTGAATTATAGACAACCAAATTTACAATGACTATATACCACAAGGGTTTGTTTCCGTACTCAACTCCACATGTTTCCACGTACAATACAGATTGTTAACGGGGGTCGAACTGACATGCTATTTTATATCCTTTTTAAATTACTTTGCTAAATGAGCAGAAAAGCCACGCGTGCTTAAATGAGAGGGCGAGGGGGCAATAGTAATCCTACATTAATCTGCATGTGTGCCATTCTCTCTCCTTCCGAATCAATTCTGATGAGATTAAAGACTGTAAGTCCGCATATTATGGGATTAATTTTGTGGGATTTATCTTCAGGGCAGGTAACCTCGCATTAAGGAAAGTGTAATTCCTGGGAACTACGGGCAACCGGGAATGAAAAACCGCCTCGGACTGTGGCTTTCGCCTGTACAAGCCTGGCTTTGTGATATAAGCATTTAATCAATAGTTTAAACCTATAGCTAGGGATAAGAGATTGCCAAGGTTACTTTGGTCTTTGGGTAGTTAATTTCTAGCTTTGAAAACTATGGGTTTGTGTTGTTTTTGGTAATATCTAACTTTGAAATTTGTGGTCTGAGTTATCTGTCTGAGCTTTCGCCTGAACAAGCCTGGCTTTGTGATATAAGCATTTAATCAATAGTTTAAACCTAGGGATAAGAGTTCGCCAAGGTTGCTTTGGTCTTTGGGTAGTTAATTTCTAGCTTTGAAAACTATGAGTTTGAGTTGTTTTTGGTAATTTGTAACTTGTGGTAAATATCGAATGTACATACTTATTTATTTTGGCCAAAGACCAACTTAGTACCCAAAAACAGAAATATATAGTTTTTGTAAGATGAAGTTGGATCAATGTGTATTTGTCTACTTGCGCATGTGTGTACCCGTTGTTAAACTAGAAAAGCATTCAGAGGCTTTTACCACCGAAATAGAAATAGGGCAACCATCATAATAATAATATATATGCTATATAATATATAGCTGTTTTGAGAAGATAAAGTTGGATTCAATGTGTATTTGTCTATTTGTACATTTATGTACACGTTGTTAAACTAGAAAAGCGTCTTCAATGCGGTCTAACATTTTGGAGCTTTTACCACCGAAATAGATCTAGAAATAGGGCAACCAGCATATTATACATCCTCACAGTGCAGACACTGTATCACATTATAATGTAGACTCATTCATCTGCAACTGATGATTACTTAACCGACCAAAAATGAGTTATAGAGTCATGCTTCACCAGAAGATGGAGTGCCGATATAATTTTTTTACATTTCATGTTGCGTGATTGACGTATCCGCGACGCTATTGACGTCACCATGACGTCAGCCCCGCCGTATTTCATAATTTTTCCTTCTTAACTTCAAACGTAATGTGATCGCGCTGGGAGTCCGGAATATGCTGGCCTATCTCGTCAATTGGAAAACGGATGTTATACAACTGACTTTGTCAAGTCAACAGAAGTCGTTGACGCTTTACACTAGAGGAAGCTTACAGACTCTCAGCATGAAAATTTCAGCCAAAACAAAAATACGGGTATAAATTTGCGAGAAATGGAACAAACAGGCTTATGAGAAAGATCATAACAGCCTTTGTACATATTTATTAATTCATAATATTCACGTCAGAGGCTGAATGATTTGAGGCAAGCAAGTGATGATCTGCACTTTGTCACTGTCAGCTTTACGGAAACGTATCAAGCATGTTGTTAGCGCCACCTACCGATACTGTTCTGTATTACAACTAAAGAACAAGGCAAGGCAACAAGATAATTTATTTGATCGTTTATTACATTTTTATTTAAAACCCCATCAATAGACAAAGATGAAAAACGAATAACCACATCGACAAGAAACCCGCATCGTAAAGTCATCAGGTTATTTATAGTAATGACAGAAAGTGTAAGATATAACATAAGATATTGATTCAACACTGTTAGAATGTCATGAACACGAATCATTGTATATTAACAACATTTTTACAAAATTAAACCAAGATCAACATGATCTTAATATGATACCATAAGTGGTAGTTTACTAATTTACGATGGAATGAATTTGTATTTCTGACTAAGTCGCAATTTCAGTCCACGCACATCAGTGCCACCTTGCGACAAACACCAGTACTGTGTCTCCATATACAAGGTTTCAACAATATACTAGTTTGCCATTACTCAAAAGAAAAAGAATTACCAGGCTGACGAATTGTATTGTCCTCAACCTGCCTTAAAATCAACAACAAACTTATCATACATTGCTACATCTACATGAATAACTACATACAATTCGACCCATTGAAAGCCCACATCGTTTATCAATATTTGCACTATACTTGTTGATTACAAAAATATGTTTGTCTTTATATAAAATCAAAAACAGAATGTTGAAATCGATTTTGCTGACTGATCATGACTTCCAGCACCACTTTCTTATATCTCTTAACCCATCTAGGTAGATGACATAGCATGAAAATAAAGTGTGTAACCTTGCCCCCCAGGATAGTGTTAAAAATGCAAAATTTTAAACGAGTCCTCAATGAATTGCAAATTTCTTTATTCACAATCACTTGTGTAACATAGGCCAACAATTCGATAGTCCTCTGACATCTTCATCAGGGCAATATGGACGAAACCTCGGGTCTTGTTTAACAAGTGGTTATGAAAAAAATTAAAGGACTTTGCCTACAATGTACCTCATGAAATCATTTATGAATACAGTCTATATGTATATCTTTTTTATGATAGAGAACCGCAATGTGACTGAGTGTGAATGCGAATGAACACTGGAAGAAAACGTACTAGTCTAACAACCCTCAATAGTGTTAAGAGTTAAAACTTTTTTCAACAGCGTCGGGGGCCGACATCGTCTACCAGATACCTTTGACCCAGTGTTGACGGCACACTTCAAAGAAGCCACGTGACAAGCTTCACTGGGTCAGTCTACTGAGGAAGACCAGAGTGACTGGTCGAAAGTTCTAGGTGAGTTCTAACTATTTTGTGTTGGACCAAAAGTTTTAACTCTAAACATGTAACTATCAACACAGAGGAACTTTCACAATAACTCTCAATAGTTATGTCTTACAGCAGAATGCAGTCCAGATGAGAAGTACATGACGTATGTAGTGTTTGTCCCTCACCACACAGAGCAGCGCTGGTTTCCCCTGTTCATGGTGGTTCCCGCCGGACAGTTGTAAGCTTTGGCAAACTCCTCAAAGTTCGACATGGAACCTATTACCCTGGAGAAATAAAAACAAACGCCCATTACAATCCAGTGCGATTGAGTCATTTGCGCTAACAATTTCTTTTTAAACAAGCCTATTTGTCACCTTAAGGAGAATCCTTCAGCGGAGCTCAGATGAGTCAGAGTACCGGACCAAACGTTGTGACTACACTACCTTACTGACAGCCAAAGGTGATTTTTTTTGCATGACCTAGGTATTTTAATACGTATTAGAATATGTGCATGAAGATCGAATACTTGAAGGGAGTTTCTCTACCAAGAAACTTCCGTGGACAATCTATAATTTCTTGCTGGAACAAAAGTAGACTTTGATCGTGACCGAGCTTAAAACTGTACAGCTCTAATGTAACTTAACTCAGCTTGTAAATGATTCACCCCCTTTGACAACATTCTAATATGTTTTTCAGCTAGAAAAGGAGCTTGGTAGAGACCGGTTCTGTACCTGAACTGTCCAGGACTGTGAACACCCTGCCAGGCACGCTCCGCACCCTGGGGCCGGTACTGGGAACATCTCAGCTGTGGAGACAGAAGAAGATATAAGACAGAAGCAAAAATAAAATATGCCTCAGAAATGAAGATTGATGGCTCAGAAAATAGGACGATCACTCTTTGCTGTCTATAATTGTGATAAATTGTTTGCTATCGACATAAATGAAACAGTTCGAGGAATGAGGTTAAAACTAACGACATAGAAATGCATTATTATGCATATTTAGTGCGTACAAATTTGCGATGGTTCACACTCACATTTGCGTAGTTGAGGAAGAACATCTGGTTCTGAGTCAGTCCGATCCCCGGAAGCAGAGGTTCCTCTTCCCCCCTCTCCGCCACCCACTCCCGATAGGCCTGCAGCAGGGACACGGCAATGAATGAATGAAGACCTTTACTGTACACACATACCCACTGGGTTAAGTACAGGTCACAACAAGAGAATTTAATACAGGTAACGTTACATAGTATATACATTGTCAACTACCTACAATTAAGCGAAATATGTTTCTTCTCATTTCTTAGTAATGGTAAAGAGGTAAGAACAGGTATGTTTTATGATAGAAGGTTTGTCTAAGTTCATTAGAAATATGAATGTATCTGTATAAAGAAGGGGAACATGGATTGTATCAGACTATAGAGATCTTCTCTCTCTCTCTCTCCCTCTCCCTCTCTCTCTCTCTCTTTGTTGGATAGTCTACATTCTGTTACAAAATGTTTCTCATTTTCAATTTTTCCTAGATCACAGTATCGTTGAAATATTCGTTGTTCCAGGGGAGTGCGATTATGTCTACCGGTAATATGAGGGGAACTCAGCTGCAAACAGCGCTACCTACACACCGTCCCGTGCGCAGCCGGCCGTACATACGTGCAATAATGATTGCCTTCATGACTAGTCATAAGGAGCCTCCCTGGGTTTATTACATTTGATGATGTGTGAGGAATTTGGGCGTTCGTTCGTCAAATGTGACGTCTTTTTTTGTAAAATGACGTACTTGTTTGACGCCTTTATCTGGCCTTACGCATAAAGCGTGGTGTTGAATGTATTTTTAATTACATTTGATGTTGTGAGGAATTTTGGCGTTCGTTCGATCGTCAATGTGACGTCTTTTGTTTGTAAAATGACGTACTTTGTTGACGCCTTTCTCTGGTCTTACGTCTAAGGCGTTTGTGTTCAATTCATTTTTTCAGGGTCATTCCATTTACTGAATTTGAAGCGTCTGATTCTCGTGATATTGTCATTCTGTATCTAACTAAAATCACCGTCGTAGGACTCAAACTACTACGGTTAGATTGTACATGTATATGTATATGTATAACATACCCTGAAAGATGCTTTCATTCCGCCATTGTCAGCTATGTTTTCTCCCTGTGTTCGATATCCGCTCAACTGAAGAAGGAAAATTAAATTCCAATAGTCACAACTTACTAATAGGCGTTCTTTTTGTTATAGTTAATTACACATTACAATAATCTAACAGATATGGGCATTCCACAGCAAGCTCTTTTTATATGGCATGGATATATAACTACACAATTGAAGGCACATTCTATCCGAACTAGATACACATGGTTTTGTATTTGCAAAAATCATGACAATTCAGATAAAAAGTGTGTAGAATTGGCACTTACGTTCTTTCCTGCTTCAGCGAAGTAGTAGTTGTCATACTGGTCGATGATGCACTGTCTTTTCTCGATGAAGTTTTCGATGGACGAGTTGCTCCACCACTGGTTCAAGTTCCCGTCTTTGTCGTACTTCCTTCCTGTGAGGTCAGAAGGGCAGTATTGCGTGTCAAACGTTATTTTGTGCTATTTGAGAGGATCCTAACAAAGACATTACAGGTCCGATGGTTTCCTTGTTTGACATAAGAGATATGAGAAACTTTATTAGCATTAGCAGACTCAAAAATCCAATGGCTAATCTATTTGCAGTGCAATATCAAATTTCTCGGAGAATTAAATGACTTGTAAAGAATATTCATATGGCAATTACATATGGCACCATTTACAATAGACAATTTTGAAATTACAGAAACCAAATTACTGATGTACATATGATTAAAAGGTACATATTGACTCATTTATTACAGAGATTTGTTATAGAGTAGTGTTGCTTGGTAGAAGAAAGATCGTTTCAGGGTCTCCGTTCGACATTATTTTGTTTCCGACAAATGTAAGTGTGATGAAATGGTAAAATTTCATATAAAACACGTTGAAATTCATGTAGATTTTTTTAACATGAAAGTTCATTTTTTGTCGGTGGCCAACATTTTACATTGAGTTAAAACTTTGTTCCAATACTTAATCTATCATGTTAGATCAAAATTTTATCCCTGTATAATGTCGCAGCTTTTGTGTACATAGAAATTTTTTTTACAAAATTATCTAGGCGTTCAGACTCAGACTCGTTCATTATCTGCTGACCTTGGTCGTCGAACCCGTGTGTGATCTCATGCCCTATGACGACGCCGATGGCCCCGTAACTCAGGTACATCGGTACGTCTGTACCCCAGTAGAACGGGAACTGTAGTTCTCCGGCAGGGAAGCCTGGGGAGCGAATAATGGCATGAGATGGAGATAGCAAAGGTAAGCAAGGACATTATACTGTATAATGTCCTCGGTATAAGATACCTAATGCATTCGTTATAAGGAGACTAATGTCTTTATAAACTTTCTATGCAAATATCCTACCGACAAATTCAACCTAACTTCATTTTCTAGACCTCTTTTCTAGAACTTGCTGTCACGAAGTACCGTAGTGTCATTATCAATAGATAGCTTTAAACAATGTTAAGAGTTAGATTTTCAAGGATTAGGTGTAAGTCGTTCGGTGTAATGAAGCCAGCTGCCGCCGCGCCGCCTGCCTGTGAAGCTGGAGTGTTACGCCGAATGGCGGTTATACCGGCTATACAGATACAGTCTTTCATATCGTTAAGGTACACGTAAGCTTATATGAAGCCAATTATATTGGATTATCATTGTCGACACCACAAATGTCATCGCCTTCAGATGCTATGAACTGGAACTGACCCTTTTTCATTCCGCTGCTCTACTATTACCGGGGGGGGGGGCAATAAGAATAGTTACTTACGAATCTGGTTCTTGCTGCGGAGGTAGAATGCGTTCACTGTGGTTGGAGCAGTAGACCAGCTAGAAAGACACAACAGACAGTTAGTGAACACAAGCGACCATGTACAACACATTGTCTTTTTCACCTTTCCCAATGCACTCCATGAAACTCGGATACTTGACTACGGACACTGGACTAGTTTAATGAAAACACAACACGGTGCAGTAGTGGCGACCACAGTAGTTACATAGCGATAGAAAAGTCAAGATGGCAAGGCAATGAAACACGAATATAAATAGGTCTTCAAGCTACCTGCTTTGGTTGATTGGAGCCCGTAGATAGGCGAACCCTGACTGGGCTGTGTATTGGAGATACCGGATAACATTCCCGAAGTAGTCATCAGCACTGGTGTTCAGCTAGGGTAACATCATAACACAGTTTAGATGGCAATGTCATATTTTTTAATGTCCGAACCTCTTGGCAATATGGAAAGGTTTAGATTTAAATGGATAAATAAAATCATTGCTTTCAATCCGATACACGGGATGTATAAGGAATTCACAAGAAAAGGCATCAACCGTATACCATTAACATGTAAGCTATTTTTGTTTGGTTTAAACTCATATCTACATGTATATCTAGTGTATATTAGACTTTCTCACCGCCTGAAAGTCATTGTCCAACTCTGTAGTGTTCAACATCCACTCGGGGTAGCCGACTTTCGGGTCGATCGCGTCAGCCTGAAACAGCGAAATGTCTACATTGTATGTTGGAGAATATTTGAGGAAGATTGTTGTTACCACCAATTACACCTACAATGCAAGCAGACAGCTATATCATGTACATGATAGTTACTATAGTATAGTTCGCTATAATATATCATGATACTACATGAAATAAATACCCTATCATGCAGATACAAACCTTTTCTTTTGCGACGATTTTGTCCTCCTCAGCCATCCAATCCAGCTCGTCAACCTGCTTCTTAAATGCGTCACGAACTCTTTCAATCATGTTTATTACCTGTAGTTGAGAAATAGGAACAGGTTAATACCCGATTTATTTTCCTTGGAGAAAAGAGACAAGAAAATTTTCCCCTAGCCCTAACCCCGCCTTCGTTGAACTACGTACACATTCAATTGCTGTACTGAAAACATGATAGTTTTATGAAAATGAACGTATATAGAATATAGCCTGGATGCCAGACCCATATAGCACATGGGCCCAAAGTAATATGCAGTGTGCACACTGGATAACTTTGGGCCTAGCTATAGTGTGCTATGGGTCTGGCTTCCAGGCTATACAGACGGTTGGCTGGACACCTACGTGAGAAATGTTTATGTAAATACAGTTCTAATCTTTTGCCACATACAGAATATGAGCTTCAAAGAAAAAAGCAAGCAAAAATCATGTTTACCTGTGTTTTCTTATCGGCTGAGAAGTATGAGTTGACATATTTGTATCCTAGCGGGGCGCCGAAGTTCCCCTCCACGTAACTGCTGCAGGTCTTCCACCGCGGGTTGACCTGGTCAGCCCCTGACAGGACCTGGTTGTACGCGAACACCATGTCACGGAACTGTTTCCCAAGGTTGTTGATGCGGTTCCGAACGATGCGCCACACCATGTAGTTAGCAATGGTTCTGTAGGGAAAAGGAGAAAATGTTCACTAAGAAGGTATCATTTGCTTTAATGCATAATGTTTACCTTCGCATATGGTCTGCCCGGTTCATTCTTACTCAAGCACATTCAGTAATATAGTGACAGGAGTCTAAATCCCTTTTGTTGTAAAGTTGCAACATGATGTAACCCAGCACTAGTTACCATGTTACTACTCTAGTCATTTATCTACATACTGAGTTGAAACCACACTATCCCAATTGTATATTGACCCCCGGCCCATGCAGCAAAAATTCCCAAAATTCTGACGAAAAATCTTTACTGCAAGGGCCCTGGGCTGATTTTCTATCCATCCAGAAAATAAAGGACTCGTCTTGGGGCTTGTTTCTGCAGTTTTAAATGCCCAAAGTATGAAATACTGATAAATGTGCTAATGTGAAGCAATGAAAAGTGAAATGTTTCAGTATCACAAAGATTGCCTTATTTACATGTATAATATTTTCAGGTTTGCTGCCCTGAAATCGCATTGGATGCCTTCAAAACAGCATTTTCATCTTATCATATGTTCAGCTGTTGCCCCACCTGTTATCCCAGATCGTGTCGGGTGAGAAGACCTCTCTGCTGAGGTTCATGAGGTACGGCGGTGCCTGGACGATGACTGGCTCGGACTCGTCTAACACGGTGGTTTCGTTAAAGAGATAGGCATCAGCAAGTGTGTTCAGGTACTGGAGCCAGTCAACCTACGGGTAGAAATGGGTACTTTTAAAATTGTTTCTGTTTCAAAATGTAACTTTACAGATGCGTGATCTCATTAGTGACAGAAAGGTGGGGTCTTGTGGTGTAACGGCAGAACATTCGGTTCAGAACCAAGAGGTCCCGGGTTCGAATCCTGCCAAGTCACACCAACCTTGTGTCCTTGGGAAAGGCACTTAACACGACTTTCCTCACTTCACTCATGTGAAAATGAGTATGCCAGAATGATCATTATCAAAACCAAACCAACCATGTATCGCCCCCCAGTCTCTGATTGGTAATAATATTGGACTCTTAAAAAAACAGGCAAGGAATTTGTGTATGAATGAAACTGTCTTTAGAAGCAAGAAGTTGAACCTATACATAGTAGTTTACATACGTCTGTGTAGTTGTAGTACGCTATCACTAATATTATTTCTGCTTTATCCACGACCTGTACTTAGCTAACCTGTACTTCTTCATCTAACGTATACGTCGTGGTAACAATTCAAAGGTGATAAAATAGGATGATAATGCATTTTGTTCTGGCATTTTCACACCTCCTGGGTCCTCTATTTTATCAGCATGGGTTACTCACCTCCGGAGCGATGTTGGCTTGCATTTCCCCAACAGTCATCTTGTTGTACAGGTTCTCACTCTCCCGTCTGTCTTCAGATGGAACCATAATCTACACACACGGGATGAAAGAACAAACGTTAGACATTTCTGTACCAGGGACCAATCTAGATCGTTAAACGGTCTCCATATGAGTGCACTACGGGAGGCATACCAAAAAGTGTTCAGGACAATTGTTGTCCCTGCTAAGACCTGCTAAAAGCCCTTGTTCCTGAACATATAGACGCGCGGCGGGTGACACGCCAGTCAAAATCCCAGCACAAAAATACGATCTGGTTATCCTGGTCTCCCACACCGTCAATCATTAGAGAACTTTTGTACCATCAATTGTTGCAAATTGAACTTTGGAACAGTCTTCTGAGGGAGATTTCTATGATCAGGGACGGAAAGAGATTTAAATGTGAAGTTAATTCTTTCCTCGGCGCAAAACTCCGACAGCGTTCTGTCTAGGCAGTCCGGCTGCTAATGCTTAGCGAGTGCAAAAATAGATTTTAAAAAGACCTCCTACCTCAGCGAGGAACGTCTCCAATGCCAAGGTCTTGTTCATCTCTTCTCTAACAGTAGAGACGTTGGCACCCAGAGCAGTGGCAGCAGACACCATCAGTTCAAAGTATGCCTGCTTTTGCTGATTATAAAATAAAAGTATTCTATGACGCAACAATAAATTAAGTAGGTAACAATATCAATTACTTGAAAGATTGATTACAACTACTATTTGATATGAGTGCATTTTTTTCTTTCGACGTGACTGACATTTTGTTCAAAAGTGTGTATATTTGAACTTTATTGTTTTTACACTTCTCGATCAATAATGTCCAGTCTCTAATCCTTTATCGTCTATCGCCAATATACCCTGGTTAATATAAAGCATGATATTTTTGACTGAACGTTGAGAACTGAAAATTGAGAACTGAAAGTTGACGACTTATCTTAAAACTTACCCTAGAGTAATTCTCATCTATGTAGTAGTCCCTCCCCAGTCCTAGTGACGGCTGATCCACAGTGATGATTCTCAGAGATGAGTTCTTGGAGTCTACGGACACGCTGGCTTCTATGAAGATATCGTTGTTGTAGGCTCTAAGGGCCAACATGGTGGCCAAGATGTCAAATTTGCTCTCATCGAAGTTAGGGTCAATCACTGGCCATTGGAGGGGACCATTGAGGAAGTCAGTCAGGGGTTTGGTCCCCCGCTGTTCAATCGTTTCTAATGAGAAAAAAGACCATAGTAACGTTGAAGATATCTAAAGGCTGTTACATTGTGAAAGTGTGTTGTGATGTGATGTACAATGTCTTTACTTGCTTGTATTATTGTTGAAAACCTTGTTTCTTATACCAATATTCTGTGTGTACAATAGCAGAACAAAACTGCAGTTTATAGTTTTATTAAGAAAATCAGCCTCACAGCATGAGATACATGTATAACAAGCTGAATTGCACTGATTTGTACAATCATTATGTGGCAGAATATTAACATTACATGCAAAACAAAGAAAACTCAAGCAAAGCTATACAAAATGCCTAACTATGGGCAAAGCAAACTCTATGGCCTCAACTGTCTGTTTACCTAAGTACAGTATACTTCTGTATAATGTCCTTGCCTTACCTAAGTCCATACAAGACCGATAGACGTCCTTGGCCTTTTTGACGGCTTCGATCTCATCGTCTGCCGTGGGCTCTTCGAGAATATCTGAAACAAAAGTTCACATGTCACCTTAGAGGTCTATAAAACTCAGGTCACCATAGGAAAAAGCATTAATGACGGAAGGAAGCCGTAAGTAGTCATTCTGAAAACGGCTTGATATCATCCGTAGGTGGCAAATCTTTCCCCTAGAGGCAGATGTGTCCTTAACGACATGTCTGTGTACGTCTCTAAGTGCCCATCATCGGAACCAAATGTAGAGAGGATTTACACCTACGCACGTCGACGCGTCTTCGTGGATCTATGGATCTTCTTTTAGTAGAATGTCACTGCGAGTATGACTGTACGTTGACCTTAAGTATAAATATTGGTGAAGTATTTAAAAGTTCTAACCTATGGCAATGTACTTCACCTTCTCCCTCAACACACTTATATGTGTACCATATGGACTGTACCATGTATGTTTAGTACTTACCTCTGACGATGTACTGTACCCTCTCCCTCAGCACACTTATATGTGTACCATGTGTGTTAGTACTCACCTTTGACGATGTACTGTACCCTCTCCCTCAACACACTTATATGTGTACCATGTGTGTTCAGTACTCACCTCTGACGATGTACTGTACCCTCTCCCTCAGCACACTTATATGTGTACCATGTGTGTTCAGTACTCACCTCTGACGATGTACTGTACCCTCTCCCTCAGCACACTTATATGCGTACCATGTGTGTTCAGTACTCACCTCTGACGATGTACTGTACCCTCTCCCTCAGCACACTGTACATGCTCCAGCTTGAGGACGTGTCTGGAATCGGGTTGTTCTTCTTCCAGCCTCCGACAGCGAACTCGAAAAAGTTGTCACACGGGTCCACATCGGGATCCATGTTGTCGATTAGAAACCCAGCTAGGCATGATGAAATGATGTTTTTTATTGAGACATTCAGTGTACTTTGTCCCTTATCAAACTTATAGCGAATGGCATGGAATACCGTACATATGGTAATGAATTTTACTCTCTCTCACAGTTAGTTACTGTATTAAAATTCTCTGTCTAAAATGTCTGTTTTCCGTCCCTTGCATTGTCAAGGTCAAAGACACATGAAGTTTCTTAATTTTTTTAATAGCATTTTTTTATTATTTGTGACCGGATATATATCAGCATAACTTACCTGTACTTGCGCATTCTCGTGTGTTGCAAAATTCCACTTCTGGAAAATAAGCCAGAGCAAAGTATTAACTGTAGGAGTGCCTGCATGTTACTTCAACAATTGCGCTTTATTGTGCTATTTTAGTATAATATATTAATGTATATATTAATTGTGTAAATGGGATGTCACGCAATTTTTATTGTTTGTAAGATATAAGATTTATTGATAGACAGTCAATCAGTAGTTTGTGTCTAAATTATATTAGTTGTTCTTATAATCATTGTATGGAGGAACATAGCTATTGACAGATCTGATTGATTAGTTTGTTTGTTATGTAGTTGACACAGTTTTCCCCCAAACACGCCACACGAGCACATGATACATTGTAACTAATCCTGTAAACGCCCAAAGCACACCACAAAAAACGTCACGCTCGGATACAAAGATCATTTAATGACGCAAAAGATACAGTTACCGACGCAAGTAACCCTTTCTTCCATATCAGCTTTATCTCTAAGAATACATTTCAAATAACCAAACCGTTCAGCAAATTTTGCGGTTTAAACCATTATAACGGTTACACATTTAGTTTAAATACGTGACGCTCGGATACAAAGCTCATTTGGTGACGCAAACGATAAAATTACCAAAGCAAGTAACCCTTTCTTCTCTATCAGCTTTATCTCTGGATATTTCAAATAGCCAAACCGTTCAGGAAATGTTTTGATGAAAACCGTTACAACGGCTACACATTTAGTTTGAAAACGTGAGCAGCGTACAATGACTGTTCTGTTGAAAACATGTCAAGGCCTGTTGATGGCAGTTTATCATTAACCTGGTTCTTAGCGTGGGTAAGCACGAGTAACATAATGCAAACTTATGTAACGTGGCGTCAAGAGTCCTTGAGACTTGGTGTATTTGTCTTTTTTTTCTTCTTTTAACTTTAAGAAATTCCAAAGACGATTCACAGTTTCCACGACGATTATGTGTCTCTGTTGTTGTGATTGTTTGATCTAACCCTCAGTATCGTTACGTGCGTATAGACTTCTGTCAGTTTGGCAGCTTTGGCTGCTTGACTTCGCTTTAAAATGACGTGATCACAAACAATGTATGTATGCAGTCATTTTGGACATTGTTTGGGTAGGAGAAGTACTGATTTGCGTCAATAGCAAGGTTCCGTAGTGACTTGTTCTTAAAACACGTAAATTGTATTGACCAAATATTAGTTTTTACATGATACATGCGTCAGTCTTCTTGCAGATACTGACAGACTCTAATCCGAGTATTTGACAAGTAGGCGAGGTTTCCAAAGTGATTAAAGTGTTAACGTTACTAGTGACGCTTGTGAAAAAAGTAGGAAACGCCTTTTTCAAATTATTAATCTTATCTATATGCCTTGTGTTTCAACATTGCTAACTAGAGGCTATGAATTTTTTTTTCAAATTTCAGAACGAGCCAACTACCAAAACTGTAACATATAAGGAGGGAAAAGATATTTTTATAGCTAGATTAATGACTTTGGTAGAGCTGGTATCAGTTTTATTTGAAAAGCATTTTTGAAAAAGCAGCCTCTCTTGGCTACATTTCACTATCTTTTAGCGTACTAACAATGTCAGTAAACATCTAGCTGTGATAAAAGACCTGTTGAGTTGTTTACGGCGAAGGGTTTACCATTGTTGTTCCAAACATATAACTAAGTACCCTATTAATTTGCATGTGGAAAACCTCAACAAACATCGATCGCTCATATCAAGTCTGATCTTGATAATGTAAGAATTGGCTTTTATCCAACTGATATTGGCTAGCACCAAAGATATTATCGTGACCTCCAGGCGGATCTAAATTTGGCGTGCCTGGGTGAGAACCATTACACCTGGCGACCGAGAAATGTTGATGGTCAGCAAATTATGAGATAATGCTACGTTAACTTTGTTAAGGTGAATATGTACTCAACTGATACCCTAGCAGGTGCAACGTTGTTTAAAAACACTTAACAGTTTTCAAAATTACCCGTGATAGTTGTCGAAGTGTTTTCAGTTATTTCATGAAGTTAGTATCAAATTATCTTCATCTTGTTTTGCAGTGCTGAGTCTTCTTTTAGTTCTAACTACAATTTTAAGTTTGGTTTAGTGTTTATGTAAGAGTGATGGGCCCAAAATCGTCTTACGTAAACCCCCCACCCCCAACAAACAAAAGTTAAAACGAAATGTTACCTTCTGAAGCGGATGACGCTTTTTGGCTGGCTAGCACGGCGATGGCCACAACACCTGCTACCGTCACGATTATCAACACCACGATGAGGATGACCTCTCGGGTAGACAGACCACCGCTCTTCTTAAACTCCACGCCGTCATCCCGCTCAGCGTCGCCGTTTAGATACTTAGTGGAAGAAGAAGGGGCCATGTTGGCGGTTATCAGTGACTGTACCGGCCGGTTGCAGGGTGCGGTGTGCGTCTGATGACCGGGTGAAAGTCCCTTTTACCTGTACTATGTACACACGCTGTTGGACTCTGATCTGTACACCTCAACATCTCAGGGGTTACGCCCCTTGTGCTATGTTTATCCCTCTGACATATATTGGCCGCCTTCACTTCACAGACACAGTTGTTCTCTGCTAAATACGCAGTAACTTATTGATAAGTGTAGAAAATCGACCTACAGCATTTCTTGAAAATTTTTAGAATTTGATCAATCTTGTCAGGTGAGAAATTAATACTTGTAGTGGGGTCGCGTGGCGTAATGGCAGAGTTCTCTACTCGGAACCAAGAGGTCCCGGGTTCGAGTCCTGACATGCCACTGATCTTGTGTCCTTGGGAAAGGCACTTTACACGACTTTCCTCACTTCGCTCTCAGGTGAAAATGAGTATTGTATTGTCCCCTGTGTTGGTGGCGGCATTAATATAAGCTGTAATCACAAGACGTGGTGATGACACAATCAATTTTTTTTCATGTTGGAATATAAAAAAAAATTAATCCTTCGAAGAATCAGACTCCAGGGCCATCTACGTACAAGGCTGAGGGATCCGAGTATATGCAGAACTGTCACTGTTTGCATTTGTTATTACACACTATGCAAATATGCACGGCGGTTTACGTCAAATTGCAACTTGACTCCTCTTCATTATGTTTACCGTCAGCTCAGCGAGAGCCGTCAGAACGCTTTGTTGGATTAACTTGTTCTGGTTCATTTGAATCCGTTGGTTCAGTGAACGACATTAGACAAGCCCCAAATCGAATAGCATTTTAAAGGAATGTTATTGTTGGACTGCCATTGTGCTAAACATTGGCCTTGCCTGTTTTTTGGGTAAACGCTATCGTTACTTTGTATGTCTTCTCAGTGCTCGACACAACGTATGCTTAACAATACACTACTTGTGTTCTATTGCTGAATAGCGGTAAATGTTAATCAATGTTAATGGAATCTAAAGTCGTGATATTAGTGATCTTCCCGGATTTAGACTCTTATTTGTACATGTATAATGCGTAAGTCCTGATGATATTTGAAGGACGTGTTTGTGACTTTATGTACAGAAACTGTAATTCAGCACTGGTGCTGCGAAGGTTTTTATTTTATATTTAATAAACCATTCTCTCCCACACACACATACATCTGATCACCAAAGCGCATCAAATCAAGATATGTAGTTTACACGGTTGGGAGGTTGACAGGTTAAAAGGCCAACGCCCTTGAATGGGGCCGGGTCAAGGCTGCTGAGGTTCAGAAATGTCACACCTTGTCTCGTTTTACCACCTGTCGTGCTAGTCTGAGAAACCTCCAAATCCGATAAGAACACTGGATCAAACAAAAGGCGTGCGTTTTGCAGCATCACAGATCACAGTACTTATCACTCGTATGTTGGCACCATGATTTGATTCTCGAAACGTAGCCCAATCTATCTTTGTCCACAAAAGAAGCGGTGTTATAAGCTCATTGGTCAGAATGTATGAAATGGGGCATTTTTTTCAAAGCTGATTTAGAATACTATGTATGGTTTTGGTTTTCCTTTTAATGCCCACGATTATCATATTGATCATTCTGGCATACTCATTTTCACCTGAGTGAAGTGAGGAATGTCGTGTTAAATGCCTTTCCCAAGGGCACAAGATCAGTGACAAGGTAGGATTTGAACCCGGGACATCTTGGTTCCGAGCCGAATACTCTGCCGTTACGCCACACAACGTCCCCACGACAAGGTGGTAATTTTATGGTGAGAAAAAAACCTTGAAAACTTATACTATACAGGCTACATGGATGCGCCGATCGTTGATAAGATAATGGAGCATGAAAAGAGACGGTTTCACAAATTGTCGTCAGAAGTTCCGACTCTTAAAAACAGACTGAGTGAAAACAGAAACACGTGTCCGCAGCAGGCGACGAGACGTTGTCCCGGACCACCCATTGCACCTGTCGGGCACGATTCTCCTCACTCCCGCCAACTTTGCCCTCAGAGTCTACCCAACCCGATATAATACAAGTATCTCTGTTGTATTAAAGGCATCCAATGCGGCTTCAGGGCAGCAAAACTGGAAATATTCTGAATAAGGCAATCTTTGTGATATTGACACATGCTGCTTCACATTAGCACATTTGAGTCAGTATTTCGTACTTTTGGCATTTAAAACTGCAGAAACAAGCCCCAAGATGAGTTCTTAATTCTTTGGGTTGCACGCTGAAGTCAGACCAGGGCCCTCCCAGTCAATTTTCCGTCAGAATGTTGGGTATTTTTGCTCCATGAGGGTTGCAATATACATTGAGACAGTGTGATTTTTGCTCAGTATGCAAATAAATGGCTAGTATATTGGCTTTGAAAAATCGGGTTTCCAAGCCCTAAAAACTGCAATTTTGGCGCTTATGTGTCGCTTGAGATCCAGACTGTCTTGTTAATTTCCGTGTTTTTTCAGAGCTGCCTACGTGAGAACAGTGCTTCAGCGCTGTTGGTACCAGGCCCTACGGGACCCAGAATTTTAATAGGCATATCACATAACTTGTGTTAACAGAAACCATCGGCCGGGCCGCTGCCAAGGGCATGGGGTTAAATGGGGCAACACCATACAAGCACGTTATCGGAATAGCTTTTATCTGCGAACGTGCCAAACCTTTCGTTTGAGGTAAACAGATCAAACTCAAAACAACAACAACCATGCATATGTTTTCCCTACTTTGGAGGTGGTATATTTATCCCGTGTTTACGTATTGAACACAAACTGTCAGACGATTAAAGCTTAGGGCACAGGTGGAGATAGTGACCGGTTACTAATCGCCTTAACATTAGAGATAGTCTCACGTTACAGCTTTGGGGAATCTGTTTTCCTAACCAACATGTTTTTAAGTGAGCGCCCCTCAATCTTATCTATTTACAATGGAGTGTGGCTAATCGCCTCTAATCCAAACGTTTTAATTTCAGAGAAATTATTTTTGAATAGTACATTATTAGATGTCATTTGCATAGAGCATGGGCACAAAAATGGATACACATATCATTAAGCCCTCACAACAAAAGAGTCCCAAACTACAGTAAGTATCAGTGGCTTGGTTCTTTGTTCTAACACTAAAGCAGTTAAAATTGTGACGTCAAACTTTGTCTGCACGTAGCGAAGACAACACCCTGTCAGGGGACCGTAATTATAGCGCTTGGAGAAAGCGAACCACTGACCCTTGACGTATTTGCCAAATTATAGCCAGCCCTCCGGTCCATCAAAGCAAAATAAGTCCGAAGAAACGACACGGACGAGAAGTAGAAGCCGAAATGCACATCTTACCTTGTTGTCGAGGATTTGCAGACCCATGTCCCTATGAGAACAACCCTGGCCGACGATTAAACGGATTGTGACACTCTTTGTTTACGCTAAGCGCTGCCTGTTTACAGTGAGACCTGTTGGCTTCAGCGGCAGCATTGTCAGATAAGCCCCGATCTACCACGCGGTGCATCCCGCACCCCTCACCGCGTCGGGCCTTGCCATAAATAATGTGTACCTTATGTCGACGGCGACCCCTACACTACACCTCTACAGGAAGTATTGCTTAATGGAGCTGGACTTTCACACGAAAACGGTCGCCCTGTCTCGTCAGGATGTCAGGAATCAAGTAGGCAGTTCTGGTAGCTTCTGGAATGTTAGATATGTCTACTGTCCTGACGAGTGTTGTTAGCGATAGATTTGGCTGTGAAACCATTCAATATTATACATCGTCTTTCTTCTCAGAAAAACTATCATGAAGGAAATTCGTTATGCTTTTTAATTCTTTGATACTAGACGGTCTAAAAAATTGAAATCTCTTGCTTGCTTTGGTAGAAAAAGTTGGGAAAATCTTTGATACAAAGATCTATAATGTCGACTCCATATCAGCAAGCGTAAAGGATATGAATCCATGGATATACAAGGTAACTTTGAAAAGTTTGCCTGTACTACACAACTACATAACTTCAGAATAATGACTGTTATCTGTATCACCTAAGAACATACCTCGCATATCTGGAAGGACTCGGCATCCCCGGGCATTGAGGCGTATCTTGGCAAACACTCCTTCTTTAGAAGAGGTTCATTGTCTCAGTATCCGGTCAGAGTCTATCGTCAGGTGGTCACCGTTATACTGTTCCCTCCTTGGGACATGTTAATCTGGTTAGCAGAAAGGGATCTGACCCACAAGCACCTATGTGAACCCTATTCACAACTGCTGGCCCCTGTGTCACCAGAACTCATGCAATCACACACATCTAACGCCTGGGGACAGGTATTTTTCGGAAATTAGCCGGGGCAACAAGTGGAAAGATTCACAGATAAAATTTCTTTAAATAGAAAAGCTGTGTGTTCTGTACACAATCGTCTCAGTGAATATCATGATTATGAAAATTGCCATCACCGAAGATCAGCCATTCTTGTCAAGTTGACTCGCTCACTCGTATGATTACATTTCAGCGCATACATGACATATCTCTACATTTGATCGGAAACTGCCACTGATCCAACATTGTTTGCGTACCTCAAACAGGTTCTATTGAATGAGAGATTGATATCATTTTGATAAGACATGTGCTTGGCATTCAGCTTTAGTTAGTATACGTAAAGCTCCCTTGCCAAGTCAACCATGAGCACCTTGCACTGATAAAGATGAGTACGTGTGGGGTTAGCCTCCTGTGCAGGCCTCCGGGCGGGTGGAAGTTTTCATACTGCGTTTCTAGTTATTCGTAGACTTTTTATGTACCCACCACGGAGCCTGCTTCCATTCGGCACGGGAAAAAAGCGTAATTAAAAATCACTCTAGACAAATTGGTATGGACTTTCATGGCGGGTACAAACCTTCTCTGGGCGGCCGGTTGTAGGATGACCGGCAAACAAGGACGCGTTGAAATTCTACGAAACGCAGTATGAAAACTCCCACCCGCCCGGAGGCCTGCACAGGAGACTAACCACACACGTACTCATCTTTATCAGTGCAAGGTGCTCATGGTTGACTTGGCAAGGGAGCTTTACGTAAACTAACTAAAGCTGAATGCCAAGCACGTGTCTTATCAAATGATATCAATCTCTCATTCAATACAACCTGTTTGAGGTACGCAAACAATGTTGGATCAGTGGCAGTTTCCGATCAAATGTAGAGATATGTCATGTATGCGCTGAAATGTAATCATATGAGTGAGCGAGTTAACAGTGACAAGAATGGATGATCTTAGGTGTGTGGTTCGGTGGGGGGATGGACAGCACCATTCACCAATTTCAAACTTCCCATAATGCCTAGTAACGGTTACGGATATGACGTAAGACCACCCCCTCCCCTTTCCTCCATGTAATATTTCCAACAAGTTCTATCGTCAAACTGGTCAACTATTGTTTTGAATTATTTCTCTAGTATAAAGCGCATGCCATAATTGCATTTTTGTTGGAATTAGAGAAAATGACGTACCTTCTTTGTTCTAATATACGTAATGCGACCGTGCGAGTAGGAGAGTCTTCGGTAGAAGGTGGAACGATAGAAGGTATGTCATTTTCTCTAATTCCAACAAAAATGCAATTATGGCATGCGCTTTATACGAGAGAAATAATTCAAAACTATAGTTGACCAGTTTGTCGATAGAACTTGTTGGAAATATTACATCGAGGAAGGGGGAGGGGGTGGTCTTACGTCATATCCGTGACCGTTACTAGGCATTATGGGAAGTGTGAAATTGGTGAATGGATGTTGATCTCTCCGAACGTGAGCCTGAATGCAAATACATTCTGGCAGGGCGCCAACTCACTTTACAAACAAAATCTTAGGAAGAGACCTTCAACTGTTCAGGCACACACATGACCATCTGTACAAAGGGTCAACTACAACAGGTTAGGACGGGTACCGGTTGTCAGGTCCATGAGTAGAAGTCATCAGTCGTTGGACAACATACGTAAGTACGCCCAGCGTGCTTCTGATTAGGATCTGCTGGGAATCCACGATTGTCGGACACCGAGCTGAAGGTCACTGACTAGTGCTAAGGCCATGTTGATTTGATTGTATGGATGACATTCGCGCGCGTATGAATTTCGTCCGTTTCAAAAAAAAAATTTTCGACCATACTGTAAATCGTACAAAATATATGTCGTATGTTGCAAAACAAGTATTGGAAAACGATACTAATGTCATATAGAATGCCGAAATCAATTCAGAAAAAGAAGAAAGTGCATGTGAAAAAATGAGAATGAAGAGTCAATTATTATTCGCCGTAGAGATATACCATACTCTGTGTGTTTAGTCATTTGTTCAAACTTTATTACCACGCAGATTTCATAATGAAGGAACCTTTTTTTGCCTTACTTTTTTTTATTCGCACATTCGCGTCAGTTTTGAGGTTCCCAGAGGATGTCATCCATATAATCAAATCAACATGGCCTAAAGATTTACACTGCAGCTATGCCGGAGGGGGATAGGGTTGCCCCGGTCTGCCCATACTGGGCCGTGGGGTTAGGCTTGAATTAGGCTTGAATTCCTGTTTTGACGAGTTTGGCATTAGAACCTGGCGTCGGGTGGCGTAGTGGTAGAGCGTTCGACTATGAAACGGAGAGACCCGGGTTCGATCCCGAGTTGTACCCGGGACATGCGCCCCGACGTTGTGCCCTTGGGAAAGGCATTTTACACGACTTTCCTCACTCCACCCAGGTGTGAATAGGTACCTAACTTCGGTTGGGGAAAGTCGTATTGAGGTCACCTCTTGCGACAGTCAGGCACAGACCCTTGCGACAGTTTCACAATAGTGTGTGGAGCAATTATATCTATCATTATTATAAGGTGATTGTAAACCCTGCATCAATTCAGCCCTACGAAGACTACAATTGCACGGGTAATGATTGACCAGTAAACCGACCTTTTTGTGTCATATAAAATTGCTCTGGTTCTTTCAGGCGTTTCGAGACGGTCCTCGGACATTTCTAGAAAATGTTTGATGCTAGTCAAGGATAAATACGTTGTTTTAAAGTATTGAATATCTGTACGCTGTCACACGTTGTGGATAAATGAACTTATGTATTTTAAGTAGAAAACTGTTGAGTGAGTGATAGCAAAATGGGATGGATAGATAGATAGATAAATAAAATGTAAAGCACAAGGAAAAGATATTTTGTGACTTGACAGTAGCTAAGAAGGAGCAACACTAAAAAGCCCGACAGCTGGACTTGGTGACGTAGTCATGTAGCTGCCACACAGCGGACTCCGCTGGACCTTTAACATTTTCCAACGTGTCGTCTGATAATGACGTCATGAATACACTAACCTGGCATCTGTGCCAAGACACATCACGGTAAAGGTGACAACAGGGAGATCAGAGCACCCGGGGACAACACGCATCAAGTGTCAAACCACCGCCAAGTTTACTTCGTTCCGCCCTTGGCCTTGCTAAGGTAGGCGAATTCCACAACAGTGCTCAAGCCAGATGGGACACCTACTTCTAGATGTGTAGCTTTATAGGTTTGATTCCCGAATCGGACGACTTATAATGTAATTATGTTTACCGAAGGAAAACATATTGTTTTTACTCGGTTTCTTCCTCCTCTTCTCTAGCTTCCAAACACTAACCTCTGACCTGACCAATTGCATGATTTGTTGACGTCTGCCACCATGGTGACTGGTGTTGGGTTACATAATGTTGCAATTTCATGGTCTGCTCTACTCCTGTCCCCATACACTAGTAGTACATGTATGTGAATGTGTTTGAGTAAAAATTAACAGGGCAGACCATGTCCGAAGGTAAACATTATGCATTTGCTTTCCAAATGTTACTTCTCTAGTTATAAGAGTATCATGTAACATACATCAATCATGTAATGAGAACTAAACATTTTCACATTTTCCAATCTATAGGTTTTGTTGCAAATATAACACTTCTTTCAAATTGGTGCCTAGGAGCCAAAATATTCTGACTGTCCTCTTTTAGAGAAGCTCTTACGAGACGATATCGAAGCATCTACCTGAAAATGTCTAAACTTGAGAAAATGAATACAAAGACATACGTACGGGAAAGTATGTTATATTTCCTCCATATGTTGACAGTCGGCGTGGAGAGCTGTCATTATTTACTTCTAGTGTTTGTATCTATAGATACTGTCATCTTCTGAGTCATAACGCTTTTCATAAACATTATAAACATTCATAATTCATAAACATCAACCGATTCCACTTCTAAAACAACCTATGGTATTGAAAACAAACATTGCCATATTGGCCCGAAGAACACATCCTTAGGATACTCTAACCCAATCTGCAAGTTACCAATATTACATACATTCGCATTCTCAATGTGTTAACATTTCTCTACCGGTTGCACATCTCATTTCTCTACCTAAAATATTCCTAAACTTCATAGGTGGAGCTTTGGTTCTGTCATCTTCATTTTAAACTTTCCTTTTTCCGTTAGTATCTGCTGCCTGACTGATATTTGTCTCTCCTGACAGTTACGTGGATTTCTGCTGGTTACATGCACAGTCCGACCCTGGCGCCGTCCCCGGACACACACATCAGCCCGTCCGTACACGGGCAGTGCCAGAAGCGGTGCTTTCCGTCCAGCGGGTACGGCAGCTCCTCCGCCTTGACGTGGCACGGCTCTCCCCTCTTCCCCATGGTCTTGCAGACGTACACGGCACCTAGCGGGCTCCAGCGGGAACAGCAGCTGTCCCTGGTCCCGCCAGCGATGCACTGAACGTCATTTTCGCATACCTGGGAGGAACAGAGATATAATTGTTAATCACTCTATATTCGTCATACTTTATATATATAATTTCGCGGTTTTCACGGTCACTTCTGTACCGCGAATTTATTTTATTTTATTTCATGAAGTTTTACAACATTTGTGGAAGGATTGACATAACAGGTGACTATCACCTCTTCAAGATGTCAAACCTGAGACCAGAATGTAAGGTTTGAACCACTCACACAGGGAAGGTCCCCTACTCTTTTCGATAAGTGCGGTGCACGTGGGTTCTTTAACGTACGTGGGGTGTTGCTCTCCCAAACACGGGACCTCCATTTAACCTCCTACCCGAGGGACGTCCCTAGCCAAAGCTAGGTACTCACTTCCACCTGAGTGAAGTGAGGAAAGTCGTGTAAAGTGCCTTTCCCAAGAACACAAGATCGGTGGCATCGGGCAGGATTCGAACCCGGGACCTCTTGGATCTGATAATGATGAGCCGAACACTCTACCGTTACGCACACGACCCTACTTTACATGAGAACTGTGCCAACGAACCCATCTGCGCTGCAAACTTCTCATTATGAATCACATGGAAAATAGATGATGAGCCACTGGATTCACTCTAACGACCCAACTGTGGCCCAATTAAATATTACGAAAGTCCTAAAGGAGGACAGGTCATCGAAAATTTAATCCTGTTTTTTTGACAGATGAGGGAGTATCTGGAGATTGGAGGAGACAGGCACAGGTGGTAGTCCTGTATGAGATGGAGAGAAAATCTAGTTCAACACCTGGGTCCTACAGGGTCAAGGACTGTGAGTCTAAAAAGACTGGAGTCACGGTCAGTTAAGGGAGGGTTCCTCCGTGGGAGTGACAATACCCTGGAATACTCTTCTTTCATTTTGAGGCAGCCACCTTCAACTAGCTGAAGATTCTGCTGCCTTTTCGTAGCTAATACGAGATGAGGTTCACTAGGCCTTCATCCAGGAAAGTCGTGTAAAGTGCCTTCCCAAGATCGGTGACATGGCAGGGTTCGAACCCGGGACCTCTTGGTTCCGAGCCGAACGCTCTGTCGTTACGCCACACGACCGCACACTCTCATAATTATGATGACAGTGACATATGGCAACATGGCACTTGCACTGTCTGATGGTTGTATTTGCCGATCAGTTTTAAATTTATCATAAATCAACAGTTAATGACCACTGTCTCCATCTATTCGTACAGATTTTTGTGAGTCACAGTGTGGCTTTTGCTAATAATTCACGTCAGGTTAAACCCACAGAATACTGAAAAGAGCCGAACTAAGTTTGTTGAAAGGTCAGATATAGGTTGGGTTTTTTTTTCAGAAAGCTACGAAAAGTTCAAAGTTCAGAATTTTGTTTGACATTTGGGACTTATTTAAAGTCTTAACATGCTCGTTGGCGACACATTAAGGTACGTAATGGTAAGGCTCCATCTACGTTTGATGACACTTTAGAGACAGCGGTGTCGTTATCTTAATGTACAAGACAGCAGGTATGACGTCTCAAAGAATGAAACATATTTTCACCGTCTTCGAACAGATTGTGGCAACTTTAAGAAGCTTGTGTCTGGGAAAAGTCTATGAGAATGGAGGTGGTGTGTTTGTTAATCTGAACCTATTTTATCAACAGTCCATACCAAACCTTACTGGCGTAGCAGCATGCTATGACGATTCTGTTATTAGTTCAAATAGAGCAGGGTCCCAGCGGGGCGTAATGGCAAATTTAGCGGGGGCCAAAAATTGCATGAAATTAAGAGCGGAACGCCGCGTTGAAGATTGGGCACTCCTCTTGTGTGGGTGATGGCACGGTGTTAGGTGCAGAGACGGTCCCGCTGACACAAAGAGGGCGGCGGGAGAACATGAAGCAATTTTACGCTGAGCTGAACGTGAGTCGGCATCTTTCACGCCCTTGCCAGCTGACTTTTAGACAAAAGAAATTCGCAACAACAAAAAAGGGTTTTAGTACAAAAGGCAGGAAACTGCCGAGAAAACCTGTTGAACTCAATGTGCCATTTGCAGACCCGAACGCACCAAAAGAAAGAAAGACTTCAACCGACATACAGAACTTTCAGATGTTATGTTTGGTAAAGGATATAGGTTAGTAACCCGCACTGACCGTCTCTGTATTTAAAGATTCTCTTCCATTGTATACAAGATAATTTCCCTAGTTCTAGAATTTTAAATAGAAAAGAAAAAATTCACATTCCTTATGAAACCCGTACTATAAGTTCCATATGTTCTTACATTTACAACTGTCTTAAGAAGAGAAGAAGCAGAACCTGTACATATGTAATACAATGTACAATGATGGCCTTTCGTTCATTTAAAACAACTTACTGCTTTGTATGATTCGTATAACCCACGTAAAAGCTACCTTTGTTAACGCGTTGCTACCGTCTGTTGTTAAATATTATTCAGTTACCAGGGCTAGCTCTTTATAATAGCCTCTGGTTATAGATAATTTTATACAGCCTAATAAGCCATATCAATCATATCTTCATGTTATAACCCTAAAACTAAATTTCGGTTGACATCAAATTGCTTCAGCACTAATAGAAGTTGTGTAGGGGTAACACAATATTTGACAAAACAACTCAAAATAGGCAAAAAATCCTAATCAGTACTTAAAACTACTGAGAGCGCAAGTTATACTTAAACATTTCTTTACATTTTTTGAGTGCCATTTCTAATGTAGACAAGGCAAAAAATTGCTTTATTTCTCAAAATCCTGTGAATTCGGACCAAATCTGTAGCAACAGATTGCACTTCGTACGCACAACACTGATCTTACGGACACCCAGGTACAAACACACCCATTTGAAAACTGCGATTAAAACGATTGCGATTCCATACTCATTTAACCACCTGTTAACAAATATGTCGTTTCCAAACCTTCCGAATTCCAATCTCCTTATAAATCAAGTTGAAAGAAACAACTCCGTGGAACTATGATAAGAATGAATTCAAAGAAATCTATAAGCCTTTCTATTCAAATTCAAAACACAAAGAACACTACAAGTATACAGAATACACAAAGTACCTATGCTTGTTATTTCTCTAGAGTAAACGTGTACAGGGTGGAAAGAAATATTCAATATCCCACAAAAGTACAAATGTTTGAGGTACATATTCCTTAACTATGAGTAACAGCAAATCTATTATTTTATCACGTTCTATTATTCGTGAAACTCCGTACTTACCCCAGTGATGACAGCTCCGGATACTAAGGTTAAGCTTGCTGCTAGGATCACAGCAAAGTAAAGTTGTCTTTGCCTCATCGTGACCAGTCGTCTGAGGGTTTTCATCAGAAGCGTCTCCTTGTAGCAGTGTCGATCTCGACTCTCTCTTAATGACACTCAGCTCTGTCCCTCGTATATAAAGCTCATATATAAATGGGGCATCATTGATTTGTGACATCTTCGCGGGAATATGAATGACACGCCCACGTCATATTCGAGAAAAGACGTGTCCCAACCAGATGCTGACTCAAAGGACACATTGTAAAGAACGCGGAAACTTCAGACACTGGCCGGGCTGTGAGTTAACTGACGTTGGAATCACCAGGATACCTATTATGTCATGATCAAAAGAAGCCAGTGTTACGTGTTTTTTTAAAGTTATGGCCATGTTGATTTGAATATATGGATGACATCCGCGCGCGCATGAATTTTCGGCCGTTTCCAAAAAAAAGTTTTCAATCATACTGTAAATCGTACAAAAAAAGTTGCAAAATGAGCAAATAAGTACCGTAATTTGCAAAATTATATATTGGAAAACGATACCAATGTCGTAGAATGCCAAAATCAAACGAAAAATACGCAAATGTAAAGATTTGAATTTGAAGAGTAGATTAGTCGCCATACCATACTCTGTGTCACTTGTTCAACCTCCATGAACACGTAGATTTCATAATGAAAGCAACTTTTTTTTGCCAAACTTTTTTATTACTTGCACGCTCGCATCAGTTTTGAGGTTCCCAGAGGATGTCATCCATATAATCAAATCAACATGGCCTGATGGATATGGGCATTAACAATTGACGCACAACATAAGCAGCTGCTTTTAGATTCTGTGTCATAGCTTCAATCATTGAACTAAGAAACGATAACTCCAAACATCCCCAGAATACCCACGTCATTTATGTCATGTCCCGACTCCATATCTACGTACTTAGGCCAATATATATATGCAGTGAACAACAAAAGAGAGAAAGTATTGTAACAGATAGTAACGCCTAACGCACATCATGTCATACGCCGTTTACGTTCATATTCCTGTAGTAATACTAGTAATCTCTTAGAATAGACTTGATTGAATTGTTCACATTGTCATCGATGCCATACATTGTACCGTGTACGACTGTCGAGCAATAAAGTTCATTCATTCATTCATTTGACATTTATGACTCGTGTGTTACATCAGACACGCACTACCATGGCAGCTGGCTCTAGATTTTGTTCCACCGACGCAAATTGTATTTGATAACTTGAATGTTTCAGTCATAATTATTTCAAAGTGAAAACCTGTACACTCACAATGCCCGACGCGTGCACTTAACTACCATTAGCTTTTTCACTTATTTTTAGCAAATTTGACATTCGAATGAGCACAATTCTAATAGAACCTTTATGCTTAATAAGTCACATAAATATAATTTTTGTTGGCTTAATTTTCTTTCTCGTTCGTTATCAAGATAGTAATTAACGTTATCCTATGAAAACGGCCAACAATGTCTTGATTGCAAAGGTAAACGGATACTAGCAAACCATAGTTACAACATTGAAAGCAGCCAATAGAGACGTTAACCTTTCTTCCTTGACGAAAATTCATTTAACCATTTTCCTTCCAACGAATTACGAGCTAATGTTGTGAATTGCGGCAAATCATCATTCTGTTAAAGGCTCTCTGATGGCTAAAAAAAGCCGCGTAATTTTTCTGGAAAATTATTCTCCCTAGTTGGCCTACTGTTTCAGAACACTGAGGGGATCATGTGAAAACTTAATAAAAAAAAACTAGAAAGGCCAACATTTGCTCGAGAGCAAATACAGCATATTTCAGTCCATTTAACCCCTTCCAATTCCAAAATGGACTGTTCTATATCAAACTTTTCCATCCAGTATCAAGTTTTTCAGTACCCTTAGTTCTCAAAACTCCTGTAAAGTGCTTTTCAATATTCTCAAAAACTGCACCAATATAGAGATTTTAAGAAAAAGTGTTCTTCAGGTCATTTGGTTTTAAAATTCTAAGGGGGCCGGAGCCAAAATGTACATTTTGTTTTAAAATATTTTTTTAAAAAGTCCCATTTTGTCACAATTTTAGGCAGTGTATGCCAAACATGTGAATAGCATTCTGTGGACATGTGTCCACGGGCTCCCCAATTCTAAATTTCAGGTCATTTGGCTTTCGTATGAGGACACAAGCCAGAAATGTACATTTTTGGTTAAGAAATAGCAAAAAAAAGTCCAATTTTACATAATTTTAAAGTGACACGTGCCAAAACGTGAATATTGTTCTGCGGTCCTGCGGAGGTCAATGACCTCCTCCACGGAGTAAAACAATTTGCCTATTTCAACCTGCCCACGGGTAATTAAGGCTTATATAAATGAGCCGCTTCTTCTGTCCCCCACATTCACCTCACCGTCACGCCCTTAAGAGCACACCCAAGGTGATAACCCATCTCTGTGTACGCACTTACGTGAGTCATCATCAGTGGGCGTTTTAAGTGTAACATAATGAAGGTGGTTTTCCTGTCTGTAGCGGCAGCCGCCTGCCTGGTGCTGATGTGTTCTCACCACGCCGTGGGAGGGAACGTGTGGGACCTGCTAGACCGGGTGGACAAGCGATCGGTAAGTGGTGAAAGACTTCGTAAAAAAAGAAGCCTTTCTAGAATAAAAAGACTATCTTTACATAACCAAGAGGTTTAACAGTAAGAAAGTAGTTAAGTCTTCTCAATTCAAACTGGATAGATTGTTAATTACAAGACGTGGTGACGGCACACTCAAGTTTTTATCAACTTATATTAATGCCGCCACCAACACAGGGGACAATACAACACTCATTTTCACCTGAGAGAAGTGAGGAAAGTCGTGTAAAATAACTTTCCCAAGGGTACAAGATCGGTGGCATGTCAGGACTCGAACCCGGGACCTCTTGGTTCCGAGTCGAGCACTCTGCCGCTACGCCACACGACACCCTTCATCAGTAAGTGATGAAGAAGGGTGTCAGATGAACACCTTAAACGTCAGCTGAGTAAAACTCTATCCAGGTTGAGAAGACTTAACTACTTTCTTACTGTTACGACGTACCCTGGATGAACAATCTTTACCAACGAACCAAGAGGTTTATTCAGCGCAGCCGACGTTTCGGTGGCCGCCTGTGGCCTTCCTCCGGGCAAATCTGACTGGGTCACAGTTTTCTGTTCTCCTCCCTGTACCATTCCTTGCATGACGGTTTTGGCTAGTCTTGATGACCGTGATATGTGGCCACAGCTCACTTCAGTTTTTTTGCTTCTTAACTGTAGTTAGGACTATAGTGACTGTAGCTAGGAGGTCGTCACAATAAACTAAGGGCCCATGCTTTGTTGAGTTATCTTTGGATATATACATGTACATTATATATATACATGTGTACGCGGTCACTACATGTTGTTTTCCCTAGAATCTTCCAGAGGCATTTCGTTTCTGTGGTCTGTGTTCTTCTATCCCCTGTCAAAACTAACGTCTCTGAATCTCTAACCCTCAGTGCCGTGGAAAGATTCCCCAGGGCCAGTTCTGTAAGCCCGGTGACCAGAAGGACGTGTGCTGTGGGTACATGGGGTGTTACAACGTCAGGGGACACGGCTGTAACCCAGACAAGGAAGTCTGCATCTGTCGTCCAAAGAACCGCTATCCCTTCTAGTGTCTCTGGCTGCTGACATGGGATCAACAACCCTCTTCAACTCTCCAAATCCTTAGAACTGCTTCATCACTAGTCCTGTATTATTTTAAAGGATTCTACATTTTCATGAATGTGTATGTGAAGCAACAGACAACTGAGGCACAATAACTTACTCCAGATTGAAAGTGCTGTAATGAAGTTTTTTAATAAATGGTGAAGCAGAATTAAAACTGATGTTCGTGTATGTGTTTTAATGATTCTTGAATTTTCAACTACTTTCCTCACTGTATGTTTACAAAGAGTAACTTTTATCAGCTTTTCTATTAAACAAGGCATTTTAGCAAGGGACCACAATCTATTAGGAAGGGGTGATAATGTTGATAGAACTTGAGGCCCTTTCTTTATCAGTTAAGATTTTTTTATATATTTCATATTTTTAAACACATGTACAACAAAAACTTACAACAAGTGAACAGAATATGTGAGAGACTAGCAAAATAACAAAACATGTCAAAAACTAGCCCGGAAACACTGGGCACAGCTTCCATATACTATTGCATTGTAGGTGGCCACAACTCAAAGATAGGACCATTACTTAAAAGTTATAGCCTTCTTACCAAACCTATTTGCAGAGAGGACAGAAGAGATTTGGTAGCTAAAATAGGTTTGGTAACCAGGTGCTAATAAGATTATCCCTAACATATCACAATGAGCCCCTCAGCCCACAGGTAAGTTGCCACCTGTAGGTTATCCTCAGGCTCCAGTCCCAGTCCTTTCACCTGGACTCTGTCTTCTCTCCCCATCTTCACTAACTTCTGCAAGACTGGAAGGAACGTGGCAGGGAACTTCAGGCCTTGTGGCTAAAAAAAACACAAAGGACAAAGTTAAAATGTTTACTCTTGACAAAGAGCAAGACTGTGTAAGGTACTAGGATCCAAGCAGAAGTTTAGGCTTTGGCGTACTGTATTTTATATTCACGGGAGCAAAATTTCATAGTCTGAGAAAAAAGCAGGTGTTCACAGAACTACTAAGTATAATATGTTGACGGTGGCGGCAGGTGCAGAAAAAAGAAAGTGGACAATTGATTTGTTAGTGGCAATGAAATGTTTGTGGTATGGAAGTGACTGCAAAAATCGCAAACATAAAAATACAGTGAAAAAAATCAGGAATTACAGTATTTTTGGCATGTTTTAAGTGTTTATATCCACTGGCTTTCTTTTTTGCACTGCCAATTGATACTGCCCTGCCTATGATACTGCCTTGCAGCAAGGAGCTTCCACACTTGCATACACTCCCTTAGATGGAACATCAATATGTCATGTGTAAAGCTGGTGCTGACCTGATCACGGCTTGTGCCCATCATGTGTTCCTCTCTCCTGTTGTGCAGACAGTGGTACAGGTACACCCACTCCTGGTCACTCTGGGGAGACTTCTCCCTTCCTCTGTCCTTATCATCATCAGCAGCAGTGATGCTGTCATCTTCATCTTCCTCTTCATCATCATCATCATCTTCTTCCTCATCATGGTCATCATCATCATCACCATCTTCATCATCCTCCTCATGGTCACCATCATTATCATCATCATCATCATCATCATAGTCATCTTCCTCTTCATCATCATCATCTGTCTCATCTTAGAGAGAGAAAAGCATGAACTTTCAGTGTCTGCACCATTGAATATGCTCCGTACACATACCTTAAAAATAACTATACAGGCTTTAAGATTCTTGTGGTATTTTATCTTATTCACATATATTTATTGAGTATTGGGCAAAAAGTTGCTTATTAACACCTTGTACTCAAAAACATACAACAAGTGTAAACACATTGACAAAATACATGCATAATTACAAGGTGGGTAAAACCAAGATAAATACAAACAAGACAAGTTGGTGATCTATCAATTACGAGAATCTACCCGTACAGTAAATGAAGTTTTGAACTACATCCTTGTGGTATTACAGCCCATGCAATTCAGACGAAATTGCACAAATACAGGACCAACAGCATCGGTGGAAATGATGCTGTTTAGTACCTTGGGTTTCTGCTGGTTGTGAACACAGCGCCATGTAGCCAGGAAACCTCATCTTTATGAAACTGTTCAGGCTGGGAGGGGTGCCTGTTGTAAAAAAAAAGGTTACAGTCATGAAAAGGCTATTCAGGTACAGAGAACAGAGAAGTTGTTTCTAGCTGCAACTCCCAGACTTTTAATAATTAATTTTACAAGACATCTGACATGCACCTGCAGTTACTATAAGGAATCAAACATCACACAAATATGAAAGTAATAAAAGTTGAATTCACAAAAGTTTATGAATAAGGAGGCACCAATTTTAGTAGTGATGCTGGATATGAGCTAAAAACACAGAACATATACTTTATCTACATTCAACAAATTACTAAAAATGTGACTTAAAACATTAAAGGATAAAAACCTTTAGGAGAAGCAAGAGGCTGAGATGTGTCCTTGTAGTAGGGAGGCAGCCTGTTACTCATGAAGTCCTGCAGTAACTCTGGAGCCAGCAAGGGGGCACTGCTACTGCCTACCTGATCAGCCAAGCTGAGTAGCAGCTGCTTTAGATGCGACCTCATGTTCTCATTGTCCTGGAGAGGGTGGGTAGGAAACTTGAACTTTAAGAGGCAAGTAAAGTGCTCCAATGAAAATTTGCATGCATTACAATGTGTATATCATGGATTGCAAAGCTTAACAGTTCCCCATCATCATAGCAAGCTTTCTTGCTCTCTGATCATGACATATCCACTCTGGGCATTTCTATGTACAAAAAACATGCAATATTTGTGCAATATCCTGTAAATCAATTTTTACTCTGTGTATGTTTAGTCATTTTGTTCAACCTTCATGACCACATAGATTTCATAATGAAGCCAACTTTTTTTTCCAAACTTTTTTTTTTACTTGCATGCTCACATCAGTTTTCAGGTTCCCAGAGGATGTCATCCATATACTAGTAATCAAATCAACATGGCCTGTATAGATAAGACGATCAACCTTCATAGTGTTGCACCTAGATTTTTGCTGCTGCACCAAAATTTATCCTGTTGGGAGCACCAATGCTCCTGAATTAAAAGCCAAAAGTTAGTCTGAGAGTCCTGAAAATAATATCTATAGTTTTTTTAGGTACATGTACACATTCAACCTTTCTCCTTAAGACAATTTGGCAGCTGATTTTGGCTCTGATGTCTTCATGAGGGCACTGTGCTTTCTCCCATGTCCTATGTCTATGTCATATTGTGATGTAATTACCATCAAGTATGCAAAGCATTCAGAGCAGACTGCTATAATTGTTACAAATGTACCTGTCCCATAGGAACCCCCACAGTACTGAGTGTTCCGACTGGCAGGCCCCTCCTAAACCCCACATCCCTGTCCATCACAGACTGTACCAGCATGGGGAGGGCAGATGTCAGCAGGTCACCATAGGAGCTGGAAACACCAGAAAAACATGCATGAGCAAGTTAACGGAACGTACTGTGCTTTCGCAAAACCTGTGATGTCTTGTGTATATAGCACTTACACAAATCGTCTTCTTTAGGGCGTATTCACATATCTAAGGATGATATCCCATCTACGAGCTGGAAACACCAGAAAAACATGCATGAGCAAGTTAACGGAACGTACTGTGCTTTCGCAAAACCTGTGATGTCTTGTGTATATATAGCACTTACACAAATCGTCTTCTTTAGGGCGTATTCACATATCTAAGGATGATATCCCATCTAATAGTATATATTTTGAATAATGTGGTGGAAAACAGCAAAATTTTGAATTATCATGAAGCAACCACATCTAAGAAAAACCATGAAAAATCTGGGTTGCAAACATACTAGTACATACATTTTTGTAGAACTTGTGTGTTCCCTAGAACTGCGTAATTCAGCCTTTTTTTACATTATTAGGCTGCAATGTTGTTTTAGTTTTGTGTCAATTTCCAAATAACTATTTATACACATACGTGTATCTCTTGTCAAAATATCATGACTGCTACTCAGTGTCATCATTATATGCAGTTAGTTGTAACAAAATTCACTTCAAATCTAAATGAAAACATTCAACATGAGGAAAACACTAATGTTTCTGTAGATATCAACATAATTTTTATACAGATGTCTTCTTGACAAGACAAATTTGCATGTTGATGAAACAGAAGACCCTTGCTCACTTCCTCTGGTATGTACTGATGGTGACATGTGTGGAGTGTTGTGTCCCTGCTGGAGTGTCCGCCTGGTGAATTGTGCCACGGGGGAAGTACAACATATCTCCTGCCTAGGAGGAAAAATACAACTATTTAAACATTTAAGATTGAGCTTCAACATAGTCAAGTTCCAAAGACACAGTTCAAATAAAGATTTTACACTTTGTATCTGAATGTGAGACTTGAAGTGCATACTGATAATCACTGAAATCAGAACAAGACTGGCAATGAAAACACACATTGCCATGGCCACGATGGTTGCTGTTAGGGTTAATTGTTTGCATGGCACTGCCATGATTTCATGATTTTGAGGAAGCCTTGGTAGCTGCCTGATACAAACATGTAGGTCTAGAACGATACACTGCTATTCTCCCCTGAGTGTATAGTGAACGAGCCCCAGGGTCACAGAAAGTAGGGCATCCGGGGCAGACAGGTTTTCCCAAGGGTTTCCAGGAATGTGGGAATTAATGTGTGTCAGCAATTGCAAACAGAGCTGGGAGACATTCCTGTGGACATTCCATGCCTGTGGACAAAATTCCCGTACAATTCCTAAAATTCTTGCAAATTGCACACAATACTGTACCATTAGGCTCCTCCCTGAGATGTCACCAAAAATACTTTATACTTAAAAGCTAGAGTAACAGAGAAATTTTACCTCTAAGACAAAATCATGTATTGGCTGGCCAATACTGTCCTGCTCCAGATCTCTGCTGTAGTCCCTAGGAAGATCAACAGGGGGCGTGTATAAGCGCCAGTGTTTCCTCCCCTCCAGCTGCAGGATGAACACCTGTGGAAATGATACGTCAACAATTTTGTGTGCCTGCTTTATTTTATCACATTCACCTGTAAGGTTATATTTTTGATGCAAATTTGGTTAACCAGAGCTCAAAATACCTCCTGCATATGCAGGTTAGTGCAGGAAAAATTGGAGCTGTGCAGGTACATGTATTTCTGATGTCTACCTGCACCTAACCTGCACTGGTCCATGTTCTGGTCCACCTGCTATAAAATTGCAACATGATGTACATGTAACCCAACAACAATATGTTTTCCTTCAGTAAACATAACTATATAAGATTGTGTTGTGGACTGATTAGAACCAAGCAACATCAACCACACACAGGTACATGTACCAATAACACTGGAAGGGTCAAAAGATATTAATAATGATTCATTCATGTGTGACCACAGTCTGTACTTACCTCCACATCATCATAGTGTGGTGCTAACCCTTGTGAGCCCGGGGGTGTCATGTACACGTTGGCTCCCACCAGGCAGCCAAACAGACACTCCAACAGACTGCACAACTGCCACAATTTGTCCTGTCAAAGGGAAAACAATAGGTATCTACAGTCAGACCTTTAGAGTCACCATTATAAGCCTTGCCTGGAATCCGGCTACAGTAGGCTTATATCCAGTCATGAGGTAATGAGCATTGGAAGCAGATAGACATGTTTCTAAACAAGACTGGACTTCAGGCTAACCATAGGCTGTAACCATTAAGTGTCTCTAGCATGGAAAAATGAATCCTTCACAACTTTTCTATGTTGGATATTAAGATAGCACAGATAGAACATTGTAAACTGCATAGTGGTGACTTTTGTTCCATGTCCATAAAATATACTGATATGTAGTAGAAGTATGTACATTGTATCCTAATTAATTTATCATGTTACTTCAAATACTGTAATTATAAGCACAGGTACCTGAAACCTCTGTGGTTGGTGGAACTGTAGGGTGGCCCTAGACTGGTCAAACAGTTTGTCAATCTGTGTGGAACAAATAAGACCAATTATTATCAACAAGCAGCAAATACCGGTATCTACTAATGAACAATATAATATTAGGAGTCAGTAGTAGTTATTGTATTTGGCTATCCACTCATCAGTTCTGATATCTAGATCAAAATTCACTGTTCTTCTGTATCATGTTAGCACAAACTTAATGTAGTACTTTGGAAAATGATAAACAAGTTATGATACTAGAACCATACCTAGCAAAGTAACATCCTTAACAGACTTGACAATTGTACTTACCTGTTTACAGGTGGCTCTTCCTGTTCCATTCAGCGACTCCCTCCTGCCATTGACATATCTGCACACATTCACATCCCTGATGTACTCAATCTCCTGCTTCTTCAACAGTCTCTTCAATATGTCTCTAGAGAATAGTGCCTTATATTCCTCTGTCAATGCTGTGTCATTCCTTTTACCAATCAATGGTTTCTTCTCCCAGTAGTCAGCAAAGAATTGCTCATAATATGACACTGGTGAAATGATGCTTTTGAAAAGTTTTTGTGGTGAGCTTAGGTCAAATCTAGCAGTGACACCACTACCTGAAACTGTCTTTAGTCCACCTTTTTCAACTATCTTCTTTGTTTTTAGACGTTTAGCAGAGGTTGGTTCCTCTTTGCTTTGAGACAAAGGCCTCTTTTCCGGACTGGTTTTCTGTTTTGTGTGTTGTGCTGGGTCCATAAAGCTAGATTTTTCTACAAGAGGTTGTCCTTTTTCCTTGAGATGTTTTGCTTTTCTCTTGGCTTTCTGGGGAGATTTGATCGTCTCACTTGTCTCTGATGGGGAAGGTTGTTTCAACTTTGGAAGTTGCTTCTCTTTCTTCTTTTTCTTGTTTTGGTTCACCATGTCTCTGTGGTTTTTGTCTCCACTTACAAATATTTGGGTTGTTTCCTGTCCAACTTTCGAGTCTTGTTCTGGGAAGCTCTTCGTGTCTGTGGATGTTCCAAGTGTGAGAGACTCATTTATCAGGTTCCAAAGTTTCTTTTTCTCGCGGCTCTTTCTTCTGTTTTCCCTCCTTTTCTGTCTCTTCTTCTGGATGTGTGATGGTTTCATGCTCGCGAGGGTCGCTCCATGTTTCACCTGAGAAACATGATTGGAGGAGACAGTGCAGTGGTCTTATAGCAACCAGTATTTTTTATCAAAAAATCCCAACAAGCACACCAACATATTCTCAAAATCCCTTACTTGAGAATGAGAGGGAACATGTCACAACTACTAGTAGGCTATATAACATGCAAGTGCTGTAGGGCTTCTCTTGCTTGCAGTATTATTATACTGTATTATATTTCCAAATGGCTTAAAATACAATGTGCCATGGCTGTTGTATAGGCTACATTGTACATACTACATGTGCACAGGCCTCTGTCTTAGTGCACGTATGCTGACCGACCATATGTATTGTCCACTCCAATAAACCCACGTTTTGCCACCGCCCCCCTCCCCTCCCGAACTTTCTTCTTTTTAATCACAACCAAACGAACTTTGGCCTGAAACCTGATGTTAATGCACCGCATACTGTATCACAAATCTATATGAAACACACACTTACCGTTGTTAAGGTAGATTATAACTTTGAATGCGATCGAAGTTTTCACATTTTCTCCATTTTCAGCTTCCGCAACTTCCAGTGACCCCTGACACGCACATGTGGTAAGGGCGACAGAACATGCAAAATACAAAAATATACAGCTAAATTTAAAATAATGGGGACACTCAACTTGAATTTCCTACAATAAAATATGGTTTAATATATAGCAAACTTCTCTGCCAGTTTTATAACTTTTGTAACTTCCAAACTTCATTTGTATGGTTATAATCTGAAATGACACACCATTTCCTGCCTTCTTACTTGCATGCACTGCTCACCGACGCCACAATGCGACTTTTAAATGAAGTTCAGTTTATATTTGCCCATATTGTGAGCTCAAACCTGAACGCTCGAAACCCTTTCGTCATTTGTCACTACCACGAAAACCTGTCGTGGAAGAATTTTTGCATGGTGTGTGCACCGTTAGAGCACAAAATATTAATATATATCGTCTTTTAAGACACGCCCAGACTAAGGAAATACTGAATATCAGCACTGTCCATTGTGCTGAACAGCTATCATCTGTTTCAGGAATTGCTTTTATTCAGTGCACGCCAACTTAGCTGTCTCCGATATGTGCATAGCAAGAATTTAAATCTGCACCCCATCCAAAACAATAAGGCAGATAGTAAAGACCTCATAAGAATTATAATGCATGGATTATTGAAGGCAAAGTCTGATCTTTAGCTGGAAAGCATTTTATTCAATATTTGTCATTGAATATTAAACTAAATAATTTTCTTCATATAACATTCAATATCAGCATATCTGTCAAATGACTAGAAGCCAATTGATTCTTACAAATTAGTGTGAAGTATACTACCAACACCTTAGGTTCAAGCTGTAGCAATCAACCATTTTGAATTAATTCTGTGCATAGATACAAAAGTCATATGTAGATTGAAGTCAACACAATTCCTCCACCATCCATAAATGTCAAAGCAAAAACGGTAAAATTAAAGGCTGTATAATACTGCATAAGTTCCAAGTACCAATTGGCACATGCAGTACCATTGGAATGTGATAGATGGCATGGCACATCCTTCTTTTGCATCATCTCTCCTGAATATATAAAGAAATAAAAATTAAATCAAAATATTTACAAGTCAATTCTTTTAGCAACTAGGATCCTCAATTAACTTTTCTTGGAAACATTTTTTTCTTAACACTTGTCGATATAGGTTCATTCTAGAAATTCAGACTAAATTGCAATCTTGTTGAGCAATAAGACCATAAACAGAAATACCTTGCTATGAAAAAAATCAAAATAAATTATCTTCTTCTATAGAATAACAAGCTCTAATGAACAAGGTATCAACCTCGTCCTCTAATAACTGATGCAAGAAGGTTTGAACTTTTTAACCTCGCTCCTATAGCTTTTATGACAGTTCTTAATTGTTCCTACAATGCTTGTAGCCACTGCATCGTGCTATATGAAGTATAAACAAGGGCTTGAAGTTAGCTCAGTCTCTTTGGTCTTTCTTTTATGGGTTACAAAAATAACTGACTGTTATGCAGCCATAGCAACAGCCTTACCTTCTATATTAACATATACTTCTCTGGATTAAGTCATCTTCAATGCTGGCATTGTCATGTCAACAATACACAACTGTGTCACTGTTACTTATTAATAAACATCTCTGTCTTGTTGACAAACTCTTGTGCCAAGTTTGCATTGTCCAGTAGACCATATGTCCATATTGCATATTCAAAATCTACTAACATTCTCTACTGACCACAGTCTATAGGCACTAGACAGAAAAACTTCAGTATTGCCAAGTGCAGGTTTCATCAATACAAAATCAATGCCAGAGTTAATTTTAAAGATGACAATGATGTGCTATGTTTCCATACGTAACTACAAACAAAATGGATTGCACAGAAATGCTTAACAAAGTGACAGTATGACATCTATAAAAAAAAACTTTAACCAATGTGTCAGAAAACAAAATAATTATAATAAAAAGGCAAGTTTAATGGCTGAATGAGCATGCTGACCTTCCATGATAGTTAGTCATTTGCAATGAGCATCATTTCATTCTTTAACAAAGAACACCATTATTAACTGCAAGCTTTCTTAATTGAATTATTATACAATGTACTGCACATCATTCTTTCAAACACAATCTGACAACATGTTATGGCACAATTAAAAAGTATAAAGTTACTGGAATGCAGGCATCTGTAAACTAAGGCAATGTAGGGAAACTACACCAGTCGAAGGGCCAACCGTCAAATATTCGATTCCACTTCCAGGGTTTTCTAAAACCCAGCAGACTGACACTACAAACTGTTTTTCTCATCTCAGAACCCCCCCCCCTTTTCTTTTTGGGATTGCATTGAAATGTGCAAGATCTATACTGCCACAATTCAAATTCTCATAATCCATAGTTTATTGCTTTTGCCTCAGTAAGCCAGCATCTCATCATCACTGGGTTCCTCGTCACTTGGTTCATCGTGAAACTCCTTCACTACGAAGTCTTTAGGGATGGTGCCTCGTTCTCTCTCAGCGCTGACTTTCCTCCCTCTGTCCCTGTCTGACTCTGGGAGGCCAGACCTGATGTGATCTTGGTCCTCTTCATCATCATATATCTGTTAGTAGAAGAGTACAGAGTTAAATGTAGTAGTATCAATTTTCTGTAGCCACCTTAGAAGCTACACAATCATGTACAATGTACTTGCATCCATGTCAAGGGCTCTTTACCTGCTCCCTTAGAGGTTAAAAACGTTGTGGGGAAAGGCTTTTGTATAGTACACAACAGACGTAATTCCAATCTTCGCGGCCATTTTAAAAAGTGGTCCCGCGAGAGTACAGCGCTACAACACGATCCGATATTTCTGACATCTGGGAAGAATGTAATCTTTGGCTTCCATGTGACTTTTCCCTGCTGGCTCCCAGTCAGATTCTACGACTTTAAACCTCTTATTCACCCACCATCCATGTGCTGTCAACTTGCTCTGAACAAACTCACACACTTGGAGACCCAAAGAAATACTTCCATACCCAGAGGTAACAAGTGGAAAATGTGTGTCCCTTACCCTGAGCACCCCAACATGGTGGTCCAGGTTGTCTGTGGTGAATGGGTCTTCTGCCTCTATGACGTCATCTGCTCTTATGGACAGCTGTCAGAAACATGTTGAGGACAAATTCATAATTCTAAAATACTGGTATTTCAAAAACATTTCACTCAGGTTCACATGTAATCACCAAAGGTATGATCAGAAAATGTAACAATTTGACACATAATTTCTACACTAGTACTTACATACTATAATCAAGGGCACTGGTGTTTGCAGTATTTCAGAATCTACATGGAATGCTCATTTGATGTCAGAATTCGATTTGCATCTAGTACATCTTGTCAGGATAGTGTGTCTTAATGTTCTTGATAATCTCAGTATTTTCTGCAGTAACTTACACGTTCATACTTACATTGTACTGTATCATTACATAGCCTCCCTGATGTACTTAAACACTGTGCTCTTACCTTTGCAGGAGGTTTTGAGGTGTGCTTCCTCTTGGCTTCTTTCCGACCGAATGACACTGAGTTACTGTGTGAAGAAGTTGGGCAAGAACCGACACATCATAATATTGACTTCTGCAACCCTAATAGCAGGGCCCAACTTTTTATTATACATTTGTAATGGCAAATAGTTTCTTCACTTCAATTTAATATGTACTGGCAAGAAGTTTTTACATTGTACATAGTCATGAGATAGGAGGGACAGCATGATGAAATTCATTATGGATGAAATAAGAAAGATAAAAAGCAAGTACAGACGGTATATTATAACCTCCATTTGCTTCTTTTCACAACAATGCAAATCTGTGTCAAATATTCTAATGCCATGGACAGCATTTTTCAGAAATGTTCAGTTTAAACAAATGTGTCCACGTTCAAGGTTCAAACAAATATCATGAAGCATCAGAGCTTCAATCTACATTCCAATTTTTTCCTTCAACAATTCATCAAATTACTCAAACCCCAACAGTACAAGCTGTAGCCTTGTGACATGGAAAAATGTAACATTGACCTTGTTGTTTCCAACTTATCTGAGTACATGGTTTACTTGGTTTAGTACATTGTATGTTTAGAATGAAATGCAACTATAATGGGGAAAGAAAGTTGAATTATGAGGATTTTTAAATTTTATCACTCAAGGCATGCTTCCCTCCTTTCTCATGACATCATACAGTATATAATTTTTTAAAAAATATGTATTTTATGTTGAAATTGGTTTTGTTTGTTGTACAAGTCCACTTGTTTCTTGATGTTGACACCATGCGCTGAAGAAGAGTCCATTCCCATGCAAGGTCCAGTTGTTGTTAAGAAAATGTGAACACAGTCACTCATTTAATTTCCTATCTATTCAATATCATGCTTTAGCTCTTTACAGTGACTTGCATTCAAGACAGCAGTCTATGTGTCAAGCAGCATTTATTTGGCAAACAACAAGAAGGCACAGGGGAAAATACTTATTCATAATAATTATGATGGATACAGAACATGCTATGGACAGGCTCATAATTCAATTTTTATACAGACACTATAGCATATATATGTGTATTTTACTTGTTTGTAAAACACCTAACGTAAAGTCTCAGAGAGATTTAAAAAGTCTTTCTTCTATGGTACAATACTAAACCATTGCTTAGCTAACATATTAAATTTTTGCACAGGATAGGTTGTGCTAATAGCTATAGTAATCATTAAGTATATTGCTTTCGTTCAAATTTTGATAAAAGATTTTTATAGCTATATAACATATATCTCTACAGGTGCAGCTTTTTACTGATACACACAACTTTCGACAATGACAAAACTGCTATTTGATAATGATCATACTAATAATGCCTACAGGTGCACATACACTGTTAGTTAACATTTCCAACTGACATCTGAATAAAATACATTTAGGGATACAACTGCAGCATAACAATTCAAGGCAGCACCTAACGTCATAATGCTCACCCAGAAGTCACAAATAATCTTCTAATACTGTAGTATGTAAGGGTGACATGGAACATAATTAAATGTTGTGAGTTACTTTATCAATCATTCTTCAGTGAAACTCATACATGTATAAAAGCAACCCTGTGAAGATCCTGTCATTTACACATTTTCATGATGTTCTTTAGAATCAATAACTAATTAAGAGTGAGTCAATTACTTAATGACAAGCACTGGTAATTACAAGTAACAAGGACATTATACAGTACAATGTCCTTGCATGTAACTACGCCACATTTGGGGAAACCATGCTTTTCATCACTCAAACTCTGATTGTCTGCATATCTGACCCGATCACATTCAGTAGAATTGCAAACCATTCCATTTTTACACGTTAGGCCATGTTGATTTGATTATATGGATGACATCCTCCGGGAGCCCCAAAACTGATGCGTGCGTGCGAATAAAAAAAAAGTTTTGCAAAAAAAAAGAAGTTCTTTTCATTATGAAATCTACGTGGTCATGAGGGTTGAGCAAATGGCACAGAATATGGTTTGGCGAATAATCTAGTCTTCAAGTTCATTTCTTTACAATTTTGTCTTTTTTCGTTTGATTTTGGCATTCTACGACATTGGCCAAAAATTCATGCGCGCGCGGATGTCATCCATATAATCAAATCAACATGGCCTTATACTACAACACACACAGCAACATTTATTGATTTTTGACACTACATTCAATAAATGTTTTGTAAGACATAACTAACATTTCAAACAGAGGTGGAGACAAGATGAAACCAAAAACATGCAAGCAAACTGAAAGAAAGGCATGTGTAAAGGAAACAGAATACTCAAAGGGGTTTGTTTTACCACAGTTTGTTCAGAAAAGTCAGGAAAGAGGGAGAGGCCGCAACAGGTCCTATGTCGGCCTAAATAGAACAGAGGAAGGAAGGGTATAAGTGGGATATAAAGATAGAAAACTTAAAGAGAAAAACTAAGTTTTCAAAATAAATACTAATGCGACAAAACATTCTTTGGCATTGTCACTTTCCTTGGAAATACTTCAAGTTCATCTTGGTCATCATCTGTTTTGATCTGAATTAGATTTATTAGATTTATCACTCAAATCAAATAACCTGGCAATATGAAATATGCATCTTGATCATTGCCTTTCATAATAAAAAAAATAAGGCTGAAAAGAAGAGACCACAAAATTGGATATTCATTATCAACATTTAATTACTGGCATGCAGATTCGTACAGAATTTAACAATGATTACAGACTTTTTTCAGACAACAAATCTTACATCCTGATACATATTAATTTTAAGGAATTTCAACATTTCTGGAAAGGTTAACGATTTTCAGAAAGCTGGAAGAAGATCTACTGTATGATAATTGTTGGAAACATTTTGGTGACTACATCGCAAAATTTGAAAATGTCTGAATTTCTTAAAGAATTTAAAGCCTCATCAACTATGTATAGCTGCTCTTAAAACTTTGGGGGACAACTTTGTTCAACAACAGCATATTGCAAAATTTAAATTAACTGAAATCACATTTTGAATAACGCTATATGCCAGCGAACATTTATATGCAGAAATTACTTACAGCAAAATATACTCTCCTAACTCTATGTACAATAAATCTACAAAACCAACACCATACTTTCAATCATGACACTGAAATGTACCCATTTGGACTCCGCCTACGAATAATCATCCTTGACAAAAACATCAAAAAACACATAAGAGAATTTTTGAAAGTGATTGTCGGTAGAATTTATATCAGCAAGTTATTAGCAGGTAATATGTCTACATAATCACAATATGATATGCATTATTCAACACGAAAATACAATAGAATAGCATGAAGTTACAGATTCAAAATCTCAGACCAACTAATATGTCGTGAAGAAAAGGAGGGAAGCATGTTGTCTACTTGAGTATTGAATCTCATTTTAGGATGTTCTTTTCAAGTCTCCTACATACATGTATTTAACGGTTACCCTTTTGCTACAGACTACGTTTTCATTCCAACTAGTTCCCCTTAGTAAACTTAACCTTGACAAAATGTCTTGCACTAAAGTTAGAAACAACTTGTCCTTGTACAATTGCAAGGAAAATTTCAATCCAATGGCAAGCACTAAATAGTTTTGTAATGTCATAGATGTTAGTTGAAAATCGGTCTTACAATTGTCAAACTTCTTTGTAAATTCTGCTGAAGCTTTGGTATAGTTGAGAGCTGTTTGTCTTACTACATTTGTGTCTTTATCATTTCCATAGCAAAAACCAAGCCTTTACATTGGAAAAACTGGAAAATAGCGTCAGCAAAACGACCCTAAAAACTGCTTTTGCGTGCTGTTGTTACTGCTTCTGCTCTGCTTTCATTGAAGTAAATCATAAGACAAATATGACTGCAATGATTTTAGAAGAAATGCAAGTAGTGCTGACAACATTTTGTGACAAAGACAGGCCTGAATATACCCAAACCATGTGTAGAGGGAAGTTTTTCATATTGCATAATGCACTTAAATTTGTATCCCCTTCAAACTTCAAATCAGTGGGCCACTGTTAAAACTAATACAACCCATGCTAGATTCTAGATTGCTTTTTTTGTTGAGTTTATCCAATCAAAGATCTCATTTCTCTTCATTTCAATTTAAACTTTTTTTGGAGCCAAAGATGGGTATGAAACGACCAGTGAGTGTACAATATCACCAACCAGAGCAATGTACTGTAGGCACTTTGTCGTGGAGACTGTCAGTTGTTCTACTTACAACGTGTGGTAGTTTGGAGAAGAGCGGGACTTCCAAAACTTGCAGCCGAAGAAGATGAGAGCTATCAGGCCGCCGCAGAGGACGATACCCCCAATGAAGCTCGCGGCGTCAAAACCTCCTTTCTGTGGGCTTTTTGTTGGGCCTTCTGTCGGCTGGGCAGTCGTTTTTGAACCTGGCTTCGTGGTCGGTTTTGCCGTGCTAGGGTTGGCTGTAGTGTTGGCTGGAAGATAAAATACACTGTATAAACACTGCTACATGAGGCTAAGCACACGCATCATGATCATGTATGGCACCTATCAATATCAACCCTGAGGAGGGTACAGGCAGATAGTTGTTGATGACATGGAAGCTACATGTAGTACATGAAAACCCAGAGTAGTCGTCAGGAGAAACCCTTTTTAATCTGAATACAGTTGTCCTTGATAACAAGGATGAACTGAACTGAACTGAAGTTGTCCTTAGCCTTGCTGGTCTTGATCATAGGGTGTCAAATTCTACTGCCTGCCTTTACTCTCCCCAGTTTGATTCACATGTACACTCAAGAAATAGCAAACAAACTTTTCATATGATGGGGTGAGTGGCAGTGTGGCCCTAACTGCTGCTAGAGTTTTTATCTGTTGTAATATTTCTTTATCTGTGTTTTATAAAATAGTTCCAAAAACATTTGTTAACCCATACTAGATTAAAACATGGATACATGCAAGACATAACCAACATCACATGTAAACTGAACAGTTAAACACAGTGGCAAGTTTCCAACACAATAAGACTAAGAGAACAATAACGAAAAAACAACTTTGAAATAAAGAGTTTGAAATAAAAGACCTTTAACTTTGTTGGCAACTAGGAAAGACGTGTACCAAGAAATATCATGCGAAACTTTAGTATCAGCATTATAAACATTGACAGGAATGACTGCCTTTAAAAACAAGTCAGAGTTAATTTAATGCTTGAAACACCAAGACTAGTGGTAAATTATAGAACATCAATTTGGCAACAGATTCTACATGTATTTGTTGATCTTTACCACATTGTAGAGCAGCTGAATCTGGATGGAAACAATTTAGACACAAAGAAAAGACAAAGGAACACTGAAGACCCTTGTCCCAGCAGTAACTGTTAGTAAGTTTGATGCTGCTGCTACAAGTAGCTTGGAAAGTAAAACAGTTACAGTAAAAATTCAGTTACTTCTTGTTCATATTGTATACCTTGCTTTAGCCCTTGCTTGCCAGGCCCTAGATGTAAAAACCAAAATACAGAACATCCTATTCAATTTTTCAATTGACATTTGACCAAATCATTCTTACTTCTCATCTCTCATGAGTACAAGTACAGGTACATACAAAACATCCTCTGGTAGATCTGTTGATTTCTTGAAATTAAAAGATATGAGATTCATGCATAACAGACACTTTGGCTACATATACATGTACATATTTATACATGGCACACGTGTACATGCACAAGTGACGATGGGAGATTTGTCTTCGACATTCTGCACTTAAGTGTATTGAGAACAATATCAATCATTGTCATAGTACACATTGAAAAAAAGAGATCTTGTGTTGGATGCCACTTAGCCTGACTAAACCACACTCCACGAAGGTTGCTGCCCCCCAATCATTAACCTCCAGCAAAGAGAGCTTGTTGTGTAATACAGGCTAGATATGCCACCTAGACATGCTCACACACCCAATGCCCACCCCACATACAGCATCTATCAACCACCCCCCTCTGGATTTCCATTGAGAAGTGCCACAACAACAGACAAGGAGGTGCCATTACCTGGAGTAGAGGGAGGCAGGGTGGTCGGCCCTGTTGTACCATTGGGGGTTGTTGGAGCTACACAGAGAGCAAACCATCACCAAGCATTACACACCACAGTATAGTTAGAGGCTAATCAATTGTCTGGCCCACTGACATTAGGTAGATATACAATGTACGACATATGGGCTAACCGAAAATTGGCAAATGTTGTTACTGTTATCATATATCTCTCTGCAGGCCATATATATATATTATATACATGTATCCATAAATTTATCATTGTAGAGCTTCCATTCCTTGTTTGTCAATTTCTTGTGGTTATTCTGGCATTTGCAATATATATTGCCACTGTATTGCATGACAGAAATGTTTCTTCTCTACTTTACAAAGCCAAGTACAATTAGTCAATACAATATTCAAGGCCAGTTCTTGCAGCATACTACCTTATGTCAGTGAGCCTTGCTGTTAGTTATATGGGAAGACAATACATATGCATGCAGACATTGTACATAACAAGACTTTATAACATTGAGCAACATGCTTAATACAAAATGTACATGCATTATTCAAGACAGGCAACAGGACAGAACAATCATGAACAATATGCTATCTATTCCACAGACTAGACTTGCAACAGTAACTCAAATCACTGCTGACATACACATGCAACAATACAATATACAGGGCTCAAAATACATGTACTAGGTGCACGTGCATCTTTAGTTAGTGCACCCATATTTTGAGTCGTGCACCCAAATACAATGTACTTTCCCAGGTTTATGTCAATAAAGTGTAAAAATGTTAAATGTACTGTAGTGTAGCATACCTTTATAGATATTATAGTATAATAGATATTCTTAACATCCAAGTGTCAGAAAAATGATAAAATCATTGTTAATTGTACTTTTCTTTAGAAATGAAAAATAATTAGTTTTTTTATGACATTCTACTTTTTTCATATGGTGCACCCAAAAAATTTTTAGGTTGAGTGCACCAATGCACCTATTCCCAAAAATGAATTCCCTTGCCCTAGTATACTGTATGTCAAGAAAGAACCCTCTGGTTTCCACTGAGAAGTGTATATAACTGATATTCATAAGTCTTTGTTACCTTGAGTAGTGGGAGCAATAGTTGTGTTTGGAGCAACTGTCACGGCTATGTAAGAGTGAGCCATCACCACATATTACACCACACCAGGAGGAGGGCACATGTCCATGCAAACAGAAGGAAAGAAACAGTTCAGTTAGCATTCAATTAACCCTGGCCTGTTTCCTGGCCCTCTCATTATGTTAACCGGAGGAAAACATATTGTTTATGATCAGTTTCCTTCTCTTCTTCTCCAAACAAATAAGGTCAATGACCTGAACCAGACGTCTGTCACCATGGTAACTAGTGTTGGATTACATCATGTTGCAATTTATAGCAGGAGAGATTTAGACTCCTGTCACCATATATGTGAATGACTAATTTGTGTTTTCAAACAAAAAATCATAGTCAAGACTACACAGTTCTGAGATATTACACTTCCATATCATACTAATTTGTAAAATGTACATTTACATCCATACCTGAACACGCAGTGATATTGACTGGGCTTTCACAAGTCTGGGACTCATTTCCTCGTGTTGCACACTTGAGCACGTCTGTACCTAAAACAAGAAAATCAGAAAATGAAAATATTTTGCCTCTATGAGTATGAACACATGTAACAAATTTAATACATCCATGAGTGGGATACAATTGCACACATCACAAAAATATCATTTGCAAGAAGTTTTTGATGGGCCTGACTAAATATCTATGATCATTAAAGATTTGGTAGATTTCTAATACAATGTATAAAAAATACAATATTTATGTTATTTGTCTTCAAAAATTTCTTAAAATAGATGGTATATAATACACATCCCCAGTGGAAAGATAGTAACTAATATACAAATGTACTATTAAATCATGATCACAATCATGGATCAAGATTATGTCCTAGAAGAAAAAAAAATTCTGACAGTTACATAAAAACCTTTGGCTAATTTATTTGGTTTTGGTAACTATGTTTGATTAAAGCCTTTACTAGTACTATAGTATATAGTAATCATCAACGTCATAGACTTGGAATTCACACAAACACTTAACAGTGTGGGGAGCAACACAAATATTGACACACAGGAACTGTTGGGCAGCTAAAACAGGAACTTACTCACTGCCATATGATCATGTTTGTCTAGATTCAATGTGCAAAACTCAGTAAGGGCTAGTGACACATTTAGGTTCAGGTCTGCATTCAACTTGAAGTCCTGAGGTTTAGGTTAAGTTCTGGACTCGTAAGTCCTAAACCCATGCATATACAAAATTGCGTATTGGCAACCTTGAAATGTTGTTTGGGTAAAACTTGGGTCACATAACATGGAGGCAGATACTTGACAATGCCCGATGGCAAGGTTTTCATCATTTTGCAATCTAGGGAGGGTTTTAGGTGGTTTTGAAAGAAAAGGGGTATGTGACAAGTTTTTTTTTTAATAAGTCCGGAATCGGTTCTTGACTTTTAGGTTTTCTTGGACTTGAATCTAAACATTTTTACAAGTCCGGAGCTGGTCCAGCGAACCAGTTCACAGCAACGGCAGAAATATAAACCACACGAACACACGCCGTTTTACCCTAAGCTTCAGAAAACGAAACGATCGATTGCAGGATTGCAGGATTCAGACTAAGCATGACACGTTTTTAGGCAAGCCAACAATCACATGCTATTTTGAGCACACTGCTCATGTTACATTTGCATTACATGTTTGAGTAACTTGTAAAGCTTTTCTGGCAAGCATACGAGAAAGGCAAAAATTGCCCAACAGCGTACTACCTGATTTCCCTTTTATTTTTTGGAAGGCTTTGGAGTCCCTTTTCTCAAAATTTAAAGATTCGGTAAAGGTTTTATTTTTTTCTATGATAGTGGAATGAATATAAATGTTACAAATTGCCCTACAATTATTCAGGGCAAATTTCACCAAACAGATGGCAACCTTTAGACTGTGTATACTATCCAATAGGGTTCGATAAGAGGTGCTTCCATGCATGAGAACGAGACTTTAGGGACATCTGAATTTACAGGCAAAGTCAATAGCTCCTAGATAAAGCAATAAACTGGTAATTGCTGCCACAGACAGAAAAAGTGTTTCGATCAACCATTTCAGGTTGACAAATTGTAAAAACCGATCCTGACAAATAAAATCTAGAAATTGATACTGGGATTCATCTAATTTCTAAATCTAATATTACTCGTTCATTTTCCTTCTCCATTTGTAATGCATACATTTATGCCAGAATTTTCGAGTCTTCATGCATGTGACTTCTTTGCCAACTGGAACTGGTATCATTTGAAACTTCCATTTTATCTTAATGACCTTCAGTGCACATTAGTTATTAGGATTTAGGAGGAATTTCCACCTCAGTGACATATCAGATAGCAGCACCTAATACTTTGAACTTCAGTGATTACTAAAGTGTGAAATCACTCTTGCAAACCCAACCCCATGAGAGAGGGGATTTTATCCATCCACAAGATGAATCCATCTTCTTGAGAGGCAGATAAGGGAGGCAAAGAGGGGGTATTTATGACACTGACCTCTACAGATGGGGGTCAGTGATAAATAGAGCTCACCAGAGCTCGGGCAAAGGGCCAGGACCAACACAAGATTGGAACAGGCAATACATTTGCCGGGACCACCTCAAAACTTGTAACACTCCCTACGGCTACATGTCCTTTAGTACATAGTTACTGTAATACATTTAGGTCCTGCTTGTGGCTTATTTGCTTTCTTGCACTTACACCAGCGGACACAGGTATCCAATTTATAGGGGTACCTAGGAGATAATCAATCCTTGTCTACCATATGTTAGCTTGTGGAATATCTACAGTAGTGCCCATCACGTTTATAACTAAGTAATAGCACACGAAAATGTTGAGTTGCTAGGAATGGCCATCCTTACTTAAGAACGGGTCAAATACTACAATACAATTTGTCTGGTTAAAATTTAACAAGGATACTGGTGTGCCAAAACAAAGACCTGTGTGTTGAAGTGTACACATTTCCTTTGTCGGATACATTTCTGTGTGTTCTGTGAGTGAGAACAGCTGATGCAATGAATGATTAACTTGACACAAAATGCTACCAATTAACATTTTGCTGTTCAACAACATTTGCATCAAATATTTTAAGTCAGCTATTGATATGCATATACCATCAAACTTTCTCTATCATTAAGGGTTTAAATGCTTCAAAATACAAAAAGCTGTTTTTATATATATGTGTTTAAAATTGACTCCATATTTTTAAGCAGATACCGGGCACAAAAATATTATTTTCTCAGACACCATGTACATGTAGGCCCCAGGCTAATAAAAAACTATCCATCATTGAAATGTGAATATTCGGGAGACATTTATTAAATAATAAAATCAAATTAATTTTTGCAATTTGTGACATGGCTGCATTGGCTCTTCTGTTATATTTTGGTTGTATAGTCTTTCTCTAACTCTAAGTTCCTTAGAATCCTTCAAAACACTTCAGCAACGTCACGTGTACTGTACCAAGCAATTATGCAACGTATCAACAGTCATATAATTTTATGGCACTGACGTAATTATGGATACCTACCAGCTGTGTTCTCTGTTGTGCAGTTCACCCAGCTACAGTTGTTTGTCTGACAGGTGTTACAGTCAGTATAGGTGTTACATGTTTCTGGGGGGAAAAGACAGACAAGAAACCGAATGACAACAAGACCAGGCAAAAACAGGTGCATGTAAATTATCCTCAAGTGAGGCTTGAAGTCGAATGGAACACGTAGGCAGTCTTTTACAAAAACATGACACATGTAGATTCATATCAGCAACAAATACTACGTTTGTTACAAAATCATGCGGGGTATTCCAAATTAATTAGTAAAACAGGCAAAGAAAAATACTGAATGTTTCTCTTCTTGAATGCGAAATATAGCAGTCAACATAAAAATTTTCTTGTACGCAAACACTCCTTCCCGGTCAGACTTGTTTCGGCACCTTGTTCGAAAAAAAAAGAAACACCCCTGGTCTCCGTTCCGAGCAGATTTCCACGATCTTACCTTGTCCTAGGGCACAAGAAGCGACCAGGAGTACTCCCAGGATCCAGTACATGGCGCTGACGGGGCTGTGGCGGCCGGGAGGAGCAAGTTTTGGGAGAAAAACCGGAGAATTTTGGACTGCCGACACTATCTCGTCATGGGGAAAAAGTTGCAGTCGTGGAGGTGACGTCAGTGCGCATGTGTGAGCCGGGGTCATGTGACAGGATGTAACAGGTGGACCAGTCCAACTATAAAACATTTCTACCCAGGAACATTTTAGATTGTATTACAAACTGTTCAAATAAAATGGATTTAAACAACAGAGAACTACTGTCACAGTTCCAGAAACGCTTACCTCTACAGATAGGAATAGGGGGATACCGTTAGGGATAGAGATAGAGGGATAGGGATAGTGGGATAGGGATAGAGGGATAGGGATAGAGGGATAGGGCCCGTTGGGATAGAGGGGTAGGGGTTGGGATAGAGGGAGAGGGGTAGAGGGATAGGATGGAGGGATAGGATAGGGTATAGGATAGGATAGAGGGATAGGATACGGGGATAGTGTTAGAGGGATAAGGATATATAGGGATAGGAAAGAGGGAGAGAGAGGGATAGGGATAGAGGGATAAGGATAGAGGGATTGTAGATAGAGGGGTATGGATAGAGGGATAGGGATAGAGGGATACGGATAGAGGGATAGGGATAGAGGGATACGGGATAGAGAGTTAGGGATATAGAGGGATAGGGATGGTGGGATAGGGATAGAGGGATAAGGATAGAAGGATAGGGATATAGAGGGATAGGGATAGAGGGATACGGATACAGGAATAGGAATAGAGTGATTAAGGGATAGAGAGACCTGTTATGTCAGTCCTTCCTCAATGTGTGGTAAATCTCGACGAATACCTACTTGCAACTTGTAACGTGATAACTGTTATATACCATGTTTGAACATTTGAAATGCCATATACCATGTATGAAAAATATCTATGTGTAGAGACACAACTCTACGTTACGTAGCCAGCGTGCAGACTAATATGAAGCTGACGCAGCAAGAAAAGTTCCAGATACATATTGCATGCCACGTGTGAGGTTTGAATCTAATATTCTCCTGCGACTTTATATTACATTTATATATTAATGAACCACAACAGACGTAACCATATATTGAACCCAGCAGCACAACGTCATCCTCTTACAATGAAGTTATGAATTTATTATAGAAGATCCAGGAAATTCTTTATTTATTTTACGAGCGAGAGAAAGTGAACAACACTATTCAGGTCTTTTGTATTTATAACCTTATCGATATCGTTATATGTTAGTATCTGAGTGTGGAGACACAAAATTATGCCAGAAGGCAGACAGCATACATGTTGTATGTAATATAAGGGGTGTGAATGTCGACAGATTGCATTTGGATATTAATTTCTCTTTGACATCATTACACTTACATATTCATGTACAGCTACTTTACGCCGTAATGATTTCCTTTCGTTTTGCACAGAAATGTTACTTTGGTGTTTTTGTAGGCTAGTGAAACTGGACCAATCTCTTCTTTTTCTTTTCTTTTGTACAGACAGTGGTGCTAAAAAGATACCCGGTATTCTGAATTCAACATAATATAAATCAATGTTCCAAACCTTTTCTATTATCTAATTTCTCGGAGGGATGACTTCTTTTATCATTACAGAGTTGAAAGCTTAAGACTAGTTACGTTTTTGAATTTTGTAAAATACTTCGTTTTCTATGACTAAAAACTGATGTCACAATCCAGACTGAGTGTAACTGGAAGACAGTGAAAAGCGGTTACGGACAGGCACGTACAAGGTAACGTTAGATAATATTCTCAGAAACAGAAAATTGGTCTCCCTTCAGCACTTCAATATACAGTGTGACGCCACGTGTCCCGGGGGCGTCTGAAGCGTCTGAATTTCACTCCCGCAGTTGACTCACTTCACCGCACTTCGACTGAGAGAGCCGTCCGCCGTCGACATGCACTGAGCAGCCTGGGTGCCAAACGCTGGCGTTCGTAAGCGATAGATTTTGTTTGTGGAAAGAGGCCCTAATGTCCGCTACAGTATCCGCTGCCCAAATACAGGCTGCCCCAAACCCTTAATCTTTCACGCCGATAGCGAAAAGATAATTGCATTAGAGCCAGGGTGCCAATCGGGGTTGGCGGGGCGTATGGCTTCCCTGGCCGAAGGGATTATCACTCCTTCGCGGTAGGGGCTGGCACCCAGGCTAGCACTGAGAGACATGCGGCCGACTGAGTTCTGAAGCTGTCCGCTGACCGGCTGGGGACATCTTGGACGCAAAGCTAAGTCTCCTCTATTCTTGTGCAAGAAAAGTCGTGGGACGAAACACGTACACGTACTTCTGTTGCTTTAGACAAGTTCTAGGCTGCCAGATAGTTACTGTGTTTTATGAAGTATGTAGACAGCAACTGTTTGCCCAAGCTGTTACTACAGAACACTGAACCAGTCGAGAATAGGGATGAAAGTCTTCAGCTGCCTCATTCCATTTCTTGTCAGTATTTTGTACGAAACTACAAGCATCAACTGTGAGTCATTGCCAAAAGAATGTCTCAAATTGAATTTAACTTTAGTTGACTGTTCATCCCACGGGTTGACCAGCTTTCCTGATGACATTCCAGCCACCACGGAAATTATACGTCTCCGCAAAAACAGAATCCGTACTGTCGCAAATATTCCGAGACTAGACAAGTTGTTCACGCTCGACCTTACGAGAAACATTATCGAAACTGTGTCTTGGTCGTCACTCTGTAACCTGCCGGCTGTGCACCTCATATACCTAAACGGAAACAGGATCACAAGTGTTACATTACCAGGCTGTATCAAACAACTTACACATTTACTCACGTTAGATTTGACAGGCAATAACATTACATCATTGACTGAAAATGATATCGTTATTCCTAATCCCAAAACGAAAATTAACATCAATTTTAACCCGTTCCATTGTGACTGTGATTTGCTATGGTTGATTACTAAGGTGAAATGCGTGAAAATTTGCAGCAATGGAGGGTGTGACACGAGCTCCTGCAAGAGCGCCTTCCTTGACAGCTATTTTAAATTCAAAGACCTTAACTGCGCTTCACCGCAACAGTTTCGTAACTTACCCCTCTTTGAGGTTTCCGCCCATTGGTTAGGGTGTGCTACGCGTGGACGTGCCGTGCGAAATACAACGACGCCCCAAACTCACCAATATGGCCTTCAACAGACCGTCCACGTACCGGCGCAGGGTACGGTCCAACAAAGTCACATCACCGTAACCCTACAAGTTGCCCAAGGTAACGTCGTTGCAGCACGAAACCGTTCCCTTGACAACCGTGCGTCTGAGGGAGATGGAACAGACAGCGCCCATCTTCAAGCTGACAACTCGACAGAGATTGAAGGCTCAACCGTCATCACTGCCATAGTGAAGCGGGATAAACCAGCGGTCGGGACCGTCCACATCGTCATCATGGCATCCGCCAGCCTGCTAGGCCTGGTCTTCGCCGCTTGTCTGATTCTGAAGTTAGTCAAGTACCGGCGAGCGCAGAACCTTCGCAATCTTGAGAAGAGAACGACTCGCGTTCTCCACCACCCCTACACCGTGCCGTTCCACAACCCTGCTTACACCTTCCCCGGCACCGGACCAGTCCCCGCCATGGAACTGTTACAGGTGGTCCCGCCGATACAAAACGTATTCTACAACCGTGATTCGGTCGCTACACTGGCAAACCAGCCACACTTCAACCCGCCACTCCCGCCGATAGAAAACTCCTTCTATCGCCCAAGTAATACTCCTGCTTCGAAACCAAACAAGGCACAAATGAGAGCACTCCCACCTATAGAAAACTCATTCTATCGTCCGAGTAATGATTCTGCTCCAAAACCAAACAAGACCCCAGTCCCGCCGATAGAAAACGCATTCTATCGCCCAAGCAATAATCCGTCTCCAAAACCAAACAGGGCACAAATGAGGGCACTTCCACCGATAGAAAACTCGTTCTATCGCCCAAGCAACAAGCCAGCTTTACCACCAAACAGGAAAAAAGTGAAAACCCCAGTCCCACCGATAGAAAACTCGTTCTATCGCCCAAGCAATAAGCCTGCTTCACCACCAAACAGGAAAAAAGTGAAAACCCCAGTCCCACCGATAGAAAATTCATTCTATCGCCCAAGCAACAATCCAGCTTTACCACCAAACAGGAAAAACGTGAAAACCCCAGTCCCACCGATAGAAAACGCATTCTATCGTCCAAGCAACAATCCTGCTTCACCACCAAACAAGACACACGTTAAAACTCCACTGCCGGTACCACCGATACAAAATGTGTCCTATCAGAGCAACACTCCAGTCGGCGTCCGAAAGAAGAGAAAGTCTAAGATGTCGGCAGCATAAAAATTGCGCCACCTCAACCTTTACTTGTGATGCATGGAGGCCTAATCTCCAAACAGATCCCTTTCGGCGGAGGCAAGACAGTATCCATTAACCAGAAAAGGTAGCCGGCCACCGACGGGGGTACCGACAAACAAAAGGGCAATATATAAAAAGCTAACGATCATTCGATCCCCCACAACCTCTGCTTGGAGAGTATGGAGGCCCTGCCAAATAAAACTGTAGCACCAGCCAATCGTCCCAGCTGCATGAAATTACAGGTGTCCAAAGGAAGCCTAGTGACCCAATAAGCTGACCGTACATATTCATTTATTTCAGTAGATGCATAGACACAAAATATAACACAATTTTGCTATGATCTGTCAACATACATTTTGTTGTTGAGAGCTAGTCAGATTCGAACCAAATGACCCCAGAAGGACAACTAGAATCGATCTAAAGCCGGTAAGGATGTCATTCACAAAAGTCCTTGACACACATTCAAGACATAAGACCTTCGTTCGACTGTGCTCAGCCCACCACTCCCAAACCAAGGCCGGTACTGAGTTGGGAGTCGCTTATTCTAGCTCCAGTTTGTTCTACAGCGATATTACATCTAAGAAAAATTTCCCGAGTTCCATTTTCATAGTCGGCTGGCACAGAAAACTAATAGACAATCTCGCCGAACACTCTCGACTAAAGATGACCTTGCTCACGACTAACTCCCAAGTCCCAACCATGGTCTGGAGAAGGTCATGGACGGCTATATTAATTTAAGAGTAAGGGCAGTACTACTACTTAGTAAATTAATATGCCCATGTTCAATAGACATGTTCGTTCATTTACCAAGATACTGTATTGAAACCAGACCATGGATAACGGTTGTCAACCGTAATGTTGTGTCATTAGAAAAAAGGTAGTAACACTGAATGCTTTACTTTCTATTATCATATAGCCGGACGGCGTGGACCAATCGGAGGCCCGGATACCCGTGCTGTTATTTCCCGATAACAGCACATGTGGTGTTATGGCGGAATAACAGCACATGTCGTGTTATGGCTGATACCATTATGTTATAGGGTATAGGGGCATGCGACTCTTTCTGTAAACCTTTGTAGCATTTTTCTGTCCAATAAACTTTTTTGTTTAGCTTCATTTAAACTACAATTTGCATTAAATGAAATTATCCATATTTGTTTTAAAGCGTATAATATATTCGAATGTATTTTTATGTATGTATATATATATTAAAGCTGTTGTATTTCAAACAGGAATTGTGTTGATTGACAGTTTGGATAGGCTATATGATAATAATTTTAATGCACTGCCTTTTCCTCGTTGTATATGGTGTCATAACTGCATGGGCAGCTGCCATAACCACCTCATAAACCACCTCGTTCGCTTCGCTCACACGGTGGTTTATTCGGTGGTTATGGCAGCTGCTCATGCAGTTATGACACCATATACAACTCGGGGCAGTGCATTAACCCTTTATTATTTCCCAGAATGTAATTAGAACAAACCAGATCAGTGCTATAATTATCATCATTGACATATATATAGAAACCTGTAAAGTGATATGTTTCTAGAAATAACTGTTGAGAAGGAAAAACCCTTATAAGCACAACGTTCATATTTTCCTTATAATTAACATTGTCTAGAATGTGGCACATTGGACTGTGGCTATTCGAAGGCTCATATAAAAAATGTTGTAGGAATTGTAAGTGCTAAGAAAAGGTAATAGTATATTGTAATGTTACTAACTTAATTAAATGTAGTGTGTTGTTCGTTGCACTTGTGAAGTTGTGATTATATCAAAAAGTGTTTATTGGGAAGGGAGTAGCCCAGATGGATTAAAATGGTTGTGTTCTATAGCTTTAGATCAGAAATTACGACTCATGACAATGGTGTGGCATACTTGTATACCGACTTGGGCATTATAGTCATTATAATTGCAGTTCTTATATAAACTGGCCTATAGAAGTGGAATGGAAGCTAGTTGTCAAGCTTAAGAATATACAGCCGTAGCACATTCTTCGTAATCAACATGAATATTCAGTAGGCGGTTATCCTTAATATTTACATTTTGCTTTCAGTTTCTTAGAAATCAACTGAATGTAAATGGAAAATGATTATGAGGACTAGTCAGAAAGGAATTCGAAGGTACAGAGTGAACACAAATGTAATCCACTGAGAGACAGAGAAAGATAGTCGGAGTTGTCTCATGGCAGTTACCGAAGTTTTAATATTTCTTCACTTGATATAATAGATTTATGCACGTGAAATATCGGCTGCTATGTGTTTATTACCTTCATCAAGAAGGTTGCAGTTTCGGTGGCGTGTGTTTGTGTGAGTGTACGTGTGTTTGTGTAAGTGTACGTGTGTTCGGTGTGTACAGTGTGGCGTGACTCGAGAAATTGTGGACGGATCTTTGATATATTTCATCGTGTATGCAGAACATGTGAGATCGAAGGCATACTATATACTGTATACGTACAAGCCGGTGTGTTACGCCAGAAGGACGGTTATATACGCGGCTGTACAGATACAGATAACAGTAACAAGAAGACAGTACTCTAGTACTGTACTGTACTGTACTGTACTGTACTGTACTGTACTGTACTAATAACAGTATCAAGTATTCCATGTCCATGGTACTGTTTAGCCTTCGATTGGTAGCTATGGGCATTAGACTGGGTTGATGAAAAAAAAGCAAAAGAAGAAAATATGCCCAGATCAATGTGAAATGTAACTGATATTTACTTTGTATATTGGAATCTTGAGATAAAAAGAAAGAAAAAGAGTTGGGTCCCACTATATTGGCCGGGCTGAGACGCAGTGCCTATTCACGGGCGCGATCCCGCTACTGATCGACACGGGGACTTTTGCCTGCTTTGTTTCCAACCTGGGCCGGTGCGTCCCTCCTTAGGCGACCTGGTTGCCCTGGGCTCCCCCGGGGAAACCATATCGATGCCGAACTTAGCGTGGACGCCCGATCGCCATAGGACAGCACGCCGCAGAACCCCCGGCCTCAAGCGGTCCACCAACCCCAGCCTCCAGGTAGCTGGATTACAGGCGCGCGCCACCACGCCCAGCTGGCAGCGGGGCCATTTTCTAGGAGTATAGATGTAAGAGTCACGTGACTCGCCAGGAGACTCACGGGAACCCGCCAAATCTGAACATGCGTTTATGTCTATGCTTAGAACAATGTGTACAGTATTTGATAATGTCAAACAGGCGCTGATACGAGACAGGTATCATTTTTCGTACTTAGGCCACACCGACTTAATTTTATATATGGATGACATCCTCTGAAGACCCCCAAACAAGTGCGTGCGGGCGAATTAAAAAAAAATCCAGCCAAAAATAAAAATGCTACTAAACCCTTTTTGAGACTACAGGCGAAAATCAATGCGCGCGCGAATATCATCCATAAAATTCGGTGTGGCCTTATTATCCATAGATGAATAGATGAATAGAGCAAATTAACGTACAAAATGCAATCAGAGGTAATATAGTTCACGCATGGTATCCTTTGTGTTTACGTTTTATTACAGATATTACACATTCCTCTCAATGTTTTGAAGCATGATTTTTGGCCCTTTTTTTCAAATAAATTTTCATTTGCCTTGTAAGTTTGATATTGTCTCACCTTTTGGTAGTAACATCTGTGTCCATAATATCACCAGGGTCCATAATATCGCCACCTTGAGAAACAGTGTGCCTAAAGATATTTTTACTGCAACATACTTTTGGTATGCACTCCTTCACACATCATCAAATGTACATACCTAGGGTATGTTGCAGTAAAAATATCTTTAAGCACACTATTTCTCAAGGTGGCGATATTATGGACCCTGGTGATATTATGGACGCAGATGTTACATTGTACGTTCCAATCGACGTCTTCGAGTTGGTATGATAAAGAAAACACTTTCACTTTCCATGACACCACGCCCCCACATTTCCCATGATCCATTGCGCGCAGACGACAACACGCAGACATGTCGTACACTTCGGTGGACTTCGAGGTTCACGGCCGGGTACAAGGTGAACAGGGACAGTTATGAGACATTCTGCTTCATGTCACTGTAGAAGTTGCGCCGAGGATATTCTATGTGTCTTTTGAGTCTCGATAGAACTGTTAACCGCCACGATAGTCTATGAACGTAACACAATTTGTGATGGGGAGGGGGGCTGGTTGAAGATTATGGATCATAAAACATCAGGACATGATGGCATTTCATACTATCTTTGGATGCTAATATAATCTACGTAGGATAATCGATCAACGAATACTGCATAACTCACCGTGTTTGTCTGTATAACAAAGCTGAAACAGTTGTCGCACAATTGTCTTCATTCCATACAATACTGCAACAAATTATAACTTCTTTTTTTTAATTTTTCCCTTCCAAAAATTATAGGCGTCTGCTTTCGAATGGTAAGTAAAACACATATAATATGACATGTGTAATGTTAACATTATTTTTATATAATATGTGCAATGTACCAGATATCAACAGAATATGATATCAACAGAAAATCAAAGTACAATGTACTTGACATTTTATAGTTGAGTTATATTGTGATTATGATACAGAAATTATGATAATGTTGCAATGATAAACAGTAAAATTAGCATTATGCATTTCACAGAACCTTTGCATTTATTGATTGGTTTTTGATTAGGACCAACAATATTATGCTCTAGTTCTACACATTATTTCAGTAGTATACTATGTGCCCACAGTATACTGAGGATGAGGCACGTAGGCTGGGTGTGGTTGGATGGGTGAGGAACACTCGCCAGGGCACGGTAGATGGACAGGTACAAGGGCCTACTGATAAAGTCAGACAGATGTGAGTACCTCTCTGTATCAGTTTATCCATTGATCTGTTTTCACATTCAGTCAACAGATTTTTATATAGCGCAGAAGGTAAAACATACCATTTTTGCTCCCTTTCTTTTTCTTCCCTTCCAAACAAATAAGGTCAATGACTTCGACCAGATAGCCACCAGGTCAGTCACCATGGTAACTGGTGCTGTAGCAGGTACCTATAGTGTTGGATTACAAATTTTATGTAGCAAGGGGCAGGGCAAAGTTTGAGGGGCAGGTCAACATATACATATATGAATGTGTGACAACATACTAGTATACATATATGACTAATAAGAACATTACATGTATGTATTAAATTTGAAAATGTTACCTTTGTAGTATAGCAATAGCAAACACTAATCTTATAAGCATTTCAAACACACAGGAAACAATGGCTGCAGTACGAGGGAAGCCCGTCCAGTATTATTGACTACGCCACTTTCAGGAATGAGAAGACTATCAGCAAGCCTACCCAGAAGGGCTTCTTCACCAGATACTGAGTCTCTGTTCTGTGCAGGTGTCTGCCTAAATTGTGTCTAACAAGGTTCTAACTAGCCTGCTGAACAGACCTTCATGGCTCTCTTTATCTTTGCGACACTAAGGCCTAGGAAAAAATGTAAGTTTTTCTAGTTCCCCAACCGACTGTAACCTTTTTTCTCGCCAATCACCGGCAAGTCCATTAAACTTCTACCAACTGGCTGATTTTTTTCAGGACTGAAATTGGAAACACAACTTTTTTTTTCCTTGGCCTAAGAGTGCTGTCCACACTTGCCTGCCCAGCACATGCTAGGGGTTTCAATTAGGTCAACTGTGTCATTAGGAAAGCTGGAAATATTAACTGTTTGCTGTGTTAACAGACTGCTGGGGCCAAAACACCCCAAAGCCAGCCTGTAGAGAATAGACACCAGGCTAGGTTGAAGAAGCATGGCTGCAGACACTAACAAAGTGAAGTTTCTTTCCCAAGCACAGTGCTATCATAGGAATGATTTAAGACATCAGCTTCATGACCATCTTTCTTCACATGCACATTTTCAGAAGCTGAGAAGTAACATAAAGTTTACAGGTATATGACTTTAATTTAAGAATTGACTTCAAGTGCGAAGGTATTAATATGCTCTAATATCAGGCAAAGCTGCATTAATTTTTACATATTACAGCTTTTACTAGTAAGCTCTTTGAACATTTGATTGCTTAATGTGGCATGCTGGATTTGTTCATGTCCCATACATGTGCTATGAAGGAAAGCTGAATGATTATTTGCATTATTGCTATTTTTACAATGACTGTCAGGTATACAGAATTATGCGAGTTGTATTTTAATTACACCATGATATGCCAACTTTGTACTTTTTTCCAGGCAGGAGTGGTTAGCCAAGAAAGGAAGTCCATCCTCACGGATTACAAAATGCAACTTCAAGAATGAAAAACAAGTGAAAGAATTGGACTTCAGAGATTTTAGAACCACATACTGACCATCTGCTACATTGTGAAAGGCCCTTGGAGCTTTATTTCGTTGTGAAGCTGTATACCTTTCATCTGTTGGAGTCTTGCATGAGCTGTGGAAATCCTCCTACGTTTGTATCCGATTTGTTGTACATCATATCAGTGGTTCATCGGACTGTTACTTGTTGGTTTATCGGACTGTTAGTTGTTGCTTATTATTTCACATGGTTTATTTATTATAAGGCAAAGTTAAAAGTGTCTTTCAGGACAACTGTAGTCAAGCATTTTGTGCCAATCTTCTCAAATCTTGTACTGATGCAATGGTACATATACATTGCACCTCCGATACAAGACTTGATCATGTCTTTTAAGTCATCATGGGTACGTGTAAAACTAATCCCGTGTGTAGTCTAATTCGGTCAGTGAATTTCTGAGAATTATGATGTCATACATGTACATGTACAGGTAATTTAAAGTGTTAAATATCTTGAAACGGTAATATGCTGCTACTATGTTGTTATGGAATGTTAAAGTGTGTTTGATAGGGAATGTTCCTAATACATTTGTAGTATGAAGTGTTACTGAACTTCCATGGCATTATGTTTTGCCATTATAAAAAGTAAAGACAAACCACAAATGAGTGAGATGTTAGATTTTATTCCAAGTCAAGTTCTATGTTGAGATACTGTAGGCCAAATGATCATGACTTTTTGTACAAGGAATAGCATGAGAATTGTATTATATACCCTTGCTACCTGGTAAAGATACAATGTAATACATGTTATTTTGTTCAAACCAATTTGACACTTAGTTTTTGGATTTTTCCAGATTTTTCAACCACCAATCATTGTCCACATATTCAAATGGAAAAGACATTGAATCTATCATTATGGAGCCTATATACATGAATACCAAATTTTGTTACAAAATAATAAGGAGATATTATCATACAGAAAGGAACTACAGGGCAAGCATACAACCAGACTCAATGCCTCTTCATGGCTTTTAAATCTCACATTCAAACCTAAAAGTTTCAACACAACATGCTGCCATACAATGTAAGTCTCCAATGTTGAAGTTAAGACTATGCAAGTATGGTTAGATATACCAGCTGTCAACATGGCATGATACATGGTACAATTACATTCTCGTCACTGTGTCATGTTTGCCGTTACTTTGGAAAATCTAACACTTAACTAACACAGTACGGAAGACAGCAAGTCATACATTGAATGCAGGATTTCTTCACATTTTTCTCTTCAGGGCTTCTCTTCAATTTTTTGACACAGATTTTGAAGTTCTCAACACACTTGTATAAAAATGAGCACAGGAGTAATATCCAATACCACTGCCATCACACACATTGTGTATTATCTTACCATATACACACACAATGTTCATAAATGAATTCTGTCCAAATCTAAAGAATATAACCCATGTCCTTTGCAATGAACCTTTAATTTATCCTATGATCATCTACTAGCTTAAGGAATGATCTGCTTTAAATATCTTTCAGTGGAAATGATTCGCTACCTTAAAAACATTATAATTATAGCACCCCATAAATAAAACAAACTAATTTGTAGACAATATCACACAACTGCCATTTTCATCCAACCTGTGAAAATGAATTCGTATCTCTCAGAACAAAGTTAGTATTGATTTAGCCTTCTTAGATAAGATACCCAAAGGCAACTCCACACCCCCAATCTGATGAATTATCTTTCTGCAGGCAAGGGTTACACGGTTTCGTAGATTATGATCTTGCACATTTGCAGATTCCAATACCTGATCATCTGTGGTTTACATGTACAGTATATTTGTACACGTATGTCCTTCGTGCATGCACGCAGTGCATTTCAGAAACAATTGGCAGCATCACGATGCTACTATACATGTCCGTAAGCTGCTCTGTGTGTTTAGACTGCGTCTGTTACGTTACATCCGGTTGTCGTGTCTCAGTACTGCGTGGTAGGAGTTCCGCAGGAGAGCGTAGGGGAAACAGGACTCCAACAGGTCCATGGTCAGGAACGGGGACTCCCTCACAATCTGAAGGAAACAAGAGAAGGAAAAAACACAGAGCAGGAAACAATTAACACTCAAAAATCACAAACATATGCCAGTCTCCATGAATAGTTTCATCAGGTTGGTAAGACACTGAGTAAACAGACTCTTTTTACACAACCAAGTGTTTTATTCAGCCGTAGATATGTAAATATTGTACATTTGGGAATGCATCTATAGCAGCGACACCTGTGCTGCAATGCAATGTGAACCAGTCAGAATTGCCCTGAGGAAGGTGACAGACGGTCACTAAAACGTTGGCTGAATAAAAGACTTGGTTGGTTGACAAAGAGTCTCTTTACTCAGATGCGAGTCTCTCTTGATGACACTAGTACATACATGTACACACAATCTATAACTACAAACAAGGCAGAATGAAGCTATGAGCTACAAAATGGCATGCAAGAGTCATACTACACATACAAGAATCTCTACTGTCTACAACTCAATCATAGGGACAGTGTTATGGGATAAACCACAAAGGAACAATGATTTGTGTCAATACTAGATAAAACTCGCATACAGAGCAATTCAGCCAATGTTGAGAAAGAATTGTTGCCGTAGCTGTGATTTTTTTTTTCTTAAAATTTTGGCCATATCATTCTTTTGTGGTTTGTCCTCTATAGAAAGCAATTACAGAGAGCAGGTATGATGCCCAGGCAATATACCTCAACAGATGGACAAGACAGATTTTGTTAACATTTTAGTCACAAGAATCATGCCTGCTCTACTGCAGTGAGCAAGGGTGTCACTAGGGGGCTCTACACACATTCATGCAGGAGTAAAGTCAGTAGTAGTAGCTGCAGTACCAGAATGCCGTATCAGCACCTAGGTTTCAAGACCTAATAAGTAAGATAAGAAAAGGGCACAAAGCAGTAAGAAACACTAGCTGTACAGAAGCCAGCACTTAATTCTACAGAGTAGCTACAGAGTGAAAAGGAGCAGAGGTGGGTTGCTTACCATGTGGGCAGAACACACTGAGGAATTAGAATATCAGGAAAGGAAAGCCAAGAAGGAAACAAAAATGGCTGCACCTGGTCCAGAAGCAGGTAGACTGACTCGCGGGACCGCAGGGCCAACTTGTCGGTTTCCTGTCCCAACTTTAGCAGGCTGGAGGAGGCCAGCTGTGACAGTGACAAACAAATTTTAAAGACATTACGATGAGTAAACTGCAAAAGTACATGTACAGTCCCAAACAATACATAATGTACCTACTATTGTATCTGGAATTACACAGACATCACCCCACATACAGTGTATAAAGAAACCATGTTCTTTAAAACATCACAAAACTGAGTTGTTCTTCCGAAAAAGAGTTGACATACATGTATAAGACTTCTGACAGGGTACCCTTAAAATCAGAAAAACAACTTCTATGGTGCTACCTACAAAATGTTCCATGAATGGTACAACAGACAAACACATACTTGTATGTACATATACATGTACACATTGTACTGAGTATCCTTTGCACTTACAACAGGCAGCAAACATGTCAAGACTAGAAATACATTTTCTACATGATTGTAGATCTGATGGTGGGACTTACAGCCAGGAACTCTTTAAGCCTTTCCTCAATGGTCACCCTGCCTTTCCCATATATAGTAAACATGGCTGCAGCGATACTGTTAACAGCCTTGGCCAGGCAGTGGATGTTGTTTGTATGTCCTAGAAGAGGTAAACAAACAAACAAAAACAACAAAATCATACAAATTGCATATAACATAAAAAAGCACCCTTTGAGACATTCACATCTTGAATTCAGGCGTGGATTTCAACACAGCAATAGAGCCAACTTGGAAAATACAACACTACAGTAAAATTATGGTATGCTTTGACATTGCAAAATGATGTATATATGTACATTTCATGTAACTGTAAATTAAAGAACAATTGTTAAAAAATTAAAAATTAAAGAACTTTGAATGCAGTTACATTTTAGTGTATGCCTGTTCACCATGGATTCTGTTTCTACATGACATTGTATATAAAGTTGTCATCTTAAAACAAACATATATTACTGTATATCCAATGCATCAACCAGAAAAAAAATTATTGCCCTATTGACCTGTGATTCTTTTTTTATCATGAAAGTTCATTTGTGTTGGTAGTAATCATAGTAAAATCTTGAACTTTATTCCAACACACAATTGTACAGGGATCAAATTTTCAACGACCACTGTCGCCTTCATCTGGATAATTAATGACCAATCAGTTCACAACTTTTTTTTTACTCAACCAAAATTCCCTACCTTCTAGGTCTGCTCTGAAGGAAGACTGGGAGTCTAGTGACAGCATCGGTAAGGAGACGGCAATGAACACCATCAGCAGACAGGCTATCTTATAGTCCTCATCTGGATTCTCTGTAAACATAGTGTCCCAGTCACAAAATAGTTTCAAATTGAACATAGCCCTGTTAGTGTTAAAATGAAATGCATTACACATGGTATACATTTTGTAAAGGGTACATACAAGAAGACTGTGGCACAAAACAGAATACAACTGAGGCCAAGACCGGACATAACAGTCAGGTTACCTAACCCATTTTAGCGGCAGAGTCTCTTTCACTTTGCATATACAGTTATAGAGGACGAAAGAGACTGGGCAGCTAAAAAATTTTTGGTAACCATCGAGCTAGGGAAATAACTGTTAGTTTGCAGATGACATGTACCCAATGAAAACTTTCCTTCAATTCACAAAATCAGCTTGCAGATATAATTCAAATATGAACTTCATAAGACTCAGCAGACAACTACAAATTCAAACTCCTAATTAGAATCAAAGTTCAGTGTGATGCTCACAACAATGTGACAACCAAACTGTGTGCTTGTTGTACATTTGTACACAATGGCATGAAATAGATGAAAAAAAAAGTGACACTAAAAGATGTTCAACAAAAAAACAGTCAGTGTGGCCCAACCTGCCCAAATCTGTCGTCTCATATGAAACGGTTGTGGAAGAAAGTATTCAGCACCCGCACCTGTAAGGTTTCCAACATGACCAAAACACGGAGAAAAACTCCTCCATGTAGGCTTATACATAAGCAAAGGTGAACAGGGGGTAACAATTTGATTTAGATTACAGCTAGATTAGTAGAATTAGTAAGTTAAACACAGATTAAAGGAATGCATTTGCCTACATGGAGGACAAGCTAAAAAAAATGAAGTGAAACAAAAAAGACATGGGTGGGAAGTGACATGGAGATGTATCATGTATGATCTGTATGATTTAAAAATGAATGGTTGGGTTAGTGTGCTTGTTATTTGAAGCATATTAAACACATATTAACTATCAATTGATGAAAAATAAAGTTTGCCAGGTGTGATAAAAGAGTAGAAAATTCCAACCATAAAAGAAAAAGGTGACAACCCAATACACTTGCTTACCAGATTTCTGTACTCTGAGAGCAGCACACAATGCTGGGTCTACATCACAGGGGAGGCCAGCTGCCGATGCCATCTCATTCACTATCTCAACACGAACCTGACACAAACAAGATAAAAATATTCCATGCAACTGTAATGATAACCATAACTGTAACACTGAAGTATGGCTAAAAAGGGAAAAGGTACAACGTAGTTTCTGGCAGTAGGGGCCTTGAGATAACACAGTGTCTAGGGCAAAGATAGGAAGGTGGAGCCCATCCCTCCCCTTCCACTGCCTTTTACCTCCCCAACCAAAGTAGGGTACCCATTTTACACCTGGGTGGAGTCATGTAAAAAGCTATTCCAAAGGACACAACTTCTAGCCAGGGATTGAAATCACAACCTTTTGATCTCCTGTCCACTAGCCAAGCCACTTAGCCATTCAATGACACAAAATACAGGGCCAACAGATGATTGGGAAGTAGAGAATGTACACTGACCATGTTGTTCTCAGGTGTCTCAGGGAAGTGTTTCTGGAAGTCGATGATGGAGCTCATCAGGAATGGGATGCGTTTCTTCAGCACCTGTGGGAATTCCAGAACAGGAACTGATGATGAGTGCCACCCAAAACAATTATTACTACAATCATGTAGTACATGCAGCTAATATTTACTTCTAGATGTTACATTAAAACTCTCAATCAGGAAAACAAAAACAAGTACAAATGTATTTAGGATAGCACTTCTTCTACTGCTTACATACATGTACATGTATGGGAAATACATATAGAAATGAGTCTTACATCATTCAGAGCATCTTGAGCCAGTGTCTTGAAGGAAAGGATGACTCCAACAATAGTGACTCTCTTCAGCACATTGTCAACATCTAAAGGGGGATAGACATTATCATTTCACATGGGGATAACTGTAATTTCACATTTTCAGTTTAGCCGTTTGCCTTAGAACTGGCCTGAACTCAGAAATATTGTGTACTAAAAAATCAAGTTTGAATACCTATATTTCAGTTATATTTGTTACCGGTATGACTACTTAAAGGACTGTTGTTCAACAGTTGAACAAGTTTTAAATAGTCTTATTTCATGGAAGATTTTTAAAAGGAGAAAAGAGTTACCTCTGAGTCTGTTGAAGTGCTCTGCCATCAAGGCTGGCTTGTCAAAGTGGGTCCTCAAAGTAGTCAACACATCCTTGTTCTGGGTCACCAGTTTCTGTCATACAGATATGATAAAAGATATGTTAAATCATGATGAGACAACATTTATCTGTCCATACACAGGATCATCACAGAGATGAATTTGCAGGGCTCAAAATACTGTGCTACCTGGATACACAGGTTAGCGCAGGTAAAATTGGAGCTATTTCTGATGTGTACCAAATGTACCTGCACCTAACCTGCCCTGGTCCATGTACTGGGTTTATGTACAAATGTGGGTGTATGTGGATTTAGTATAATTCATACCTGCTAAATTCTGAGTGGTACAGGTACAATTTGTCTGGTACAGGTAATTTTCAATATAGCCTGCACCAGTGCAAGTATACAAAAAAAGACCTAATTGTAACTGAATATCATTGCTTGGTCTAGTCAAGACAAGTTGTTCACCTTGAGTTCTGCCACCTGGCTGGAGATGTGCCACATCAAACTCTCATTCAGGAACTTCATTCCATAAGGCCCCAACAGTTCAGCAAGGGATCGCAGTTCTGCAAGCAAACCATATCTTGTAAGGTAGGGATTTCAGTCAAGAGCAGCATTGCATTGCAAGCTTATAACAACTTTACAGAGAACGTCTAGTATCTTTAACAAATATGCTCAGAATACTACACACAAACATATACACTGTACATCCCATAATCATAATCTACCTGATATTACCAATATTGAATAATTCAAAGGACAAATAGATGATTTTTACTTTCTGATTGTTTTCCCCAAATATTTTGATAATGCATAATATTCACTATATGCGAGTCCAGGATTTCTATTAAAGGGTAGCACATTTAAGGTACACACTGACAGGTGACAATACATGCTGTACACTGTACACATGGGACAATATCTAAAAAAAATCCATACAAAAATGTACATGCTAGAAATTCTACCATTGACTGTAAAAGCAAATTCTTACTCCATAGGTTTGGTTTGGTTTATTTATATCTCCATTAGTGAATACATGGTAATTACTATTGGTCTCATAGTATGTTTGATATGTATCGCATTAGATGCCATACATTGTATTTGGTAGCAATGTAATGCAATATAGTTTGATCATAATACATTCTCACCACTGATATCTGAGAACTCCTCAGCATTTACGGCCACTTGATTGGGATCCACGCCGACGTTGACAAAGGCATGTCTGTTGGGTGAGAACATGATCTGTCCTGTACTCACTCTTCTCAGCAGTACCTCCAAGTACCTGGGCAGGGAGTTAACATCATAAAAAATCCAGCAAACAATCTATCATATACAGAACAGTGCCTATCTAGAACTTATTAACTAATTAATTAATTAGCTACTTAACTTATTATTTAATTAGTTAATTGCTATTACATATTATTTTATCAACAGGAAACAGGTCTGTCCTTAGTGCTGAGTACCAACCATAAACAGGTAAACAGAGAAACATGCCTGTTCTTGGTGCTGAACAGAAACCATAAACAGGTCTGTCCTTGGTGATGAACAGCAACCATAAACAGGCAAACATGCCTGTCCTTGGTGCTGAACAGCAACCATAAACAGGGAAACATGCCTGTCCTTGGTGCTGAACAACAGCCATACACAGGGAAACATGCCTGTCCTTGGTGTTTTGTACACTAAGACCCAGTGACTGACCAGTTAGTGTAGAGAGCTGTGATGGTCTTGTCTCCATGGCTGTCCTGGGGCTGGGTCTGTTGGAGCAACACGTTGTTGAACACCCTGGTGATGTCTAGGTGAACTGCAGGGGTGAAACATCAAGGTTAAAATGAATGAACACTTGAGTAAAGGAGTGCAGTACAACTTGCAAATGTGAAATCATTCTATAGATTTCTGGCAAAAGGTATGCCTTTAAAAAAAGAAACTCTATGAAACCAACTACAATCAACTTTTATTGTCGTTAGGTTCATTGTCGCGCCGCGTTCCTGCGAAGCTGGTGTGTTACGCCGAAAGGCGGTTATACCGGCTATACAGATACAGATACAGATTGTACATGCACATGTATGTTAAACATGGATTCTTTAATATGCATGTGAAACATGCAATACCCATGAAAATTACAACCACAGAAATCATACATCTTTGAGTGATATTTCAGATCCTGTGGTTTAGTTTCCAGCATGCAATGCCTTTTTTATTGCAGGAAAGCTCTCACCATAATTCTCTATGGTCTGCAGTACTCCCATGTAGGCCTCCACACTGTTGAGTAGTTCTGAAGGCTTGGCAATCTCCCCAGAGTCAGGGTTGTACATCACCATCCCTACAAGGGCTCTGAAATACGGCAAACAAAATTAAACAATCTTGGTAAGATAGTGTATTTATTTAATAGTTTTACTTCAACATTATACAGTATTTTCTGTTGGCTTTTTTAAGTTTACCTTCATGGAAGGAAAACATTGTTTTTGCTCTGTTTCTTCTTCTTCTCCAAACAAAAAAGGTCAATGATGGCTGTCACCACGGTAACTGGTGCTGTAGCAGACACCCCTGTGGTGTTGGGTTACATTATGTAGCAAGTGGCAGGAGGGGCTGGTCACCATATACATGAATGTGCTTCAGCAAGAATAAACAGAGCAATGGTTTGTTGGACTAAACCATGTGAAGGTCAACATTATACATTTGTTTTGCAAAAGTTGATTTCTAGTAAATTCTAGCTGATTGTTTTGTTTCTAATGGAGTTGATCCTTACTTTGTGAACCTGGACTCCAGGTGTTGAGTCAGGTACTCCCTGGGAGCAAAGGTGTGTTCCCACACCTGGATGGACGGGGTGTAGTTGATGGCAGAACACAGCTCTGTCAGCATCAGGTACAGTTTGTCCATGCTAGGGGAAAATGTACTGTTAACAAGTAGGTCCACAGGACATACAGTGTACTTTACAATGTGGCAGATCCAAACATTACTTGACTCTATGTGCTACCGCTATGACAATTATCTGCGCATGTATAACTTTACTTCATAAGTTTGTCATACATTATACATGTATACTCTTGATTGGACAAAATATTTTCTACCACAAGCGCATGTCATTTTCTTTTGACTTTGATTTCATGCTCAAAATGAGGTCGTATTTGCAAATATAAGGTTATCATCCCGACTGTAGTTACCAATTGTTATGTTGGAAAAAAATATTGTCTGCAACTGACAAAATTCTAATGCAACATTGACCAAACATCCAACGAAAACTGGGGAAAATCTGGGTTTCACGCAGGCACGGTATGTTCTGCTGATGTGCTCAGTTTATAGATCTGCAAATCCCTTGAAATCCTGGGATGATTTGAAGTCAGTTCTCGCTAACCTTGTGACATCAGTGCGAGAGCGGCGCATGCTCTCCCTCCCAGGTTTGTCAGGTTCCTGTGGCAGCTTCTTGGCTTTGTTCTGGTTTCTCTTCCTCTCGATGGCAATACTGATGGTCTTGGCAGCATTCTTGGGCAACAGCTGGGAATAAAACAAAATCAAGTATAGAATCCAGTCATTCTTTGTGTAGCACTGCTGGGGAAGACAGTGATGATTGTTGCTAGTGTACTTCAGCATCTACATTGTATCTTTGCATCTGATTTTTTCAACTGAGATTCTCACATAGGGAGTACAAAAATCAGGAATACCAGTTTTTGCCCTGACAACAAACATTTGCAACCCCTTGATAAAATATCACAAGCTGCAAGTTAAGTACAAAATACAATGTGAAAGCTCCATCACCAGTCCTGGTTTGCCATGTTTTTAATGCTTAACATGGGTAAAATACTCTTCTGGCTACATACATGTAACATTAGTCCCTTTTAACATATGTTTAATGTAATGTCTTACCTGATCTCCAAGCTTGCACTGTTCATCACAGATAGAGGTAATGATGTTCTTGGCCTCCTTTGCCATCTCATCCAGGAAGAAGTTGGCCTGTGACAGGCTACGGTCCCCAATGTGGTGTCGCTACAAATTCACAAAAAGCTTCAAGTTAAATCGTCACACACACTTATTTTTCTTCTACGCTTAATGTGACATGAGGTGAAGTTGTAACAGTAGGATATGAATGCATGCACATGCACATGGTCCTTGGGTCAGAAGATCAATCCGTCTTGTAGTTCCTTTAAGATAATGTCATGCTCTAAAACTGATCTAACAAAAGTACATCTCTTCTCCTAGCCAAATATTTCTAAAGCTCCTAGATTCAACAAATATTAGACCTGTATATATCTTCATCTGTTGTACATGTAATTATTTTTCATGCCTTGAAACTACTGTATCACTACAGTTTGGATTTTGTGCACCTTGGATGGAAGTTCACAGAAACTTGTACCCTGACTTTTTCTTTCTCTTGTTGAGCCCCCACTGGTTCTCAACTGTGTGTGGTTCAGTCATATTTAAATGGTTAATAAACAGTCTCTAGCACTGGCTTACAAAATCCATTCTACCCTCCAGGGCAAACTCTGTGTCTTTTCACATCCATATGTACAATTTGTGATGAGTATGGTAACATTACATTCCTCATTTCAGCTCATTTGTAGGGTCCCACATCCTGCAACACTGCAGCATGCAGACATGAAGCCAGAACGAAAACATGCACTAGGAAAAGATGCATTTGCTCGGGGGACTCTTGGCTTGTCGGATGCTCATAACCATCATAACAATGATGTACGCAACAAGCAACAAGAACGCCAGCCTTCCAATCACTTCATATGCTGCCCATGCCTTTAACACATACATGTACAGCAGAATTCGGCCAGAATGACAAAAAATACAGAGCAAATCTGCTGCTGCCACGAGCCAGTACTACCAAGCTTGTACATAAGAAATATGAATGCATACATTTTGCTTGTATGACAGCATTGGTTTCTGAAAGGCACATCACAAAAGATTAGTGAAAAGTTTGGTGGCAGTTCAGTAGGGAGACACAAAATGCTGAGGCAAATCATAGGGAATGGCCAGGGGGAAAATGTCAGCTGCACCTATCAGTGCAAAACCTTGGGGCAAACCAATAGCAAAACTTAGGCGGTAGTCATCTACATATTTTCATCAAAATACTAACTGCTACGAGACTTCTTTTGATATAACTGTATCAGAAACTTGACTGTGACGTTGTAAAAAAAATGAAAATGAGATAAAACAAATAACATAAATTTGAGCTGTGAAATCCACACAAGCAAAAAAATAAAAAAGATAGAAGGCTTCGGCAAGAAGCATTGCTGAAAAGGGAAGTGACAGCGGTAAATTAAAATTCCAAGCAATCAATGAGGGAAACGTTACAAACAAACTTCTTTTAAAAAAAAAAGAAGAGGATGGAGCTGAAAGATAGGGTTGGCAGCAGTCAAACTGATTCCAGCCCGACCCTGAAGGGTTTGCATTGATAGGTTCACTCAGAAGGGAAGGGATGATATAAGTAAGGACCCCACCACTACCTCCTCTGGACAGATCTCGTGGGTGCAGTTCATGAAGTGGGAACAGATGAGTGGGAAGCTGATGGAGTAGCGCATCTGGGACGGTGTCTCCAGGCACCACTGGAAGTACTGCTCAAACAGACGCCCGTAAAAACTGGGGGGAGGAAAAACAATAATCCAAATAATGTATTATTCATGCAAACAATAATGTCTCAGTCTCTGATGAAAGACAGAGGATGCTATCTGAAATACATTGTACCACAGTAACTTTGCAGGCTCAATGTCTCAGTCTCTGATGAAAGACAGAGGATGCTATCTGAAATACATTGTACCACAGTAACTTTGCAGGCTCAATGTCTCAGTCTCTGATGAAAGACAGAGGATGCTATCTGAAACACCACAGTAACTTTCCAGGCATGAGACTGCAGTCAGTTACAAGAATTCTCATCAAATGAAATCAAACAAAAGTTTAAAATATTTCCACTACCATTAATTTTGTTACCTTATTTGTGTCTGTGTTCGTGATATATAGAATATGGGGCAGCTTTTGCCATAACATACATTGTACACTACCAGAAAATTTTTCATATTTTTCATACTTTTAATAACATATGTTGAGAAATATTTTCTTACGTTACATAAGAAAATTCTTTGTATTCTTGTTCTTTTCTTAAGTGGAGAAAGTATTGTTAGTATGATGCTCACCAACAAAAATTTTGTAGAAAAGAAAAGAAAAACTTTTTTCAGACTCCAAGATTTGTTTCTTCTTTGGTCAAAATTTAGTATTTTTACAGATTAGTAGGCGACAGGAACAACTGAAGGTTTTGTACCAGAAGGTGGAGAGGTCAGATGTCTCCTTAGCCATCTCATCCAGACTGTCCACCATGTATGTGTGGAACGTGATGGTGTTCATGAGTCGTGCTAGATCAGGGTTCTCTCTCAGAACCAGCTGGGCTCGACTAACACTGGTGTAGGCCTGGCAGGGAAGGCACAAGTTCAGTTCAGCAAGTTTTTATTCAAAATTGACTGGCATTTACAGTGTACAAGAACACAATTAAAACTGATGGTACTAAAACTTGTATTCGTTAGTTTCATCAGGTTGGTAAGTCACTAAAAGTAAAGTTAGAGACTCTTCTTACACAACCAAGTCTTTCCTTCAGCCAACATTTCGGTGACCGTCTGTCATCTTCCTCAGGGCAATTCTGACTGGTTCACATTGCACTGCAGCACAGGTGTCGCTGCTATAGATGCTTGACCGAATGTACACATGTGTGGTTACAGGGAACTGTATCTACCAGACTTAATATCAGATGACTACATTTAACACTGGATAGCTGGCAGTTCTAATTTAATCAGCTGTTGTCAGATATAACTGTCAATGGAGCAAATGGTACATGTAAATGTATAACAATACTTATAACCTTCAGGAAAACAAATGGCTGAACTGAAGTACCTGTAGTCTGAACCAGTCCAGTCTCATTCCTCGGAAGTCAAATATCTCCCCCTCCTCAACTGAAACATACAAACACAATCATTCTGGGATTTAGCCAATAGGCACCATTGCTTTGTTTTCTCTTTTACTCTTCTCCTGGACTGATTTCAAAATGGATAAACACATTTGCCAGGCCATACCAGATTTTACACAATCATCTACTTCAAACTCCATGTACACGTTGAAGAGGAGTCATGTTGTTTAGAGATGGTATGTAAGTATGTAGGTCCTACATGTAAATAAAGGACAGGGAAGTACTAATTTGATGTTTAAAACTCACAAAGAAGAGTTGTCCCTATGATAATGAAGCAAGGAGAAAGAGTGGTGGTGTCAGATGTAAACATAGCCTAAATAGTACCTACGTGCAACTTGTCACAGTCTTGTAAACTTATACACACCCATTTTTATTGCATAATCAGAACGAAATGTTTCTCATATTCAAACAAAGCAACCTTTGAAAAACAGACGATAGTCAACAGATTTGCTTTTAGAAAAACAATAAAAAACAGCTTTAGTTGCATTACACAAAAGGATATTCTATCACCCTTTACTAAATTGTTTACATCAAACATGTAGCGCTACATGTAAATCATGCATTTGTATATCATTTCTGATGAATCGGAATCAGATGTAAAATGTATTATATTATATATTATACCTTGTTTGACAGACAGGCCATTCATAGTGTTGACAAAAGATGACATGATGATAGACTCATCCTCTGGACACACCGACAGATTCTGGAAGGTAGAAACAATGCAAACAATGCAGAGGCCGACATGGCAGCTAATACTGGTGCAGTGCTGGGAATATACTGTTGGCAGAATGTACTGTGCCTGCATGAAACCCATAATGTATCATGCATAACACTTCAGCAGAATGTTTCGTCTAAGATTGCATAATTATTTATTTAGGATGGCATACTGTCCATAGTTTTCAAATGTTGTGTCAGAAAAGATACTGTCTTCTATGGGCAAAATTCTGACGCAACATTGACCAAACATCCAACAAATATCTGGGTTTTGCACAGGCATATAGTATGTTCTGTCAATGTGCTGTACAGTATAACCTTACTAGGACAAATTTACAAGAACAAGGGGTCACACGGGCACTATGGATGAGTTTCTTCAGTCTGTCATATCAGATATGTAATTGCTAGCAATCTTGCAATGCAGTAATTTAACACTGTCAAGACAGTTCTATATTTACATTCAAAACGTCTTTGGTGCAATTTTTTTTCTTTAAGTAAAAAGTAAAAAGCAAGAACATTTTCATTTGCCAAGAACAGTACTCGTAAAATGACTTTAACATATATACAGTATCACGTTCAACCAAACATGCGCACTTCAAAAGAATGGTCTCAGTTCCACAATGCCTGTATACCACCTGGGGGTAAGATTAGTACTTAGATACTTGTATAGAACTGGTTAAAGGGTTAGTAGTTTAACAGGGAGGGGGTCACAAATACACCACTCAGTACCATAGGGCTCAATAGTAACAGCAAGTTTGAATACAAAAGGGGGGAATCAGGGGGAGAGGGGGGTACTATATTTTCATCATTTCATGGATGCTTCTTTTGACAAATCTTTTTGAGACACAAAAAAAAAGTGTGACAAGCAGTCGTAAAGTATGATTTCTTTCCAGAAATAAAAAAGATTGGCAAAGTCGGTGCCAAGGAGAATGATGAAGAAACCAAACTCGGCAGGTGGAGGTTATTTCTGGTGGGGGAACGTCAACAAAAACTCGGTGATAGACTGGCTTACCCAGTCCTCCTGACACGTGGGGTTTCGTTTGCTGTTGAAACTTTCTCTCGCACGCAAGCGAGGCTTGCGAAGGCCGCAGGAAAACACAACAAGAGAAATTTTGGTTACCAAAAGAGTGACACGCTCATGTGTGGGGGGGTGGAGCATAAACAACATCAGGGTAAAACTGCCTGGTCTTTTTTTTGTTTGTTCTCAGAATCAAAATTCTTCCAGTTCATCCACTGTATATATCAAAACCTCCTGTGTTGAAAAATGTTTGAAAAAAAAAACAGATAGGGCTTCAATACAAAATCAAAAGTCAATATTTTAGCAAGCCACTGATTATTTCATGTTTTGATAAGCGAAAATGGCAGCCAAATTATAAACATGCCATAGCTAGTACCATCTGTGCTCACAACATTAACATATGCATGATTTGTTACGAACTGAATTTTCCTATTAACTGTACATTCAATAATGTTAATCTTGCATCGCATTAGAACAAAAAGGTACCGGCATAAAACTACTACTAAACTGTATTCACAAAACTACAGTTGCATTTCCCATACTTTCGTACAAGCAGATTTCAATCTTTGACAGCATTTTTCTACAGTACTACGACAAGACACTGAACGTGATTCTACAAGTCTCTAAAGAGTAACTCTACTAGCATTTAGTAACACTAAATAGCATGCAGACAAAAGTGTCAAAACTCAAGAAGCAGATTTCACAAGTTAGGTCTACCTGGTGCAATCCGTTCTTTGGTGGGGAGAGCATTACAAGAGAGGAAAGAGAAGTCCACAAGAAAAATTTCAACCACCTCTAAAATGCCAAAAAGATCCTAAAAGCCTTAAATGTGATGGAGTTAGATATAGGAGAGGCAGAGCTGAGCAGTTGAGATGCGCTTGGAATTTGAAATGCACTTGGAAAGTGAACGTTGACTCAGAGTGGAGGATAGGATGGGGGGTTAAGGCAGGAAACAGACAATATTCTACAGTTTTCTGTACTACAGTGAGAAAATGACCATGCTACTGTGAAAAATGCATTAAACTACACTGAGAAGTGGTATACAAGCAAAGGTGGGGAGAAGACAAGTATACTAGAGGTATATAATTATAGGGATGTGTTTTGAACAGACACTAGTAAGGAGGATGAAGGAAGGAAGGAATTATGAGATGATGTGAATTATTACAGCAGAAATGCATAACACAATGTTAGATTCATATCTATGACACAATAACTAGTACACATCTAGACAGGCAATGTAACAAGCTTGCTAGGCAATGTTATGTACGAAGATAAGCTATTAGAAGGATTACTACAGGGTGCTCTACATGTATGTGCACAGATCATATTCGACTACTAAAATCCAAATAGAAACATACAAACACCTTTCATGCAACTGAATCACTCTGTGTACATATGAGCATGCAATTTCTACATGTACTTTACACATTTGTATAAATGTAGTCATGCTTGATAATTTTTCATGCAAAACAACTCATAACATGGTGACAGAATTTTTGAGCTAATTTTGTACAACCAGGAAACAACATTTTGGGAAACAACTTAGAATCATGGAAAGGTTTTACCATTATCTGAAACAAGTGACTTGTGAAAGTTTGGCCATGTTACAAGTTGTACTGCCGACATGCAGAGGACTCATAGTACTACCTGGAACCTACCTGGACTAGGTTGTTGAGCACGATGGAGTCAAACCCGTTCAGGTACTGTACGTAGTACCGCTGCATGACCTGGTTGTACTTCCGCAAAAGTCCCCGCAACTCTTCCATGTAGTACAGCAACTCTGGCAGTTGTCTGGTGAAACAAAAAAATGATTAAAGATGGTGGGTAAGATATTGGAAGGCAGACTCTATCCCCAAATGAAGTCAGGTACCCATTTTACACCTGGGTAGAGTGAGGAAAAACTGTGTGCCACAAGAACACAATGTTAAGAATACCAGGGATCAAACCCATGACCTCTTGGTCTCGTGTCTGTTTGCCTAACCTTTCAGCCATTCGATGCCACCCAAGTAACAAAAGATATACATAAAAGAAAATGGATGATCATGCATTATGACAAAAAGCAGTTATTCAGGCAACTGGATATGATTTGGGAAAATCATATCCAAATCCATTTGGACCGTTTCCAAAATCATATCCAGTTGCTTGAGTAACTGCTTTTTGGCGTATCTTATTACCAGGTCCTGGATGTCTGACCTTTATCGACGTATCATGCATTATGTTTTGACATCATATTGTACGGCCATAGAAGAAGAACTGAAAATAATGTCAAAGTCACTATGAAGAAAGCACAGACGAAATCTACCAACCTGTCTTCATAATCCACAGGGTTGGGCCGCTTGTTGAGTTTGGGCGCAGGGTTTTCTGAGTGTCTCAGTAGCCAGAGTACCTCGTCTCGAGCAAACGACAGACCCATAAACACAAACAAAGCCTGCAGAAAAAGTAAACAACAACATTACAAATCTTTGAAATATTGCCATTTCTATTTCAAAGACACTAGTCTAACAGTTTAGAAATTCAACTTGCCTTAGAAGAATATAATAAACCAGAAGACACTACAGATATATGAGTGGTATGATCTTAAGTTAAGCCACACTAGATAGACACTGTACACAGCCACTACACCAGACCTAAGAGTGCTACCATCATCTTTTGAGCTGTACCTTGGGCCCCAGTAAACCAGGCTGGTCAGCCAGAATCATCACTAACTCCTTCAGAGCTGTACGCAGGAACGCTCTTCTCTCTCGGTGAAACGGACCCCTGCACAACAAAATCAGTTCAAATGTTTGTAAAACAAGAGTAATATTTTGGGCTGATTTTGCGGTAGCATACAATATATGTGTCTCATGCCATTCTTTGTTACAGCTTTTTTACTTGAAACCTTCTTCAACACAGTTAGAAATGTTTTTAATGGCTACATAAAAAATCTAACATGTTGTGTCCAATCTATATAACTTTGAATACAAATATCAGTCACTTACGCGTTAACAACAGCATAATTGGCACACTCCTTTGTTTCAGTTACACGCTTGCCGTACCTGAAAATGAATACAAATTACATTATAAAACAGGTGTCAGACTAACGTTAACTATTGATAACTAATGGGGAACAACTGCACAGCTAGTAAACACACAGCCCTAAGATCAATCCTCAAAGCAAGACTATTCAATATGTAGTATTGAGGAACAAACTTCACAAGATGGTATGAAAAACATCACAACGTGTACATTGATTGTGATCTATGTGAGATTTAACATGACGACAATGTTTTAAAAAAAGGACAGAAGGAAACAGACTTACCCCTTGATCCCCTCGAACACCCCCTCCACAGTCTTGTGAATGTACAGCACCTCGTCTCGGAACAGCGTGATGACGTAGTTCCCAGACAGCGCAAGTCGCCACAGCTGAACAGCAGAGTCTGACTGTGTCAGCTGTCCATGGCACAGCAAGAATCCAACTGGGAAACAGCAACATTGTCAACATTTTTATCCATTGTCAAATTTTTTCTCAATACATCTGATTGCAAGTAAGAAAAAAGGGAAAAGCAGTTTTGCAAACTTTTGCTCAAGATTATTACTTGTCTACATTACTGTTAGATCTCCTATCATTGTACTTCCACATTTGGCCTCTAGGTGGCGCTGTTTTACTGCTTGGAACTACCCTTTTTCTATACTGGCAGAAATAAACATTTGTAGTTCCTTTTCTTGACTGTACTTACAGATGATCCACTTCTCCATGGTCTCCACTGACAGGTACTCACAGGGCATCTTTAAGGCACAAAGAAATGTTTCACATTAATGTACAACACAAGGAAATGACATATTGTGAGGCCAACAGTCACAACAACAGTTACAGAAAACATCCATCAGGTTTGCTAGGATCAGCAAACAGGACAGAACAGATTTCAACACTACTTGTGGACCAAAAATGCAGCTCAAAATGATACTTCATGGCATATGTATCTTGTATAAACACTTTTCAAGATGTTAACACCTCGTGAAACATAGATACAACTTACTACAGACAAAGAGATCAAATGCAAGCTTCTAAAAAAAAAGTGCCAATCCCCTTTTCACCTGGGTATGATTTCTTCCCAACCCAAATTTTACTTGCCAAAATTTGTGGGTTTTTTTCTGTACAGTCCTTGTGTATATAAGACTGGCAGATTACACAAAAGTCTGCCTTACCGTCTCGCTCTGTGCAGGGTTGAGCATCTGTCCTGGAGCACTGACCAGACTCAGCATCTGGGCCTGTCTCCACTGTTCAGCAGGCAGGTTCCGCCGGGGGTACACTTGGTGTAGGGACAACAGGGCACAGGCCACCAGCTAACATACAACAACACAACACATGTACAACACTTCAGTATACATGTACAGCAAGGCATAGCTAATATACATGTACAACAAATAATAACTGTTTTAAAATTGAACAGCAAAGTTCTTTCATCACAACCATTTATTTTTTTACGAGCCAATGTTTCGATGACCGTCTACCGTGGCCGACAAGAACAAAATTTTACACCGCAACTTTTGGTGTTTTACACCGCAACTTTTGGTGTTTTACACTGCAACTTTTGCTGTGTTTTATACTGCAACTTTTGCTGTGTGGATGACTTACACCCCTCCCCTTTTATAATGGACGGTCCCCCTGTCAGGTCAAAGGTGACAACGATGTCATGCAAACTACGTCGACTGAGTTATCCTTTTCGTGCATACGTTTTTTAGAGGAAAAGCTTGGCTACGTTGTGACGTTAGTTTTTTTCTAAAGGTTTTTCTAGCTTTGGCCTATAGATCGGGATAAATTTAAAAATGTTTCGACCAGGTCCAATGATTACAAATTATGTTGCTATCTAGTGAATGTTGGTAACGTTTGCACCGCTACGTGTTGATGTCGACGCATGGTATGATAGAAATGATGTCTGTCTGAAGGCGTAAATATGTAATTAGCTTAAACTATCGTGGCATGATGTCATAAACGCTTGCATGCGGCGATATTCGTCTTCCACGTTTCCCCGCCTTTGAGTCACGTGACATTTTCTAGCTAGATAATTCGGACTCGCAAGGTCGCTAATAATTTGATGAGTAAATATTGGGCCTATGGGAGTCAAATGAGGCACCACTTGGTACTATGAAGCAATAAAGACTTATTTTCAATTATGAAGTGTTGACTCTTGACTCAGGTAAGTTATCGATCATTAGGGAACAATACGAGCGATCGCCATGACGTCACCGTAGGCAAAAAGTGGGTGCCAGTTGGCTGATTTGCCTACCAAGAATTTGCATATGTCTTCAAATAATTTGCATGCGTATAATGTAAACAAAAACAGCGATCGCTCGTATACAAATGTAGACACTGTGACTCTCAGGCCGCCGCCATCTTTGTCACCTTTGACCTGACAGGGGGACCGTCCATTATAAAAGGGGAGGGGTGTAAGTTTCCCACACAGCAAAAGTTGCAGTATAAAACACAGCAAAAGTTGCAGTGTAAAACACCAAAAGTTGCAGTGTAAAACACCAAAAGTTGCAGTGTAAAACACAGCAAAAGTTGCAGTGTAAAACACAGCAAAAGTTGCAATGTAAAACACAGCAAAAGTTGCAGTGTAAAACACCCAAAGTTGCAGTGTAAAACACCAAAAGTTGCAGTGTAAAACACCAAAAGTTGCGGTGTAAAACATCAAAAGTTGTGGTGTAAAATTTTGTACTTGTCGGCCACGGTAACCGTCTGTCATCTTCATCAGGGCAATTCTGACTGGTTTGATGTGCACTGACGCTAGATGTTACTTGGTGTAGTGCACTAAAGCTGTTACATGTTTCACAGTGTATGGCCTATGTATGTCACAGTTGCACTACGTTCGGAAATGCATTAACAGTAAAAACTAGCTTAAGTGCAGTGTGAACCAAGTAACAGTGCACTGTGAACCATGTAACACCTTTAATGAACTATGCACCAAGTATAACATCTAGCATCAGTGCACAGTAAACCAGTCAGAATTGCCTTGATGAAGATGACAGACGGTCATCAAAGAACTTTGCTATTCATGTTATGAAGATGTTCACCTTGCTGTGAGGTGTGAATTCCTCCTGTAACTTCTTCAATGGCTGTTCATAGTCCAGGATCATCTGGCCTAGACGGGCAAAGTTCTGATCCCTGGGAAAAAAAGGGAACAAAATCTTATGTTATGGCCTTATACAAGACTATCATTACATTGTGTGTAATGCAAGCAACAAAAGGATCTTTCTAACTTGGAGAGTAACAATTCAGTAACAAAACTTGACCTTTATTTCATCAAGATCTAACTTTCTACTATTTTCTACTTTCTTCTATTGCACTTATCAAAAATCACAATCCAATCATACTTACATGTATCTTATTGAGTTACACTGTTCATATATGCAGAAACACACACATAAACATACACAAACAGACCGTAAAACATAATATACCGGTAACTTCTTTGTGAAGGCACTGAAGATAGTGCAGCTTGTACACTGTATCACAGAGAACACTGTGTATCAGTCCAACTCACACTTTGCCATGTGTCAGGTCATGTGCGTAGTTGTACAGTCCCAGCACTGCCTTCCTGTCATCTATCCGCGCCAGTAGGAGCATCAGAGACACATACGAGATGATCAGGTCCAGGTAACCCTTCGTCAGGTCATAGTTGGTCGTCTATACATGGTGAGAAGGGAATCAAATGAGTTACGTAGAAGTTTTGGTTGAAGAAAGCAACAAATGATGAACCTAGATTAAGTATACCTAAATTTCTATCTAAAACACAGTCTTAGTAATTGAAGCGTAATTATAATATTTCTGTAAAAGTAATCCATTGAGGTACTCACAATGTCAAAATGAACATTACAGGCATCCATTGTTGTGAGCAGCTCACTGACATGGTCCTGTAAAAAATATATATGATTGTACAACCTGGGTTACGAGATATTACAATTAGCCATGTTTGTGTACAATTTATGCAATTCTTTTGTCTTTGTGACTAAGATGTAACTGTTCCTTTACCATGGCATAGTGATGCTCTATGAGCTTCCTAGTAAGTACAATGGTTTCTGAACAGTTTTAGTATGACTACTACTTCCTAAATTCTGATGAATGGTACTGGTAAACTAAAATGCCTGGTGCAGGTAAATTTTCAATGTTACTTGCACCAGTTTTGAGCCCTGCAACAAGAATCAAGAGTGCGGAATTGTTCTAAACATATCTATCAAAACCTTTTGGATAACAGATAAGAAAACTACACAGAACTGTGTTAAAACTAGTGGTGTAAAAATGTACCTTGAAATCCATAACGTCCACAAAAGTGAAGTAGTAGAGTGAGAGCTGCTTCATGATCTCTCCCTTGATGTTGTTGACCTGCTGCAGCTGGGACTTTAGGGGAAAAGGTCATATCAACAAGGTGAACCAAAACTTGTACAGTACAGTAGATCATGGTACTCGTACAATTACTTCCACTTCATGTAAGACCCGAGTCATGCTTCTAAATACTACACATGTTTAAGAGTCACGGTAAACTGCTCTACGTACATACACAGTATGGTGAACTAGATTTATACAATATAGACATAATTCACTTAAGTTAAGAGAACATTATATACTTGTTTGCTAAGCTATTTCAGACTGTAATGGCTTGCTACATGTATGACCAAGTCTAGAGACTTTCAAGTATGCATAATACTTTAGCCACTTTTAGGGAGAACAAACCATATGTAAAACTAGCATGCCTCTAGCTAAACTGGTAAAAAGGAACAAAAAAGACATGTAGAAGGACCCAATCTGAATATAAAGTTCTTTTCTATGATTCTGGACAGCAAAAAAATCTTTGACGGTTCCACCTTTCATCAAAGAGGAACAAACATAAAAGTGGAGATTCTGTCCCAGTAACTGCTGAGATGGTAGAGATTGTGTATTTAGTGCATAATTGAGTGGGTTTACTTCTGCAAAAGATATAATCTGAAATATGTGACAAACCAAATTGTTAAGTGCAATTATGGCAAGTTGGAATTCCAGGCAGATACTCTCAGTTGATTCTTTACAAAATTGAATTAACATTTAAATTGAGTGATAACAGAGATTGAAGTAAGCCTATAAAAGAAACACATAGCTGGTATAGAGGGTATACATGTATGCATGAACATTTCAGATAATGTAAAAAGTGGACTGACAGACATATTATGTTATTTTACATACTAGTATATCATGTATACATTCTCTGTTTCAATCTCAAATTTTTCAGCTTATACAATTTCACTTTTTGTTTACTGAACTGTAAGTAAGTAATTCATTTCCATCCAAGTATGTTTCCTTCTAACAAAAAGTAACAATTATATAGCATCAATCATACAAGGATAAATCATAACTGCTTCTCATAAGGAATGTAAAAAAAAATAGTCAGGAAGATTGAGTTGAAAGATGCAAAGAATGCAAGAATGAAGGAGAGAGAAATACATGTATAGAAGACAGAGTAATTAGGTGTGTGAGAGATACCATAGTAAGTGTGCAATATGCTCTACATGTATATACCATTAAATGCTGTGCTTAATGTGCTAGCCACTATCTCACACAACGGTATTCAACAGAATACTTAGCATCCGACCAAAAGTTACCAAGAAAAAAAATGGTTTTAAAAAAAAAACACATAAAGGCCTGACCACACCAAAGTGCAGTGCAACAGTGCATACATCTCTCCAGAGCAAAAAGACGACTCAACTGACCTGCACAAAAGGCATTGTCCACTGCACATGCAAGGATAAGATATGGCAAAAAAATTGTCATGGTTAAAAAAGCGTACGGTTATATCTAAGTCTACAGCTCTTAGTGGCAGTTACATCTGAATCGGATTAAATGAGCAAAATTGCAGGCACGTGGGTAATTGAAATTAGGACACAAAAGGGTCCAGGGGTGAAAAACGAAGGAAAAAAAACAAAAACTGGTGGATTCTGGGTGAGGATGACTATACATAATTGTGGTAGGGTAAATAATGGATTAATTTAAGCAACAAGAGAATTGAGCAAAATACTTACAAATAAAAACCTCTGGAAAATAACAAGATTGCAATTGGCATGAAAGAGAGCAAAAAAAAATCTCCACCACAGCAAAAAATACAGTCTTTTAAACATGACGGCTCTCGGGCTTTTGTTATACAAATGTATGTACAAATACCACAGATGAATAAAAGGCAAAACTTTCCAGAAAAAATATACAAGTGTTCATAGAACCTTACCTGAACAAAATCAAACATGCCGAAATAGCCAAGAAAAGGAACAAGTCAACACTTCTAAGGATACTAACTTATAAATATGAATATACAAGTGTAATAATAAGTGCAACGCTTTTTGTGCCAAAAGATTATGGCGATCAGATACTACTTGCAAAGGCATACGTGATAGAGGATCATAGAGGGAAAGTTGGCACAGGGAAGGACAGGACTAGAGGATAGGATCTAGTCTAGTGAGGGAGGGAAGATGATACATACAATGTATATAGAATACTTGATACCTACATACATGTACATGTCAAATACGTATAAAATTTATCTATCATGACTTAAAGTAAGGGATACATGTAGATGCGCCTTAACAGTTCTCAGGCTACTAATAGATAATGTTATCTATGATTCTATCACAATATGATGATTGGTACATTTGTAAGTAGATAAATTGAAAATACAGCCAAATTATTACCTGGAATGAAAAGCATTGAAGCATAAATCGCATACAACAGTCACATTGTTTGACTACTAATACATGTACACATGTATAGTGATGCATACCGGTTCACTGGACTTGGATCCAGACTTGTAAGAATGTTTAGGTTCAAGTCCAAAAAAACCTAAAAGTCAAGAACCGAGTCCGGACTTATTTACCATAAAAGACCATTTCACATACCCCTTTTCTTTCCAAACCACCTCAAACCTTCCGTAGAATGCAAAATCTTTGCTGCAAAATGAAGAAAAAATAGCCATCGGGCATCGTCAAGTACCGGCCTCCATGTTATGTGGGCAAAGTTTCACCCTGACAACATTGCAAGGTTGCCAACATGCAATTTTGTACATGCCATGGGTTTAGGTCCGGACTTACAAGTCCGGACCTGAACCTAAACCTCTGGACTTGAATCCGGACCTGAACCTAAAATTGGGTTTAGGTATGCATCACTACACATGTATGTGTATGTACAAGCATTTCAGGTCTGGCAGATGGATTCAGCTATTCTATCATGACAGTGGCATGCAAGAATTGCTCTTCAACTGATCAGATTTAGGCACAGGCCTTGCTAATGCTAGCCTGGGAGAAATCTTATCATTTTACCCGGAAACAACCATGATCTAGGATTTATGATAATTTTGTTAAGGAATTCAGTTTCATGTATCATATTTACGAATGAACCGTTCTTACATAGTTGTTCTTGGAGTCGACATGTGGGAACTTCCTGACAATGAACTTGATGGCTCCTTCCAGGTTCTTGTCTGAGAGGAAGGCAGGTTTGGACTTCACATCTCCACAGGCCTGCAGATTAGACATGGGGGAAATATGTTAAACAATTATGTATGTTATCAGCAACACACTCAGGCTTTTCACATGGCATTACTGGCACATGGACTAGTATAGGCACATTGGTAGAATGTACTGCGCCTGTGCAGAACCCTGGCTTTTCTCGGTTTTCTCTGTATTTTTGGTCAACATTGCATCAGAATTTTGCCTGTTGCAGACGAAATATTTTCTGACTCTGAACATTTGGAAACTATAGACAGGATGTTAACCTTATATGTGCAAATATAACCTTATAATATAAAATATGAGACATTCTGCCGAAGTGCTAAATACAATACATCACGGATTTTGCTTAGGTACAGTACGTATTGCCGACGTGCTGAGAACATGTACGCATAACGTCCTGTACCTGTATGAAACCTGTTATATGTATTTTGCATAGAATTTTTAACATTGAGCAAACATCCAGCGATTCAAACGAAACCGCAAAAAATCCGTGATCACTCAAAATCAAATGTACATTATGTAGACTTGCACAGTGTTGAAGCTCCTTGCTGCAATCCACTGTCTCCAGGATTTAAATGATAATAGTCCATTGATAAAAAAATTTGACAGTGAACCTTACAAACATACAATGTCCCTAACTCACACAACTATGAATGTGTTTGAAATGACACAATACATGATAATTTGAGGGCATTCAAGGGAAGAAGAAAAAAATTTGAACTTATAACGTTACAGCGTAACAGCTACATTGTATTTATTCAAATCACTGAGGTTGTACCTAATTTATACCAACCTTGGACCCTGATTCAAATGCAACATGATTTTAAAGATACACTGAGAAGACACTGCGCATATTGGGGGAGGGGCAAGGCAGTTTGGGGAAGTCATAAACAGCTAGGGTCTTTTAATGTTTACTTTTAGGAACAGCTAATTTTGAAAATGACTGGAAAATTTATCATAATCACACATGTCTGTGAAGTGAAATATCCTTTGTTCTATTAGGCACCGTTTTTGTTTCGCTATGGTCAACTACCTAAAAACCACATCCATGTTACCAAAGCTAGGAACTATAAATGTTAGGTTCTTTCTAAAAAGTGTCAAAACACCACAAAAATCGTCTGATTTCCCCCAAAACGAGCCCGTCTGACAAGTCGGTCCCCCTGAAAATTCCCCCGAGAGAGCCTCACCTTTTTGATGTTATATATCCTCGTCAGCATGCCCATGGCCCGATCGTTCAGCACCGTCAGCTTCTCCGCCAGCTTCTGCTGACTGGGGATGAGCTGCCCCGTCCGAGACATCTTGTGTTTTTCAGCTAAAATGTGTAGAAAAGGGTCACATTTGGCGGAGGAAACAAAAACACAGGAAGGAAAGGGCTGGGCCACTTCCTGATACCGAGGCTGTCGCAATGCATTCTGGGAACGTTAGGGTTAGAGGTCAGATGCACCTGTCGACCTAAAATGTGAAATATGATGTTTTGGCGAATTTTGTTTGAAAAAAGGGGGCAATATTTGCATCAAATATAATCATTCAACACTTCCATACATTCACTAAGAATGCAAATGGTTGCCGATGTGGTTCTTATGATTAATTTTTGTAATGAACTTAAAACATATTTTTCGTTCTTTCCCCATGTTGTTGTCTGTCGATTTGATATCTGTGAAGTTTCATATTGTGTCTAAAACTATAGTCTAAAACAATCCATCCGAAGACAAGATAAAGTGACGTCATGGCATGACGCCGTGACTCATATTCATACTCCTAAAAAAATAGCCACAGCTCTCGGCTGGGCGTGGTGGAGCGAAGTATGGCGATATGAAATCAAAACTTAATCAAAGTTGCGATGCAAATATGAAAATTTGTCTCAAAAGTCTCAAAAATTGAACTTGTAATAAACTCACAAAGAAGGCCATATGTCATTATGTGTGCTTGATGTGTGCATGAACCAAGGCCTATTTTGCAACGTTCATTGCAACGTTCATCCACACCCTATGCCTATCTGTAGATGATATCATGATATTTATTTATATGATATTTATCAGCGCCTTTTTCACATTATCAAGATGAGATTACAATATTACAGTACATAAACGCATGTTCAAATTTGGCGGGTTCCCGTGAGTCTCCTGGCGAGTCACGTGACTCTTACATCTATACTCCTAGAAAATGGCCCCGCTGCCAGCTGGGCGTGGTGGCGCGCGCCTGTAATCCAGCTACCTGGAGGCTGGGGTTGGTGGACCGCTTGAGGCCGGGGGTTCTGCGGCGTGCTGTCCTATGGCGATCGGGCGTCCACGCTAAGTTCGGCATCGATATGGTTTCCCCGGGGGAGCCCAGGGCAACCAGGTCGCCTAAGGAGGGACGCACCGGCCCAGGTTGGAAACAAAGCAGGCAAAAGTCCCCGTGTCGATCAGTAGCGGGATCGCGCCCGTGAATAGGCACTGCGTCTCAGCCCGGCCAATATAGTGGGACCCAACTCTTTTTCTTTCTTTTTATCTCAAGATTCCATTATACAAAGTAAATATCGGTTACATTTCACATTGATCTGGGCATATTTTCTTCTTTTGCTTTTTTTTCATCCAGTCTAATGCCCATAGCTACCAATCGAAGGCTAAACAGTACCATGGGCATGGAACACTTCATACTGTTATTAGTACAGTATTAGAGTACTGTCTTCTTGTTACTGGTATCTGTATCTGTACAGCCGGTATAACCGTCCTTCTGTCGTAACACATCAGCTTGTGTATGTAGTATGTCTTCTCACGTGTTCTGCATACATGATGAAATATATCAAAGATCCGTTCACAATTTCTCGATTCACATCACGCTGTCCATACGTACACTCACACAAACACACGTACACTCACACAAACACGCGTCACACAAACACACGTACACTCACACAAACACACGTACACTCACACAAACACACGTACACTCACACAAACACACGCCACCGAAACTGCAACATTCTTGATGAAGGTAATAAACACACAGTAGCCGATAGTTCACGTGCATAAATCTATTACATCAAGTGAAGAATATTAAAACTTCGGTAACCATGAGACAACTCCGACTATCATTCACTGTCTCTCAGTGGATTGCCTTTGAATTCACTCTGTACCTTCGAATTCCTTTCTGACTAGTCATCATAATAATCGCTTTCCATTTACATGCAGTTGATTTCTAAGAAACTGAAAGCAAAATGTATACATTATGGATACTGCTGCCTACTGAATACTCATGTTGATTACGAAGAATGTACGTACCACGGCTGTATATTCTTAAGCTCAACAACTAGCTTCCACTCCAACCCTATAGACCAGTTTATAACAACTGCAATCATAATGATTATAATTGCCCAAGTCGGTATACAAAGTATGCCACACCATTGCAATTAGTTAGAATTTCTGATCTAAAGATATAGAACACAACCATTTTAATCCATCTGGGCTAGTCCCTTCCCGATACACGTTTTGATATATATTCACAAGTGCAACGAACAACGCACTACATGTAGTAGCATTACGAGATGAAATTACATTTTCTTGTCAGTTACAATTCTTAAAACATTTATGAGCCTTTTTTTAAATTAACCACAGTCCAACATAATGTGGCATATTCTAGACAATGTCAATTATAGGGAAACATGTACATTGTGCTTATGATGGTTTTTTCCCTTTCAACACTAATTTCTAGAAAAAACATTACTCTAAGCTTTACAGTTACGTTGGTGAAGGTTAGCCATCCAGGATAGTAATAATATTATCATCACTTTACAGGTTTCTATATATGTGAATGATGATAATTATAGCACTGATCTGGTTTGTTCTAAGACATTCTGGGAAACAATAGAAAGTAAAGCATTCAGTGTTACTACTTCTTTTCTAATGACACAACATTACGGTTGATAATCGTTATCCATGGTCTGGTTTAAATACAGTATCCTGGTAAATGAACAAACTACATGTCTATTGAACATGGGCACATTGATTTGCTAAGTAGTAGTACTGTCCTTACACTTAAATTAATATAGCCGTCTATGACCTTCTCCAGACCATGGTTAGGACTTGAGAGTTCTAATAATTAGTCGTGAGCAAGGCCATCTTTAGTCGGGAGTGTTAGGCGAGATTGTCTATTAGTCTATAAAAGTTGTCTGTGCCAGCCGACTATGAAAATGGAACTCGTGAAATTTTACTTAGATGTAATATCGCTGTAGAACAAACTGGAGCTAGAATAGGCGACTCCCAACTCAGTACCGGCCTTGGTTGGGGAGTGGTGGGCTGAGCACAGTCGTGCGAAGGTCTCTTGAATGTGTGTCAAGCTAGGGCTTTTGTGAATGACATCCTTATCGGCTTTAGATCGATCCTAGTTGTCCTTCTAAGGTCATTTGGTTTGGATCTGACTAGCTCTCAACAACAAAATGTATGTTGAAGGATTTTTGCAAAATTGTACATGTATTATATTTTGTGTCTATGCATCTACTCAAATAAATAAATATGTACGGTCAGCTGCAGCTTATTGGGTCACTAGGCTTCCTTTGGACACCTGTAATTTCATGCAGCTGGGATGATTGGCTGGTGCTACAGTTTTATTTGGCAGGGCCTCCATACTCTCCAGGCATAGGTTGTATGGGAATGATCGTTAGCTTTAATTTTTATATATGGCCCTTTTGTTTGTCGGTACCCCCGTCGGTGGCCGGCTACCTTCTCTGGTTAATGGATACTGTCTTGCCTCCGAAAGGGATCTGCTTGGAGATTAGGCCTCCATGCATCACAAGTAAAGGTTGAGGTGGCGCAATTTTTATGCTGCCGACATCTTAGACTTTCTTTTCTTTCGGACGCCGACTGGAGTGTTGCTCTGATAGGACACATTTTGTATCGGCGGTACCGGCAGTGGAGTTTTAACGTGTGCCTTGTTTGGTGGTGAAGCAGGATTGTTGCTTGGACGATAGAATGCGTTTTCTATCGGTGGGACTGGGGTTTTCACGTTTTTCCTGTTTGGTGGTAAAGCTGGATTATTACTTGGGCGATAGAATGAGTTTTCAATCGGTGGGAGTGCTCTCATTTGTGCCTTGTTTGGTTTTGGTTTTGCCTTGTTTGGTTTTGGTTTTGGAGAAGGATTATTGCTTGGGCGATAGAACGCATTTTCTATCGGTGGTACTGGGGTCTTGTTTGGTTTTCCGGGAGCAGAATCATTACTTGGACGATAGAATGAGTTTTCAATCGGTGGAAGTGCTCTCATTTGTGCCTTGTTTGGTTTTGGTTTTGGAGAAGGATTATTGCTTGGGCGATAGAATGCGTTTTCTATCGGTGGGACTGGGGTCTTGTTTGGTTTTGGAGCAGAGTCATTACTTGGGCGATAGAATGAGTTTTCAATCGGTGGGAGTGCTCTCATTTGTGCCTTGTTTGGTTTCGAAGCAGGAGTATTACTTGGGCGATAGAAGGAGTTTTCTATCGGCGGGAGTGGCGGGTTGAAGTGTGGCTGGTTTGCCAGTGTGGCGACCGAATCACGGTTGTAGAACACGTTTTGTATCGGCGGGACCACCTGTAGCAGCTCCATGGCGGGGACTGGTCCGGTGCCGGGGAAGGTGTAAGCAGGGTTGTGGAACGGCACGGTGTAGGGGTGGTGGAGAACGCGAGTCGTTCTCTTCTCAAGATTGCGAAGATTCTGCGCTCGCCGGTACTTGACTAACTTCAGAATCAGACAAGCGGCGAAGACCAGGCCTAGCAGGCTGGCGGATGCCATGATGATGATGTGGACGGTCCCGACCGCTGATTTGTCCCGCTTCACTGTGGCAGTGCTGGCGGTTGAACCCTCCATCTCTGTCGTGTTGGCAGCTTGAAGATGGGCGACGTCTGTTCCATCTCCTTCAGACTCATTTTTGTCATGGGAGCGGTTCCGTGCTGCAACGACATTTACGTTCCCTTGGGCAACCTGTAGGGTTACGGTTATGTGACTTTGTTGGACCGTACCCTGAGCCGGTACGTGGAAGGTCTGTTGAATGCCATTTGGGTGAGTTTGGGGCGTCGTTGTATTTCGCACGGCAGGTCCACGCGCAGCACACCCTAACCCATGGACGGAAACCTCAAAGAGGGGTAAGTTACGAAACTGTTGGGGTGAAGCGCACTCATGGTCTGTGAAGCTAAAATAGCTGTCAAGGAAGGCGCTCTTGCAGGAGCTCGTGTCACACCCTCCATTGCTGCAATGTTTCACGCATTTCACCTTGGTGATCAGCCATAGCAAATCACAGTCACAGCGGAACGGGTTAAAATTGATGTTAATTTTCGTTTTGGGATTAGGAATAACGATATCATTTTCAGTCAATGATGTAATGTTATTGCCTGTCAAATCTAACGTGAGTAAATGTGTAAGTTGTTTGATACAGCCTGGTAATGTAACACTTGTGATCCTGTTTCCGTTTAGGTATATGAGGTGCACAGCCGGCAGGTTACAGAGTGACGACCAAGACACAGTTTCGATAATGTTTCTCGTAAGGTCGAGCGTGAACAACTTGTCTAGTCTCGGAATATTTGCGACAGTACGGATTCTGTTTTTGCGGAGACGTATAATTTCCGTGGTGGCTGGAATGTCATCAGGAAAGCTGGTCAACCCGTGGGATGAACAGTCAACGCAAGTTAAATTCGATTTGAGACATTCTTTTGGCAATGGCTCACAGCTGATGCTTGTAGTTTCGTACAAAATACTGACAAGAAATGGAATGAGGCAGCTGAAGACTTTCATATCCCTATTCTCGACTGTTCAGTGTTCTGTAGTAACAGCTTGGGCAAACAGTTGCTGTCTACATACTTCATAAAACACAGTAACTATCTGGCAGCCTAGAACTTGTCTAAAGCAACAGAAGTACGTGTTTCGTCCCACGACTTTTCTTGCACAAGAATAGAGGAGACTTAGCTTTGCGTCCAAGGTGTCCCCGGCCGGTCAGCGGACAGCTTCAGAACTTCGGCCGCATGTCTCTCAGTGCTAGCCTGGGTGCCAGCCCCTACCGCGAAGGAGTGATAATCCCTTCGGCCAAGGAAGCCATACGCCCCGCCAACCCCGATTGGCACCCTGGCTCTAATGCAATTATCTTTTCGCTATCAGCGTGAAAGATTAAGGGTTTGGGGCAGCCTGTATTTGGGCAGCGGATACTGTAGCGGACATTAGGGCCTCTTTCCACAAACAAAATCTATCGCTTACGAACGCCAGCGTTTGGCACCCAGGCTGCTCAGTGCATGTCGACGGCGGGCGTCTCTCTCAGTCGAAGTGCGGTGAAGTGAGTCAACTGCGGGAGTGAAATTCAGACGCTTCAGACGCCCCCGGGACACGTGGCGTCACACTGTATATTGAAGTGCTGAAGGGAGACCAATTTTCTGTTTCTGAGAATATTATCTACCTTGTACGTGCCTGTCCGTAACCGCTTTTCACTGTCTTCCACTCAGTCTGGATTGTGACATCAGTTTTTAGTCACGGAAAACGAAGTATTTTACAAAATTCAAAAACGTAACTAGTCTTTCAACGTAATGATAAAAGAAGTCATCCCTCCGAGAAATTAGATAGTAAAAAGGTTTGGAACATTTATCTTATGTTGAATTCAGAATACAGGATATCTTTTTAGCACCACTGTCTGTACAAAAGAAAAGAAAAAGAAGAGATTGGTCCAGTTTCACTAGCCTACAAAAACACCAAAGTAACATTTCTGTGCAAAGCGAAAGGAAATCATTACGGCATAAAGTAGCTGTACATGAATATTTAAGTGTAATGATGTCAAAGAGAAATTAATATCCAAATGCAATCTGTCGACATTCACACCCCTTATATTACATACAACATGTATGCTGTCTGCCTTCTGGCATAATTTTGTGTCTCCACACTCAGATACTAACATATAACGATATCGATAAGGTTATAAATACAAAAGACCTGAATAGTGTTGTTCACTTTCTCTCGCTCGTAAAATAAATAAAGAATTTCCTGGATCTTCTATAATAAATTAATAACTTCATTGTAAGGGGATGACGTTGTGCTGCTGGGTTCAATATATGGTTACGTGTGTTGTGGTTCATTAATATATAAATGTAATATAAAGTCGCAGGAGAATATTAGATTCAAACCTCACACGTGGCATGCAATATGTATCTGGAACTTTTCTTGCTGCGTCAGCTTCATATTAGTCTGCACGCTGGCTACGTAACGTAGAGTTGTGTCTCTATACATAGATATTTTTCATACATGGTATATGGCATTTCAAATGTTCAAACATGGTATATAACAGTTATCACGTTACAAGTTGCAAGTAGGTATTCGTCGAGATTTACCACACATTGAGGAAGGACTGACATAACAGGTCTCTCTATCCCTTAATCCCTCTATTCCTATTCCTGTATCCGTATCCCTCTATCCCTATCCCTCTATATCCCTATCCTTCTATCCTTATCCCTCTATCCCTATCCCACCATCCCTATCCCTCTATATCCCTAACTCTCTATCCGTATCCCTCTATCCGTATCCCTCTATCCTATCCCTCTATCCCTATCCCTCTATCCATACCCCTCTATCTACAATCCCTCTATCCTTATCCCTCTATCCCTATCCCTCTCTCTCCCTCTTTCCTATCCCTATATATCCTTATCCCTCTAACCCTATCCCCGTATCCTATCCCTCTATCCTATCCTATACCCTATCCTATCCTATCCTAGCCTGACTAAATCGCGCTCCTGGCGGCCGCCGCCCTAGGGGTGGGGGTCATTAACCTCCGGCCGAGAGCTTTGTATACACAGGCTAATCCTATCCTATCCTATCCTATCCTATCCTATCCTATCCTACCCTATCCTATCCTATCCTATCCTATCCTATCCTATCCTATCCTATCCTATCCTATCCTATCCTATCCTATCCCTCTATCCCTATCCCTCCATCCTATCCCTTTACCCCTATCCCTCTATCCCAACCCTACCCTCTACTCCCAACGGGCCCTATCCCTCTATCCCTATCCCTCTATCCTATCCCTCTATCCCTATCCCTCTATCCATACCCCTCTATCTACAATCCCTCTATCCTTATCCCTCTATCCCTATCCCTCTCTCTCCCTCTTTCCTATCCCTATATATCCTTATCCCTCTAACACTATCCCCGTATCCTATCCTATCCTATCCTATACCCTATCCCTATCCCTCCATCCTATCCCTTTACCCCTATCCCTCTATCCCAACCCCTACCCCTCTATCCCAACGGGCCCTATCCCTCTATCCCTATCCCTCTATCCCTATCCCACTATCCCTATCCCTCTATCTCTATCCCTAACGGTATCCCCCTATTCCTATCTGTAGAGGTAAGCGTTTCTGGAACTGTGACTGTAGTTCTCTGTTGTTTAAATCCATTTTATTTGAACAGTTTGTAATACAATCTAAAATGTTCCTGGGTAGAAATGTTTTATAGTTGGACTGGTCCACCTGTTACATCCTGTCACATGACCCCGGCTCACACATGCGCACTGACGTCACCTCCACGACTGCAACTTTTTCCCCATGACGAGATAGTGTCGGCTGTCCAAAATTCTCCGGTTTTCTCCCAAAACTTGCTCCTCCCGCCAGCCACAGCCCCGTCAGCGCCATGTACTGGATCCTGGGAGTACTCCTGGTCGCTTCTTGTGCCCTAGGACAAGGTAAGATCGTGGAAATCTGCTCGGAACGGAGACCAGGGGTGTTTCTTTTTTTTCGAACAAGGTGCCGAAACAAGTCTGACCGGGAAGGAGTGTTTGCGTACTAGAAAATTTTTATGTTGACTGCTATATTTCGCACTCAAGAAGAGAAACATTCAGTATTTTTCTTTGCCTGTTTTACTAATTAATTTGGAATACCCCGCATGATTTTGTAACATACGTAGTATTTGTTGCTGATATGAATCTACATGTGTCATGTTTTTGTAAAAGACTGCCTACGTGTTCCATTCGACTTCAAGCCTCACTTGAGGATAATTTACATGCACCTGTTTTTGCCTGGTCTTGTTGTCATTCAGTTTCTTGTGTGTCTTTCCCCTCCAGAAACATGTAACACCTATACTGACTGTAACACCTGTCAGACAAACAACTGTAGCTGGGTGAACTGCACAACAGAGAGCACAGCTGGTAGGTATCCATAATTACGTCAGTGCCATAAAATTATATGACTGTTGATACGTTGCATAATTGCTTTGTATAGTACACGTGACGTTGCTGAAATGTTTTGAAGGATTCTAAGGAACTTAGAGTTAGAGAAAGACTATACAACCAAAATATATAACAGAAGAGCCAATGCAGCCATGTCACAAATTGCAAAAATTAATTTGATTTTATTATTTAATAAATGTCTCCCGAATATTCACATTTCAATGATGGATAATTTTTTATTAGCCTGGGGCCTACATCATGTACATGGTGTCTGAGAAAATAATATTTTTGTGCCCAGTATCTGCTTAAAAATATGGAGTCAATTTTAAACACAGATATATATATTATACAAAAAGCTTTTTGTATTTTGAAGCATTTCAACCCTTAATGATAGAGAAAGTTTGATGGTATATATATCAACAGCTGACTTAAAAATATTTTATGCAAAATGAACACCAAAATGTTAATTGGTAGCATTTTGTGTCAAGTTAATCATTCATTGCATCAGCTGTTCTCACTCACAGAGCACACAGAAATCGTATCCGACAAAGGAAATGTGTACACTTCAACACACAGGTCTTTGTTTTGGCACACCAGTATCCTTGTTAAATTTTAACCAGACAAATTGTATTGTAGTATTTGACCCGTTCTTAAGTAAGGATGGCTATTCCTAGCA